AAACTATAGCCCGTAGTACAATGGACACAGTTTTTTTTTTTTTTTGGTTTCCCGGACTCTAGGAGCCCTTCTCCTATCTCGCAGCGGATGTCCCTCCTGCTCGTCCTCCTCCTCTTTCTTCCTCCGTGAGCGCTCAACCCCATGATATACCCTCCCCCGTCTCTCGCTTTGAGCCTTTTGTAGTTGTTGTAACAATGCAGATTGCAGCTATCATTCCTAAGGTGAGTGAGTAGGGCCTGGAAGAGCTCATACATCACCACCGCGACGTGTGGAAATTTATAAATCAACAAGGGGGTAGATTCGAGATTCGAACCCTGAAACTTGGTGAATTTATAGATTGATGCAGACCTGATCCGGCAATTGTTAGAGGGAAGTTCACTGTTACAAGTAATAACACTGTAGAAAGAAAAGTGGGGGTCTGTTGTCTGGCATGTGATGTGTGAAAGAGGCCAGGAGGTGAAGGTGTAGCGAGCAGAGTGAAGGGGCAGTTTGGAGCAAAGGCGGGCGTGGCTGCCGCCAGATAAAGATACTCCAGAGGGGTCCCTCGCATGACCGCTGCCCCTACACACCTTGCTCTTGTACACTGACCTTTCTTTCAAATCTCTTTCTCCCGCCGGGACAGTATAGTCGGGAAGATTGGGAACAATGGCAACACCTCCACGGCAGCGCAATCTCGACGAGCCCATGGTATCACAGACTACCAGCCAACCGTCTGCAAGCGATACTGACTGCATACCTAATCACCTGGACACTCAGCCATTGGGTGCGACGATGTACTTTCTAAAACGGAATCCGAGTTTCTACAATTACAAAATGGAGGGCGGCCGAGAATACCATGCACTTCATTGGGAAATTTATCTTTGTCCAAGTGGTGATGAGCTTGAGCAGGCGAGATTCAACCTGCGTCACAATATTTGGCGAATGATACTTGAGAAGAGGGCTCCGATTGCTGGGGCGTTCATTGTTTCTGAGCACCTCTCGTCCACCCTCCAACTCTGTACTGGCACTTGAATATGGGCGATAACGCGTGACGAAGCCGTACCCAGTGGCAGTGGTGTACAGAACCAAACCTGCGTGAGCTCCTTGGGGAGGTAGTCGAATACCTTCAGCCCCAACGGGTACGTCGAAAGTCCACGGCTGCGGGTTTCCTGTCGGCAATGACGAGATTCTTGCGAAAGTCTGGCCATGGTATCGGTGGGGCCGGGGGGCGGACAAGGCTTTGAATCGGGCACGTCGCAGTCCGTTTCGGTTAAAGGGGAAAAGGGAGGGGGAGGAGACGATTACCAAGATACCAGGGCGCCACGTACAACGGGAGAAATCACTGTCAAGGGTGCAATTATCATATGAATTCTGAGACGAAGGAGTCTGGACTCCAATGACATGTCTCTTTTATTCGATCCTCCAGATCCAAGGATCCGGAGAGATCCTCTGATTAAGCTAAACCAAACTAAACTGAGTGGTTCCCGGTAGGGGCTCCGTGATCCCAATCACAGGGTTTTCCTCAACGATATCCATACAAGTCCATGATCTCCTCTGTTCCCATGAAGATACCACCGTTCCGATTCAGAATGTCATTGCTATTATCGTAGATCGGCTGTCTCAATCCCACAATGTCATGGTACTTCCCGCGAGACGCCGATTTGACGATGGCCGGAGACACGGGTATGTAGCGCATCACACCAGATCGTGTGCTGTCACGGCATTATGGTCCTCGTCATGTGCAATGGTAGTGGGTTCCATCCCCAGGGCCTCGTGATTCGTGCTTGCACGGGTAGTGGTGCTTCGCGTGCGGATCGGAGACCGAAACACGTGCTGCACAGGGCGAGTCCGACCCGATCTCTAATCTCCATCGTTCTGTTCTTCCCGTGCAGTGGCTAAGGACTCCAATTCGGCCATCTCGTCGTCATCGCTGAGTGTGTCTGAAGCTGAGCTCGCGGGCGACGGAACATAGACAAGCCCAGGAGGGAGGTCGTCTATCAATGCATCATATTCACGCAGGAGCTGGGTCTGATCTACCCTGCGCAAGGAGCGACAAAGCTCTTCACAAGAAATCACAATGAATTCGTCGTGCAGGGACTCGGGAATCAGAACCTTGGGCGCTAAATCCAGGATTGGGATCCGTAGTTGGGCATCTGGGACCGGCTTTCCGTCGAAACTGCGGATTTCCTAGACATTCATATTCAGTTAGACACTGGGCGGAGGGGATAATGTATAGGCTTACCTGACTATGATGGTCAATGAACAATCGAGGTGGCGCAGAACCGGCCGCGGGTTCGATCCGTCTCCTCCAAGTACGCAACATGATCTTCTTGGACTGAGGATAGTCTTGATCCAACCCCACCACGAGTTTAGTACCTTGAGATCCTTCAGCAATGTAGATGTGCGCCAACTCTGATAAGGATTTGGTCTTTTGTGAATATGCCACCTCCAATATGACCCCTGGATATTTCGCCTCGACATGTCTGAATTGAGCGTCAGGGCTGTGGGTGCCAGTTTCGCCTTCTTTTAGAGGTGTGTGGCCTTCATCTCCGATTTGTTCCACGAACTCCTTCTTCTTCGGATCTCCCAAGCATAGCTGTGTCAATGCTTTTCCCACCAACTTGCGGAAGGCTCCTTCCATGCACTCATGCTCAAGACTCGCGGACATTCGGAGGACGAAGGTCGAGGTTCTCGGGAAATAGTCGTACCTGTGAGTTAATATTAGCAGCGGTGCCATCGGGTAATGTGTCAGCGCCTCATACCGCAGATGCTTCCAGTGTGGATTCTCATGAGTCAGTTCTTCAAAAACACCGAGGCCCTGAGGACTCAAATGATACGGCAGCCAAATGTCGAGGCTGGGAGAGTGATCTCGATAGTAGCGTTCAATCTGCTCGACAATGAGGGACAGGGTAGAGGCCGACTGTGGGTCGGAGGACTGGAGACGTGTCAAGATGTTGGTGGTCGTGGAGACATCACTTGAGGAGTGATTCGGATTCGCAGCTGGTGAAAACCCATCGTGCGGGTCAGGACCCGCCTCCACTGTCGACATCGCTCTGGAAACGTCTGGATGTGCCAAGCTTGTCCGGCCAAGGGGTCAGGGTGTGTAGCAGTGCGATGGCCGTGACACGACGAGACGAAGAATCAGCATCAACGGTGCAGACGGTGGTGTTGATGGTGATGGAAACATTTGAGTTCTTTGTGCGGGGTTAAATACTGCGGAGGCAAGGTACGGTCGACTACAGAATCATATATTGGCAGTTGATACGGTTGATCATACAATGGAAGTGGGATAAAGGCTTTCCGGCCAATTCACAATCTGTAGCTTTCTTTCCACCGCGTCGTCAACCTCGACGGGTCTGCCACAGACCATGCCGCGCGTGCCTAAGTCGCCGTGGGGTCCAGACGCATGAAAGGAGGATGGTCTCGGGAGGATTGTCTTTGAACGGGTTGGGTCCTACCGCGGCGAGGGAGGTGCCCCTACGGTATCCTCACTTCTGTATCTGGGGCGGTGGTGTGGGAGAGTCGAGTGGCATTCCGCCTCGTGGTCTCACTGCCACCGAAGCACTAGGTGGGAGCTTTGACTCGTGGACAAGATCAAATCCTACACACTCATTTGTGACTGTGGCACGAGCGAGCACAAAGCTACGACGATCTACTTAGCACCCACCGCCGGTGAGGCACGCGTGATTTCTCACCCGAGTCGCGGGAGCCGGGATGAGTTCAAGACGGCATCACCCTAGGCCCAGAGGAGGGTGAGCGAGCTGCAGTCTGTATGTTTCCTATGTTATGGCGTTCGCCCATCTTCAAGTAGGGCTGGGAATTGACGAGAGGTATGAAGCATAAAACGCCGCCGTCCTGGTCCCGGCAGGGATTCACCCACTAAGCCCCAGTGATGAGTTAGTCATTTCATGTCGATTTGGTCCATCTGTGGCTGAAGACCTCTGGCCACGCCTCTCGGGTCCGCCTGACGATGTATCGGGCTGAATCGAACTACTTTGGGTTTCATCGGCTTCGTTATCAACTGAGGCTTGCCCTGACCATCCAGGACCGCACCACCGCGACATTTTGAGTCATCGACAACATGCATGTGTGATGGCGAGTTGATATCGGTGCAAACAAACAATGCCGGCCGGCAGGGTCACCGCGATTCGCCAGCCTTGCGCTCCCGTAGCCTCGTGCTCCCAGCGTCGTCTGGTACAGGCTTGCTTGGGACGGAGCACTCTCATATAACTTCCGGGCCATCATCAGTGCCGCAGTGACAAGAGTGACTCACACAGAAATACGCGCCGGTTGCCATGGATTGTGACAGCCGTGAACTCGCGGCCTTGTGGAGGATTTTGAATCTTGACTTTCGGCACGATTAGTCTTTCAACCTGCGATCAACGATAGTTAGTGTAGAGGCCGTCGCGTGGTCAGAGCTCCCACATATCGGGACCATGTCAAGCTTGATTTGAGTCATTATGAATGCGAAGATTCCGTTCTCCAGGCTATTTCTTTGAATGAACCCAGAACAGTCGTCGTCCTCCCAATCCTCCGATCGAGCGCAGCTGTTAAGAGTAGCAGAGTCGGCATGACTCACCTAGACGTCATCCAGAAGTGCTGCCGTCTTCCCTTGCAGAACCTCAACCAGGGCAGTCTCCACAAACCGCAGTCACAGGGTAGCATCGTCAGTATGCGGCCTCCGATTTGGAGTCTGTCTGGGAACCCTTTCCTCATCACAACGCCTGACCTTGGGTGGAGGTTGAGCATCCGCCGGCGTCCGACGGGCGGAGATCCCATGCCTAGATGGGCTTGATCTGGCACTGCTGCCGCGAGGCGGCGGTGTGAGAGGGAGTTGCGGCATGATGATCCATTAGATGGCGGTGAGGATTGACAATTGACGAGCGCGACCATCCCTCTCTGGCGGTTGGTACCCTACAGCACACCGCAGAGCGTAGGAGAGGCGATATGCAGGACACTAGCCTTCGGGTCATGTACCAAGCATACTCTAGTCTCGACCCCATCCAATGTCTCCAGATGGTTCAATTTTGTGAAGCTGTTGTCCTCGGCGGCGTGGTCAGTCCCATGGCTTCGTGTAGGCCGTCCACACTTGTGTCGGGGAAGAAGCTCGGACCAGGGAGACGGCGTTTCTCGTCGTCGTCGTCATCATCGTCGGAGGAGATTTTGTCGTCATATGGTGAAGCAGAGGCACGCATGGGCACGCTCTGACTTCCTGCCTCCCTTTGATTTTCCCAACTGTGGTACGCAAATTTGGCGGTAGAACATATCCATGAATCGTTGACCGCGGAGTGCAGACGTACGTCGAATGCTGGATAGCACATTTGACCCGACGCCGAGCCTCGTGACGATGCATGATAGCGCTGAGGAGGCTGGCACTGCCCGACTGTTCGATAGAGTACACAAAATTAAATCTAGGAGAGTCTGAAAAGCTCCCAACGGCACAGGGTAGATACTTCGATGTCTGGGGGAACGTGGAAATCACTCAAAGTGGACGAGGCAAGCTCTGGGATGTGGTCTTTTTCTTATGCCTTAACCCCTGCGTAACTGTTGGGAAAGCTGGACAATGAACAGAGAAAAAGAGGTTCGTAAGTGCGCTGGCTTGGGGAAAGACAGAAGGGGGCCCCAGACACCCCAGGATTCTCCCTATGCTGCGGTTGCTGGTGAACCCCGCAACTGTGCTCAGCATCAACTCTCGAGGATCACACACGTCTAACGGAGATGGCGCCATCCAATTATTCCTGCGGGAATAGCGCGACTTCCGGCGACCACCATGCATGGCCACGCATGCGCCGCGGGGAGGGCCTGTAGCAGCCAAGGGGTCGCAGGGAAGGGGGGGATGGGCGGTGCGGTGTTGTGGGAGTGTGATGTAAGCCAAGCCAACCTTATTTTCACATGGAGTGAGCGAGGGTGCCAAGAGTGCACTCTCTCAGTGCCAAGGCTTCACTCTTGGCAGTGTTGCTGACCTAACCTTCAACGTTATTGACCAATCACATACAGCCCTTCACGTGACACCACCCAAAATCTTACCCCAAATCCTACCCCAACTCCAACACCACCACCAGGGGCACCCAAGGGGGGTTTGTACTGTTTTTCCTGCCCAACGCTACCATGGAACGTCAGAATTCCGCGCCTGGTAAGCCAATTCTTCAGATCGAAGTTAGTAGACGCACCATCCGTTCTTGAACGACGCCAGTCTGACAAACGACCGGAAAATCGGGGTACCGAGATTGGCGGGAGGAGACGCAACGTCTGATGGTTGCAAGCGCCGGGAACACGAAACAAGGCCAGACCAACACCGCAAGATGGATGTTCTCACCGGGAGTAGGTAACCCTGAGACTTTCCAAGGAATCTTGCTTTTCCAGCACCGCCATGCTGATCTTCGACGTCATTAACCATGCGCTGGACGACACCTGTTTTTCCCAGGACAAGAACCCGCAGTTCCAGGCCGCCGTTGACAGCATCGGCGTGGTCCGTAACGTGCACGACCCGTGGACTCTTCACCTTGGAATCTCCAGCACTGTCTCAAGCGGTAAACGCGGAGGTCGGTCTCGGTGTCGGTCCTCGTATACCCTTGTAGGCCCCATTTGTCAGAGTCCAAGTCAGTAGAAACGCAAAGTGTAGGAAGACGAAGACGACCATGGGCCCACTGCAGCCGAGGTTCATGACTTGGATGATGACGATAATGGCGCTGAGGAGGAAGTGGAGGAGGAGCAGAAACGGGACCAGGAACCTCCTCCCGGCATAGTAGCCCTCCATCGACCAATATCTTGGAATGATGTCTTTCGCGGTAGAAACAAGCAAGTGGTCGTAATGAGGCAAGCCGACCTTGAATGGCGGGCCATCGTAAAATGTGTAGAGTTTTTTGTCTTTGGGACGGCGCAGTTGCTTGTTTACCCTCATTGAAGACGCTTTCTTCGACGATCTTTCTGCACTGAATAACCCCAATCAGTAGCCAGTATCCAGTAGCGGGTTCAAGGCTGCCCCGGCTCTGCAGAGCGCCCTGCCGGATGTGTACCAACAACGTAGACTTATGGACTGCTTTCGCTCTTCCGCCTCCTTTCAGCCGAGAAACTTTGGATGCACGGTATGGGACCGAAAATCTCAGGCATGGCACCACTATGCTCATCGGGTTCTAAGATGATAGTGGGCCGTATGTAGAATCCTCGATCGCCTTCGTGGTGCCTCCACTCGGAAATCTTCAGCATCATCGGCAATGACGGATGAAGGGGCGTTGAGTCTTGATCGTCGCGAGATATCCATGTGCAACCTCCTGAGCTCGATGTTCTCCTGTTACGCGTGCTGTGGGTATGCTATTGAGCCTAGCCTTGAGCCTGTCCAAGACGGGACGATGAACATCGGACACGGCCTGAATCGATGGCCTCTTCACAGAGAACTCAATGAGCCTGCGAGCCTGAGGACATGAGAACACGAGTACTACGAGCTCATGTACAGCTATCAGAGGAAGAAAGAGTGGAAGAACACACAGTGAGTGAGTTTGTGACGCTGTCATGTTTATTCTGACGCCCCGTGATGGTGGTCGTGGTGGTCGTGGTTGTGGGTGGAAATTGTTGCATAGTCCAAACCATTTGGATTTTGAGCACAGATGTGACGTCAGAAGTTGGCGTGTCTCACATCTAGTTGGTCAATAATTTTATGCTTAAGTCAATGGCACTGCCCAGAGTTCCCCCTCCTTCATTGTTAGTGCAGCCTTGGCACTGAGAGAGTGCACCCCTCACACTGTGCGAGTGCACTCTTGCCAGCCTCACTCATTCACTCCCTCGTGTGCACCCTCTTGGTCTTGGTACCCTTGGCAGCCCTCTGGAAATGCCAGGTTTGCACATATCACCACCACCACCACCACCACTACTACTACACCGCTACTTTTAAAAGGTACACTGTCACAGTTTCTGTGGTTGTGAGTACTCAGCATCAAGTGGGGCGTGGCGTTTGAGTGCATGAGACCAAGTGGGGTAGGGCTGGCAACTGACTTCCTTTGGCTTTCCCCCTTGCTGTCATCAATGTCAATAATATGATCCATGATGACCATCCATGTGATTATTTGGAAGCACGGACCACAAGGGTGCTGTTCACCACATGGATAGGGGAATGGGAGAACAAGAAGCAAGTGTTCATCACTGGCGCTTCTCCACCCTTTATGATGACATTGCCGATCTTTCGCGACTCTGGACTGTCGTCGTGCGCATGGGTGCAGACTCATTACTCTTGCCTGGCTTCAACTTTCACTCAAGGCGTTGATTGTTCCCTGCAGTCTGCAACTGCTGCTGCTCAATCACTTGCTTGGTGGCAATGAATCAAGCGAGTGCTTCCAGGCTGTCGCCTGCTCAGCCCGAACCAAAATCGGCTAAAGGTGTCTCTCGACTCTGACTGTGGAGGGCTGTGAAATTATACTAACAATCCTTCAAGCTACGGTGTATTGGTTGCCGACTAGGGTTCTCACAATGACCGAGTCATATAACAACCAGCCAAGGGGCAGGGAGTCGTGCGACTACTGCAAGGGAAAGAAAATAAAGTGCGACAAAAGGGATCCGTGCCACGCTTGTGAGAGACCGTTAATCGCCTGCTTTTTCAGACAACAGCTTTAAAAAGATGGCTCCAGCCCTCGATGCGAATCGGAGAGTCCGTATGAGGCAAATCTTTCGGACAAAAAGAGCTCCCCTGAGGTTGCCGAAGCAAGACGCAGAAACCGCGGCAGAGCTGCACGACGCTATGGCAGAGAACACAGGAGAGTCGTCGGCTCCCCTTATTGGGCCAGAGCAAGATACAGCAACCACGCCAGAGGTACACGACGCTAGCATCATCCATCCAACGGGGCCATACACTTCCGATTGGAAATCAAAGCCGCTTCCTTGGGACAGTTATCAGACTTATACTTGGATGCCCATCGAAAGGCAGCATAGCCACATTGCCATACAAACCGAAGATGGTTCCTCCGATGATCAGGGACTTGGCCATGATTACGAGGCAAACTAAAACAACACCGCCGCCCAGACGAGCTCATTCACAGTCCCGACCACTCCCACTTCAGCAGGCCTACAGACCGCGAGCAACGACCCAACTCTTCGTCTGTGGTGAGACAACCAGCGGCCTTACGTGACTGCACTGTCCCCTTGGGTTGAACCACAGCAAGATCAGATTCATCCCGAACCCCTCTCGGCCCCACACCCACTGACAGGGCGCCTGACCGTCGGAAGTTGTTGGAGGCGATGCCTCTTACTCCGATACTCACATATCTAAGACGTTCAGACCATTTTCTGTTGTTACATGCAACTCTTTCAAGGTAAGCACTCACTTATCGCATGAAGACCTGACTTGTGTGTCGGAATATATGTACAGTCTAACGCGTCCTTCAGCACACGGAAAGCCAGCTGCCGTTGCTGACGGCTTCGCCTTCCAACTTCAGGGTCACATTCGAGCGAGTCGGTCAAGAGGACAAGTTGTACAAGACGCAGAAGACCTAAGGACAGCCAGTTGGCAACGTTGGTGGCAGTGTGGTGGTGTGGTGGTGGTCACTGACACAAGCCATAATTCCAGAGCGTGCACTCTCAGTGCCAACGATGCTCCCACTCACTCTCGAAATTCTCTGGGAAGCGCCGGGAACTATCCCATAAAATTACTGACCAACCAGACGCGAGGTACCTACCAAAAGTTTAAAAGAAAAGAGAAGGTGACATGCAAAAAAGTTTGTACTTCACAAACAAACTTGATTCTCAGACGACAGGAAGGTGAAGAGCGAGTGCACGCCGCATTGGTAGGAAAGAGCGGCAGCGGTGAAAGCACGCCCGCAGACCTCCCGCGGCTCAACGAGAAGAGCACTGGCTGTATTCAATCTTGACCATCAAAATATCAGGAGCGTACGCATCTCCGGCCTTGCGGCACAAACGGGCTCGTACCACATTTGAATTAGCGGCTCCAAGTCTCCGAGTTCGATGATGACGAGTCACGGAACCAAGGGCGCGACGGGGAAGCAGTGTCGTCGCTAAACACCAACCGCAGTATTTAGCAACGAGCTGCATCCGACCTCCCGGGGAGCGCTCAACCGAACGAAAGCGTTTCGAGATGGTGTGTCTGCTGGCCCTTTATGTCACGATGTGTTAGTCCTTGCACTTACATTCGTCCGCGAGTTGCTCTCTATCCTCAGCCTGGCCAGTCGGAGTTCGTCGGGTTCCACGCGCTCTTGCAAAAACGCCGAAAAGGCTCAAGGGACGAGAGCAACATTCGCGCAGGGTCGGTGAGATGGTTGTCCTCTTGTCGAAGTTGCTGATTGGGTTTCTGATGGGAAAAGATAACTGCAGTTAGCTCGAGATGCGGTGAAGGGAACCCGAGAATGATCATTTGCAAAGTACTGTCCGAGGAAGCATGGCTGGCACGAGGTGGAAGGATAGTTTGACATCAGGTTATGTTCTTTGGGGCCGTAATGATTGTTCCCACAAATTCGCCCGCGCGCTTTGCGAGTGTCTTTCTTTTGGCGCTTGGGTCGGGCACTTTCGTCCACGTTGATATCTTTCTTCTCTTATGGGGACCTCCCAGGATGACATACCAGACTTGCGCAACCCCCAGGCCTCGACCACGCGAACCAGCGTCCTTATCGAAGCAGCACGCTTTGTGGAGTTGGGTCCACTCCCGGAGCGACTGGGGAGGGAGAGACTGCGTTGTTGTTGAGCCTCGACGCATTTCGGTGGTGCGTAGCGTGGTGTCGTATGAGGTCGAAAAACTGCCAGTGGTCCAGCCTTGAACGAGGCTTGTGAATCGAGACCGGATAGCCAAGAGGATGAGCTATGCGCAAGCGTTCCGAGTTTTGTCAGTGAGCTCTCGTTACTATACCGTCTTGACCTAGGAGTAACTTTGAGCGGAGAATCCCCGATGCCTCGCGCGTTTACATGTTGAACTTCTTCCTTTGTTTATTCCTCCGGTCTTCCATCACGTACGGGGCCGCTACTATTGACGGGGTCACTCTCTGCAGTTGCGGATCTTGTTGCCGTTGTAAAACGGCCTAGTGGATCATGAACAGAAATCGACGCTTCATCCGGGTGAGTCGATGCAGGATACCCCTGGGCTACCCAGGATCTTAATAGAGCTAGCTGCTTGGTGAGCCCTTGCACACGCTCGTCCTTGGCCTGCCAACACGGCAAAAAAGATGGGCGAGACGATAGAGGTCAACCAATGGGTCTCTTCGCGTTCGTTGAGAAACTGCAGCGTCATCTTCGGATCACAGCCACTTAAGAACGACTCACACTACCATTACCATTACCATTACGAACCGACCGCGGAGATGCATTGGGGTTGTGTAGCAGCAAGAAATGGAGCTTGACGAATTTTGTTGTGCTCATGGCAGCCCGTGGAGCTGGATCATCTCGGAAACATGTCCGCAAAGGAGGGAACGATCGGTTCCATGACCACTGTACGCCTCTGGCATCCAGTACGACGGGCCATACAAACGTGGTTTCCGAAGAGAATCTTGACTTTCCGTTCCATCGCGCCGTTGCCGCTGCAGTTATGATATGAATTCGAGACGAAAGGGTCCAACCAGCGGGCAGCGCGTGAGTCGCGGTACAAGAGCTCGTGGGACGTTCAGCCTCGTGTGGGGTATCCGACACTTTCACAAATCATCGGCCGTGACAGGATGACTGAAGGAATCGCTGGGGCAGCCATTCGGGCCACTTGTAGAAGTTTGCCATGGTATTGAACGGGTCTGTTGCGGTCGTTGCCCAGCTTTTCGCTGCCGAGAGTCCAGACTTTATCGGCGGGCTGCCTTTTGTTTCCAGTATGGTCCACGCGTCTCAGCCGGACGGTAAAAGCTGGCGTAAATCCCGTGTAGCGAGTGGGCAACGCTTGTTAAAAGGAATTGAGTCGCCGCTCCGGCACCGCCATGATCCCCGCGTTGTTAACTAAAACATTCAACATATTTTCCCGCGCGAGGAATTTAGCCGCCAAATGCGGCACGCTGGCCGCGCAAGTGCCCACCGTTGCCGTCCTCTGCGGCTCAGATGGAGGCACGCAGCGCGCAGTGATGTGCTCGTATGACCTCGCTTCCGAAGGCTCGGTCTCTTTTCTACGGGCTGCAATCACCACGGCTGTGTTGCGGGCTGCGGTGATAAGGGTAGAGCCCACCGTAATGGTTGTTGATACAGTTGATGCTGTGGCGCAGAAGAGGATTGTTGAGAAAGGTCTTCCTGCTTCTGTGAGCAGGTCCAAAACCATTGTTGTGATTCCATTTCCATAGTCCGGGTGGTAATGATCCTGTCTTGTTGAAGGGACAGTCTGAAGCCCATCTGCTCTACCGTATGAAGTACATTTTATACTCGGCCATGTGAGCTACAAACATGCTCCACCGTAAAGACCTCGCTTTGCGCCCCACCGTAACAGCTACAGTTCTTACTTCACCGTACAAACTACGCTCCACTCCCCACCGTACTAACTACACTTCATGCTCCACCGTGCTTGATAACTAAGCAAGGCTGCATGTCACATGTCAGGCTGACCTCCCTCTCCATCTCCAAATTTCAGAAACGGCAATTGTCAGGTCACAAAAACATCCAGGTGTCTCCTAATACGGTAACGCTCCTACCTAAAACAGAAATCTCTTCCCAGCACTGCGCTCGCAGACTTCGCTCGCCACCCACAAAGCACTGTAGTGTACCTTGACACTGTAACTCGGACTTCCACGCATCCACAACATCAGGACAATCAGCATACAGCAAGATCTGATCTGATACCTGGTATCTGAAGACACCCCAGAGTGCTCATTCTCGAACTGAAAATTCCTCTGGATGAGAGCCTGCCACTCGACCTCTTGAACCGAAGCAGACTCTTGTTCATTGGCACCAGACACGAGCTTCCTCATCATATTCATGTCAGCCACCGCCAGTGCCTTCTCTCCCCTTTGGCCATATCGCTCATACGGGGTGCATTATCAGAATCCCTCCCCCCAAAAAGAAAAGCCGCTCCACTCAGACCGGCAACAGGATTCTTGTCACCCAAATAACATGAAAAGGTCCACCAGGAACAATCGCAGACTGATCAGTAGTATGCTACTGAAACTTGAACGCCGTGCCAGGGTTCAAAGACAACATCTCAGGAGCAGGCACCATGGTGAAATTGTGGGAGTTGAACGAAGAAGACGGCTTATAGGCAACTAACCTCAAACGTCAAAGGCCACGGTGTTGAGAGAGTCGACCGTCAGGATGTCGTCAAGCTACGGTGTTCTTGATGCCCGGTAGAAGCGCATGAGGTCTCTGATTATCACCAAGTTCGGTGTCTCTACGCCACTTCGGAGAGAGCCTTCTCGGACTTGATCAAGGTCAGGCTGCGGCAACCAGTGTTGCAAGTAGAGTCTTGGATTTCCATACATTTCCACCTCTCAAAAGGTTCACGCAAGTCTAAATGCATCGCTCCAGACAGATATGGTGAGGCTTTAAGTCGACACCGGGAGCGTCATCTAAAGGACGTAGCGATTTAGGGTCCGACATTGATCCCCTTTGGTCGTGTGATTATGCTGTTTTGCGGAGTCTATCCGTGTCGTTGTGTGCGCCTCGATTGTAGCCTCGAGCCGCCGAGCCATCCTCACGTAGAGACCGGATGGCCGTGAGCGTCCACGGATAGGAACCCACTGCAAGGACGTCTGGTGAAATGACTGGGTGAGTGAGCGAGAGTGCGTTCCCTTCAGCATTCTCTCGGCATTCTCTTGGCACCAAGTACTGGTCTCTGAGGGACCACGCTAGTGCTACCGACCTAAGTGACAAAATTGTTGACCAATCAGATGTAACCTTCTGACGTCATACGCCTCAAATTCCTGCTCAAAATCCCAGAACTTCCACACCACAACACCACCAATACCACCCCCGAAGACAGGGAATGCGCCCTCAAAGAAACCAAGATGGGGGAAATGATTCGGTCACTCTTGGAGGGGCCCCCTTTGTTCTCCGACGCGGCGGCTAAGGAGCCATTGGGGTGCGCATCAGCCAAGGTGTCCAGGGGGGTGCCGCAAGCCAAGAGCTCCAGAACCAACCAATTTCCCGGGAGCACGGGCCAGGCGTTTTTCGACAGGCAGCAGGAAAGGTCTGCCAAGAGGTCTCGACCTTTGACCATCCAATGAGAGACACGACGGTCGCCGCTCCCCCTTGCGCAACGCGCGCAGCGATTCGTGCACTACCGTCAGCCACGCAGCAGCCATGCGTCTACCCCCTTGCCTGCGCACACCACTTTCCTCCATTGGCCTCCTTTGCTTTGTTTTTGTCATTTGTCTCTCTCCCCTTGCTTCCCCCTCGCATTGGGAGATTGCTCCCGCAAGACCCCGTACATGCTTCACAGCATGTTCGTCCCGTGTCTAGTTGTGGCCAGGGTGCGATGCGACGTCTGCTAGGTTGCTGTACGGATTCCAATGGTCCAATAAAATCCCTCCTGCAAAGAACCATGACATACTTGGCCACTTTTTGCGACTACACGTCAAAACAGACTGGACAGCCGTGTCGAGAGTGGTTCGTGATCCCTTGCTTGCTTGGAGGGTACATTCCCGCCTATACTCTTTATTTATAGCCGTCCCACAATCCTCCGATCCGTCGTCCTGTAGCCTCTCAGTCTATCGCCAAAAAGCCCTTGGTCCTGTTGGCTTTTACTTTTTGCCGAGCGACAACCGCGACTCCTTCAGTCGATCTCTGAATGTCTTCCAGCCCTGATGCTAACAAAGAGGCCGACGAAACGGTCGCACCCAGAGAGTCTTCCAGACGGCCTTGGCGGCCGGAGCTTGATCCTCAGCCTGGACACATTTTAAACTATACTCCAATTTCGCGCATCATGAGGGCAGCCCTCCCCGGCGATACAAAGGTTTCTAGGGAAGCCATAGAGCTTATGCAAGAATGTGTGAGCGAGTTCATCTCCTTTGTCACGAGCGAAGGTAAGAAGCATGGTTACACAACGCACAACATTCGAAGCTCCAAGTGCTAATCGAGGGTTAGCTACGGAAAGATGCACAGCTGAGAACAGGAGCACGTTGAGCGCCGACGATGTTCTGACTGCAATGACCAACCTCGGATTCGAGCACTATTCGGAAGTCCTGAGAATATACCTGAGAAGGTACTACGAAGTAGGTCTACCCTCCTCTCCTCGAGATGCATCCAGGAGACAATCCTCTAAGCCTTGTTCGACATCAGAAAAAGGATGCGGGCATCACCAGCACCATCGGTCCAACGAATGATCGACAGCAGGGAACAAAGAGAAAGAGTATGACGGGAGCGAATGACAACGAGGACAACAGTATGGGGCATTTCTATATCCATCTCCCAGACCCGAGACAGGGGCTACAATAGAAGACACGGACGCCCAGAGCACGAATTGCCTTGTCCCCGACCTGATCCAGTCACTGAAAAGCACGGACAGACCAGGCTAGTGCATAATTATAGACAGAGACCACCCTTTTTGAAGTCTCTGAGCTTTTACTGGAAATTGAAGCGGCGTACTCACCGTTTACCCCCAATCGATTCAATGTCGGTGGTTACGCCAGAACGTCCGGGCCTTGTCACCACCATAACTCGTAAAGATTGTGAGTGCCCCCGAAGGCGCCCAAGTCCTCCGGTGTTGGGCGTCTGACATGGCCGTGACTAGGGTTCAAACACCAAATGGGCTCTTTGTTGATACCTTTGGAGCATGGTCTCCAACTCTCCCTTGGCATCACGGTCGCCAAAGTCCTCAGCAGGCATCCGTCGATCAGCTGGACCTAAAAGGTATTCAGATTTTTCGTGTTACGGACAAGCCCTCCGGTTCGTAGGCCTAAGCTCCGTCGGTCGGTAGTCCAACCTCCTCAACTGGAGGAAGGGAACTCGACCGGATGCGCTCGGCTTGCTGAATCGATCTGAGAGATTGACTTCGCCAACGAAGAACGCTTCTGGATGGCGCCGTGCTTGGTATGCGTTGTCCATGTTCACGGGTTTGGAGCGACTCGAGACCAAGTTGCCGAGAACCCGCGACAAGCTGGCGACGAGTGAAAGCCATGACAGATCAGGATGGTAAAAGAATGGTAAGAGAGAGAAGATGAGGACGAAGGGTTATTGCGAGAAAATGACGACGAGGGCTAATGGGAGAGAATTCCGGCGAGGGAACGACATATTTCGTACCTCTCGGTGCTTCGAGAAGATCCTTCCAGCAGCACTCTAGGCTCCCAACACAGCCTTTTTCGAAGCTGGTTAGCTGCTGGCTTTGCTGCGACGTCCTCAGCCTGACATGATGATACAAAAGTTGAGAGCTTGGGTGGTTGAAGTTAAGAAGTTCCAAGGACTGTCCCGCTTTCTTGTCGAGCGAGAGTCAAGGTAGGCTCTGGCTTTTGCGTCGAGATTGTAAATTCTGTAATATATGGACCATGCGGCAAACATTTGGATTTATCCGACAAGTGACGAACTTTCCAGATCCCCTACATAGGTGGCATGTCAGACGCGTCAAGCTGCGTGTCGAGTCATTTGGATGGCCTCCCAGCTGGCAGAGAACACGCCACATCCTACCAGAGGCGTTAGCGTTACTCACACGTCCAACGATATAATTGAGAGGGAGCTGCTATCGGCACTGCGTACACACTGTTCTCGTTGGCCCATGAGCCCGTTGGGCCCCCCGATCTGTGACCCAACCAAACGACAAATCTCATGCATTGGATCTCTTGTTTTTCCCCACTCCAGCGACACATCTAGACTCTCTAAACACAGGACGGCAAACGTTGATTCTCCGCCTTTGCTGGAGAAGAGAAGGTCCCTTTGATGGAGCAGGAGGTCCGACTAATCGGTCAGCATATCGATTTGGCGCACGAGGCTGGATTGGACTTGAGTACTGGAAGCTTGCTTCGTGGTCCATTTTTGGCTCGCTCCTTTCCACCACAAGCACTGTGGTCAGGCAGGAGTGGTTGACCAAGTGGCTTCAGTGTCTAAAGGGTACAGTGGAATTCCAATCTGGGTACCTTGCATCTCAGATGCTCCCCGTTTTCACCGACGACATTTTCTCGCCGCCTCGCGACTCCCATACTCCAGGGATATGTATACATATTGGACCCTGAGCACCTGGTCCCAACCTCAACTTTATTTTCCATGGGCCGCAAACCCCACAACGGGTGGAAAAGAAAAGGATAATCCAGACCCTGATCGTTTCTTTCAGACGGATAAATATGCAAGGGCCCTAATTCCTCACAATCACTGTTCCTTGATCACAATCTCCGCCTTCCACTTTCGTTCGCCCAAACATCTGAGCCTCGTGGCAAAGGAACTATGAGCCCCCGAAACCAGCGACCGAGTCTCTGCAGAGAATCCCCACTGGGCACGTGGATTCCGTAGGGAAGTTGACACCTTTCGGTGTAATGGTCCATGCCGTCTCAACCAGGAATGGACTTTTCCTCGAGGTCAAAGTTGCCTTTTCAATTCCAGAAAGTATCGTCGCGATTTTGTCCGGTATCATCCACACCGGTCTTTCGATGTATACTTTCCGATGGTCTAACGACGAGGTCATCGTCAGAGTGTTTCAGTCAAGCCAATCAAACATTACGAGTTCTTTCACTATGAGTACCAATCCGATGCCGGCCGGTTGGATACGCAATCAGCCACTACAGTTTCGACATACCTTGACTCAGCCACCTTCAGAACGTGGTGCGCTGACAGAGGCGGCGACGCCGATGCCGTCGTGGAACTCGAGGTTCGGTGTGGAACCTTCTCACTTCGTGCTTCATAGCGTTAAAACGATCACCGTGGTAGGATTGCACGGATGGCTAGCAGATATCAGACCAGTTACCCAACTGGAGGGTGAATGTGTGTACTCTGGGATCGATAATGATAGAATAACTAGCCTATAGATAGAGATGTCAACGCTTGAAGAAGGCTTCAAGGTTGACGGATGTGATCCCCCTTGCTATATACATGCGATAAGCCAGCGACTTGGCTGGTAGCCTGACTCCCTGGCTGGTGGCCTGACCTGAGTGTGCAATGTCACATGGGTGTTCGTGACAGCAGAATCCTCATTCGGACAGAATTTCAAGGACATATAGATGGCTGGAACCCCCTCGCTTGCCATACAAGGCCGATAGAGAAATATATGCGCCTTAGAATAATTCGTTCGATTCCCCCTTGGCCTACAGCAATGTAGTCTCATCGCTAATTTATCTTCCAAAGATGCCGGCACCCATCTGGTCGCACACGCAGCACCGCCTCTCGAGGAGGACCTAAATGAACTATTAGAAAAGTCCGCCAATCTCACCCGCCGTGCCGTACCTCGGGAGGAATCTCCATCCTCCTCTCACCGTGGCCCTAATAAGACCGTCATGCACTCACCCCTCCCGGATCCAGACCCTGTCATCGGGGTAGATTTGGAGGTGGCAACGTGGTTTAGTAACTGATTCGATCCACAGAGTACGCGCCTCAGCTGAGCAAGTCCAAGTCAACTTTTGACTCTTGAGGATATTAGAGCGGACTGGTGGTGTGTTAGTTGGTATGTAGTGACCAGCACCTCTGACGAATCCGAAACCCCAGAGGACAAGGACGATGGCGTTGTTGCAAAAATCCAAAGTTTTGTGGATTCTGGGTAAGAAACTGAGAGATGTAGCACTTGTCATTAGTCAATGATTTTGTGGTCATGTCAGCAAGACTGCCAAGAGTTGCCAAGACAAATTTTGGAGAGTTTTGGAGTCTCTGAGGGTGCACCCTTTGTCACTCCAAAACTGACCAAGTGCACCCCTCACAGACTCTCAGAAATTCTCTTGGCAACTCTCAACTCACGCTCAGTAGCTGTGAGGGTGAGTCAGAGTGCACTATGAAAAATCAAGGTTTGCACAGCTCATGTCACAAACACCACCTCTACGACACCACCTTGCTTTCAGTCCTTTGTAGTGTGAAAGATGTTTCTCTCGGGGCTGCTGAACTGTCGTGGCTGGGGCTACCTTGGTTTCCTTTCTTTGTGGTGTCCAAGACAAAGCGGTTGAGGTTTCTTTGGGCTGCACCGCCTTGGTTTAGATGGACTGCCTTGATTGGCATTCTTTGTTATGTCCGAGACAAAGCAGTAAAGACTTTCTTTGGGCTGAGCTGCCTTGACTGGCGTTGTGCAGGATTATAAATGTCTCTTCTAATCCGCCTCTTCTGCTTTCCACTCTTCTCCACCACAACAACCGACTTTGAATCCAAACTTGAGTTCAACACTTCGCCATCGCGCTTTATCCTTTACCTTGCCAATATCCACTTCCCCAAACCCATCTGCATCCAGCAAATACCAAGTCCAGATGTGCAACATTCCGCATTTGATCGACCACATGGTCCATAGGCAATTCAACGTCGCTTATTCCGTCGAGTTTCGGAAGCGATTCGAGGTGCGCTTCAGAATGAGATTCGACGAGAAATTCGGAGCGGCGTTCGAACCGAGATTCGACGAGATAGCGGACCTTGTCTGGGACAAGACTGCCAAGGCCCTTCGCGAGCAATTGTCCGACAGTGTTCGGCGAGACGCCCACGAGGCGATCATGGACGAGTTGGAAGCAGCGGTGGGGGACGAGGTCCGCGATAACCTGGAGCACCACCTCGACGAGGTTGCTGGGGCCGAGTTCATCGGCCACCCGAACCCGAGACTAAACGAAATAGGGCTCCAGGCTATGCACGACCACATCTTGCACGAAGTGCTCCACGAGAAAATCCAGAGGGAGGAGGACTTGATCGCCCGATTCGCACCCATATTCCAACCGGCATTCAACGCGGCGTTCCCCGCATTCTTCGACACCAAGTTTGACGAGGTCCACGCCGCGGTCGTCGAGGCGGATTCTTCCCGAGCCGCTTAGCGCGGCGAACCACGAAGAAGAGTCTCTTTCTGTAGCAGTGGCGCAGGTGGAGCGGTAGTGACCACGAAAAAGACCCTCTCGGACACATTGGCGAAATGGACTTCGAAAACACAGATTTGATGGAAAAGGAGAACCGAGTTCCAGAAAAACAAGAAAAAAAAGCGAGGGGAGGCAGGCTGATGGTTACTCCACAAAACAAAGCGAAAACACCAAAAAAAGATGGGAGGCCGTTTGATTTCTCATAAAATAAGCGGAAATTACCAAAAAAAAAAAAAATATGGGAAAGGGGAGGTAGATTACTAGTTTGAGAAGTAACTAACACTCAGAAAAAAAGTGTGAGAGTACATTGTATTCTGTGTAAACCGAGAAAAGCGTGCAATCGAGTTATATTTTCGCGTGACTGACGATGATCATCGTGGACTACAGTGAAAGATGGGCTCCGGTGGGAATGTGAGAAGACCCAAATCAAAGATTGGCGGCGCCTACACATCAGGGGCACCAAACATCAAATCCAAAAGCAAAAGAACATACAAATAGAGCTCAGGGGCAAACTAGACCATCAGTCGAAAGTCGGCACAATCAACTCCCTCAAGTCATCAAACTCGCCCAGAGGTTACCTTCCTCACGGCGATGCATCGAGTGCAGGGACTTACTAGCCCCGAGGCGTTGAACTTGAGCTTGCGTTCGTGGCACGGAATACAAGCCTTGCCCTTCTTGCAGAGTTACCTCCCAAGCATGAATCAGAAGACGACAGCAAGGAATTGCCGTTCCCTGAGCAGATCCGCAGTGTGATCGAGAACGGCACCCTGATCAGCGGGTTCGGAGTCATTTGCACGAGGACACCAGTTAGGTCCAAGCGTTTCGCCGATGAGGTGGATGGCTGGATTGATCCAGAGTCATTTGACTTTTTCAGCAGCTGGAACCTTGTTCAGGAGAATCGACCACTGCAGGTTTGAGTTCGGAGTCCTTTGTTGAGACATCGCTAGGGTTCGCTGGATCACCTCGCGGACATCCTAATTGTATCGTTGGGCGTGGCTTGGGAACTTCATGAGCCGGATTTGGTGTTCATCGTTTTGCCGGTCTGCCTGAATACTTCGTGAGGCCCTAATAGATGGCGGGCACGTTGCCCTAACCCTATCAGGAAGGTTAGCCAAATACTTTCCACCGCGGCATAAAATAAATCCGCAGGCGTACAAGGTAGATTTCATGCTAATCAAGTTATCATACTCGCAGAACAATGTTCCAAACAACAATCACTTGCCTTTGCGGCATCGCAAAACCCATTCAGCATGTTGGCTCTGTGCAACGAGATTCAGGTCGACTTTTAGCATGAATGGCAGATGGGGGAACGCCTGGACTTGCCCGAACCACATCCGTGCAAGGAGATTTTCGTGCACCCGAAACTAATCCGAAGCCGCCGATCTTAGTTGAACCCCCCTATCGAGCCGTACAGATTCCCACCGGAAGTTTAGCATGGCGACGACGACTCCAGCTTTCGATGACTTCGAGATGGACTTGAGCATCGATTAAATGCAGTCGTACAACGAACTGCCGGCTCGAATAGCTGATCGCTTCTACCGTAAGTCCCCTGTCCGGGAGTTGAAAAGGTCTGCAACCACTACCACACTACTACTACCGACGCCACCACCACCACCGGGGTTGTCAGAATGAACGTGGTAGCGGTGTCATGGAATTCGACCATTCTACCACACAGCGAGTGGTGGTGATGTGGTGGCATGAGTGTGCCAACTTTCTTTTCCCGAGGGTGCAGTGAGTACATCGTGAGTACTCGGCGAGGCGGGACTCAGAGACTGAGGGTCTCCCTTGACCCTCTTAGCCTCCCCTTGGCACCAAGTGCTGGTGGCTCGTGACCCACTCACAGAGTTATTGACCAATCACTTTTGATATGACGTCACCCCACCCGAATTGCCTCTTCGTACGTAAAACCTTAAGTTTGGGCTTTTAAAGATATGTCAAGTCGAGATGGCCCTGCCATGGTCATCCAGGGCGTGGAACTTGAACATAGAGGGTCTGTCGTTTCCTCGAGGCTGTTGCCGACGGTGGGTGGCTGTGTGGCCGATCGCCACTGACCTCGTGTGTTAATAGACAAGTATCCGTGGGCTTTTCTTAGCGAGGCGAGCTCGGAGCCTGGATAGCTTCCATCTCAAGTTGCACAGGACTGTGCAATGCTCAGCACCGGTAGTTGGTACGTCCCAGGCCCACACAAGTTCCGATGGAGACCTGCGCACAGCATTCATCCCCAGGATCACCGGGATCACCGGGCTGTAGCAGGGGGCGTGGCGGTGATGACATAGACACCGACTCGGGGTTCAGCATGGACGCGCGTGGGCCAAGGACATGATCATGCACGGGTACAACGTCGTGGGGAAGAAGGCGCAGGCGAACACGAGGACGATGAACCTCATCACTCTCCTCAGGAGGTCGTACATTAAGAGGCACATGTAGACCGACGTGGTCAAGTACGCGTTCCAAAACACGTACAGCTACACGTGCGCCGGTATGAATGCTTACACGGACAGCAACAGCTACTACCCTACGGCGCTCGTCTACTACTCGTGCTCTGGACATCGATGCGTATATGGACAGCTTGTTGGACCGCTACGACATCGAGGCCATCAACACGCCGTGGTTGAGGAAGACCATATACACCGGCTGCAACAGCACGAGCCTCGGCCTGATCGACACCCTGAAGATAGATGAAGACGCGTATAACCACAACATGATCATATCGTGGGACCCCGTTCGAAGGTGCACGGAGATGATGACCACCGCGCCAGTGTTGAACTGTGAGGGCAACAACTTGATCGAGCATCCCAACACCATCAGGTCCAGGCTCCCGAACACCGTCGTGTTCTGGAACGTGACGTGGGACCCCAACATGAAGCTGATCAAGAGCGTGATCTCGCCCGTGCTCAGACTGAAAACGAGTACCCGGAGACCAACACGAACATGTCGAGCTCCAACTACATGCTCGTGGCCGTTGGGTAATACAAATACGAGGACGTGATCATGATCACAGATAAGACCGAGGGCAAGAATACGATGTTGAGCAGGACCCCTGCCAGGCCTTCAAACACGATCACGGACGAGCAAACGCCGGCGAACAACACCACCACCAAGACCTTGTACAGCCCCACGAGCACGAACCCGAACAAGATCACCGCCCAGGACTTGAACAACGAGGAGCAGAGGAAGTCGGTCTTGGCCAGCGCCCTGTCCAACGACGACGACAGCAGCGGCTTGAGCGAGAACGACTCGACTCCGAGCAAGCCCACGTCCACGCTCACCAAACCGAAGCCCGAGTAGTACAAAGTCGGACTCGGGAAGCCCAAGGCGGACGAGAAGACGGGGCAAGGGCAAGTTGTGCCCTGACGTCATCATCACGGGGCCGAACTGGGTCCTGAACTAGTGAATGATCAGGAACGCGGTCATGGAGGGTGTCCCGAACTAGATCCTGGACAAGCCCCCGCGTATAGTCAAAGGCGCCTAGAGGGAGACGTACAAGTTATACGAGATATCCTCAACGAGGCCACGATCGCGTTCGCGTAGATGATTATGAGGCGGCAAGCACAGTGTTAGCCATCCCGGTGAGGAAGCGGAACATGATGGACGTCACGAGGCCGAATACGGTGTAGTCCACGATCAAGGTCTAGTACATCGACGCGAGCATATAGAAGGCCTATACCCGATCACTCCGAGACCGTCGAGGTTGACGGAGACACCGAGGAATGGAAGTCGTACGAAATCGAGAAAATCGTCAAGTATCGAGCACGGAGGTACGATAAAAAGCATGTCATGGAGTATCTAATTCGATGGAAAGGCTGCAGCCTGGAATATGACGAATAGTATGGAGAGGATCTCGTCGGAAATGCTATGGATCTAGTGGAGGTATACAAGCGGACGCAGATTGAACACGACAGGAGCCCCAGCGACACTAGCTAACTGGCTGGAGGCCGTCGCTCAGGAACGTCGCGAAAGTGAAGGCGACACCCCGTACGGCAACGAAGTACTAACCACGTTCGCGACCGCGCTCGCGTACTTACCCGGTTTATGCGAGCGGGTGACGCCCTCGGTCCAGGTGCCGAGCCAGGCCATGTCTCTGTACGCCATCGTAATCAAGGATAAGTACGCCAACAAGCATCCGAAGAACGCCATGTCCAGGTATCTGACGCTGTTGACGAATGTCCCCAGTAGCCGCCGGTACGTGGTCAAGTCGTCCGTCCTAGTCGCCTCCCACCTTTCTCTACCCGCTTCTCGATCAAATGGTCTCTTCTCTGGTTTCCTTCTTCCTTTTTCTCTCTCTCAGAGACGCTTCACAGATTCTTTCTGTGTTTTCACTCTTGTCGTACGTGTTAGTTTCCTTCGTCTTTGTGTGACCCTCTCCTTTTCTCCTTTCTCTGCGTGTCTTGTAGCAGATCCCGCACTCAATCATCAAGATCAAAGATTCCGTACTCGGGCGACGATGGCCCCGGGGTTGCTGACGCTGGGTGGGCACGTGCACGCCGAACCTAACCGATCATCGTACAAATATCCCGAAATAGCCGGCCGGTGCTTTATAAGATGGCCGTGACTCGTGGGTTTCGCTTTATCCTTCATCTTCAGCCGGCCAGGGGAGCAAGCCAAGCAGATGTCCGAGGTCCGCAAGGAGTACCACGAGGAACAGAAGCGACTGCAGGAGGCGGAGGCGGAGGAGTGGGAGGACCAGTAGGGCCAACACCCACCGCCGCCGGAATAACAACAACCATAACGTCGCCACTACCCATTTGGCTGGCACCGCTCTCACCATGGCATGATGGCGGTGGCATTGGCGCGCTCCAGGTATCCAAGTGTGAGGCTCGGATGTGGCGCTCTCACATATATCGATACCCTACTGTAAACTGTCCATTGAATCGGGATCCCCCGTATGTGGGCTTCCACCTCTTGATTATCTGAGAAGAAGAGACTCTCTCTCTCATTACCGTAAGTGATGATCATTTCGACCGAATTCGCAGCTTGACTCAAGAGATGAGTGCGTTACTCTGGTGTGGTGTCTGTCCGGCATGGCAGTGTCGCCGCAGATGACATTGAAAATTTCTTGGAAAGTATCTCGGATGATGCCTTCAACTTCTGCAGCCCAACCTAGTAGCACGGGGACCGCGTTGGAAATGATTCGGCAAGAATAAGCGCGTTCGGCCTCTGTAGCCAGAAATGATCAGGGCCGAACTCGAATGCAGGCTGCGGAAGTCGCAGTGACTGCAGAGAGTGATCAGCGACCATTGACGATCTGGGTTTGGTCCTCACAGAACTCCAGAGCCCGGCAAGTTTGATAGATGGCCGGGATACCCTTAGACGGGAACTAAACAAGGAGTTCGAGAAGGAAAAGGTGCGGTTTCAGGGGAGGGCTCCCCATACCTACAGATCCCGGGCCATCGAAGTCGCCTCTTGGTTGGCACATATACCAATAGGGACGTCCACCTGAAGGGTAATGGCCGTGCCAGAGTCTTTTGCCTGAGGCGTCTCCTGAACGGGTCATGCCACTGTCAACGGCGCCGCCCGCGTCCGCAAGCGGACTACTAGCCTTGTAGAGGCCGCCAAGCTTATTCTGGCACTCCCTGGTGGTGGTGGTGGTGCGGTATTGGTTGCAAGGGAGAAATTGTTGCAGTCTAGATTGTTTGGTTCTACAGAGGTCGGCCCATTCATCAGTAATGCGGTCACGGGTTAACATTTCTCCGAGCTACTACGCGCTTTTAGTGAATTTTAGGCAGGAACTTAGGTAGTATGACATCAGAAGTTGGTGAATCTAATATCTGATTGGTCAATAATTCTGATGGTGGGTCTCGAGCACTGCTAAGAAAGTTCTGAGAGTGAGAGAGGCTACACTCTCTGTGTGCGAGTCAGTGTGTGACTACACCTTGGCATCCTCTAGAAAATAAAGTGGGACTGTCTCAGGGCGGCGAAACTTAGCCCAAGTACGAGGACTACTACGTGGAGGTGGTCCAAGCTCCCCGGCTTTACCGCCGAGTCACGAGAAGCGGTAGGGATAGAGTAGGGGACGAGTAGATAGCTAACTTGGAATAGAGAGACAGCCAGAGCCAGTTCAGGCGTATTTAGATCGACTTTAGGACCTATACGCCCTAGTATCGTTGCATTTAGTCGGTACTCCGCAATGGTAACGGGCACGACTCTGGCCGGTATGATACCCGGGCGCAACGAGGCACATAGGATCCTGACCCTACACCACTGTGACCTGCCACTACTGGGGCTGCCGGGGCTGCTCTCGCGCCATTTCCAAACAACCTCGCGCGTCACGTCCTCGATGTGCGTGAACCTCACAGGGCCCAATAACACTCCGCCGTACCACCTCACGACGGCGACCACGCCCTCCGCGTCCATGTCAGTCAGGAGCCACTCGAGTCGCTTACAGGCATACTTTGCGCCATGTACTCCAAGTCCGTCAATGAATGGGTTTTCCTCCTGCCACCGCTACCGCCGCCGCGCCGAGTGGGTTGGGCTTTGTTATTGTGAAGACAGTCTGCTGACTCGATCGCCGTCGCCACGCGATGATGCGGTGTGGCTCGCGGTTAAAGTTGTCCAAGAACGTACTTTGCCTTGGTCCCGAATACTCCATAGTCGAGACGTGTCAGATTGGGAGAGAGGGAGGTAGAGGAGGGAGGCGTGCGCAATTCATGAAGAGTTTTCTGTTTTGGGCAGGACTGATACCAGATCGGTAGATGCGCCAACATTTTTGTGACCCGACAATTGAGGGTTCTGAAATTTGGAGATGGGCAGCAAAGTCAGCCTGCCATGTGACATGCAGCCTTGCTTAGTTATCAAGTAGGCTGAATCATCAAGCGCAGTTCGTACGGTGAAGTATATGTCGCGAACGCCGGGTGTGCTCTTGGAGGTGTTTGACGATCGCTCGATGCCGCAGCTGGGACGAGCGCGATTCGACCACTATAGATCTTTGGGTGTCACAGGGGTGTGATCTTTAGTACCTACGTTGCCCACGTTCGACGACGAGGAAGCACACTAGCGCTTGGTGTCCTTGTGGATACTGAAAACGGATTCCCGGCTCTTCTTGGACTGCGGCTCTTTACGGCGTAGGGGGATTTCTAGCTTATGCTCTCTATGACCTGAAAGTTATGTCAGCAGCACCACCTCAGAGATCTCTTAGAGTTGTGACAGTGAGTGAGTGGGGGTTACTCAGAGAGTACCGAGAAGTTGCACCCTCACTCACTAACGCTCTGTGTGTGTGACTCACGGTAGTGTACGAGTGTACTCTTGGCACTCTTGGCCCTCTTGGCCCTCTTGGCACCCTCTGGAAAATCAAGTCAGTATAGCTTATGTCACATCACCACGCCACCACCACCACCACCAGGGGGAGTCGGAAATTCCGTGGCCACTTTATTTGGGAAACGTTAGCAACACAAACACACGGATATGAACACGAGTACGACGAGGCTGAAGAGTACATAAGGCTGAATCTTACATGAGGCCGCAGTATATATATACGAATATGCGTCCTCAGTATATGGCAAGTTCGACGCCCAGGAGTTTTCAACAGAGGTTGTAAAGAGAGAGCGTTTCCCCTTTACGCTATGAAAACGATCAAGATGCGAGAACCGGATGTTTTTTCGCTCTCCAGGAATGGCCCTCCTCAATGCTCAGCCAAGAACTTTTTCACCCCTGAAAACGCAAAAAGGCCCGCTATGTCTTGCGATATTTCTCCAGCAGCCCTGTCGCACTGTTGACTCTACTAATTCCAAACGTATTAGATATAGTCGAGAAAGAGCAATTCCTGTCGGCTGATGAGATCATCGACATGGCATACTCGTCCGGATATTCTTTGTAGAAGACGGTAACGGGTCTGCAAAACTGTCAGCACTGGGGGAGAGCTCACTGGGAATTCTCACGACGTACGATGATTCCGGGTCGTTGATGCGCTCAGGCGCCACATGTACTTGTTCTGGCGCTGCGACAGATCCATTCCTTCTGGATGTCAGCAAGCAGAGCTCCAACGAGGGTATGGAGTGGCCTTGACTCACCCATCAAACTTGTATTCGTCAAGCCTTTTGAACAACTTTCTCATTTCCCTACTCTGAACGCCATCCCCAGTCTTGCCGTCCTCGTTTGGGGGGAAAACCTTAGAGACACCGGCAGTAGTTGTGACCTCGGACGACATCCTTGACTTCTCTAAACGCCCGATATGACTGAACAGGCCGAGACCATTGCTGAACGGGATGGCCATGACGAGCGGAATGAACAGGCTGTAGAACAACACATCCCAATGGAAATGAAAACCCAGCCCCAGACCGACAATGGACCATGTCATCCAAGCGCCAAAACAAAAGCTCACGGCGGTGAGTTTGGCCTTTGTCCGAGTTGTTTTTGTCCTCACGCAACACCAGGCGACGACGAGAGGTACGAAGTACTGGACGAGAGTGATGATGGGGTATCCCCAGATCACTGCGGTGCCGTGGCATTCGTACAAGATCAAGACTCCCAGACCAAAGAGGAGGAGTTCAGCCCAGACAGAGATGCGGAAAATCCGGACAGCGAGAGGAAGTAAACCTCCCAGGGCGGAGTGGTGATGTTCCCAAAGGAAGTCCAGTTTCTGTGCAGGTAATTTTGTTCGTCAGCCATGCGGACACAAGACCACGGGAGGTAGGGGAGATGTGCAGCCACGTACATGAACAAGGACGGCGTTGAAGAGGCAGATACATTGACACGCGAGGGAAAATCCCGCGCCTTTTTGACTGATGGACCAAAGCCCAAAGTTGACGGGGGTGGAGATGACCCAGCTGGCCAGGAGATACCACCGTAGACCCACCAACGAGTTTTCGCTGGTTCTGGCCACGGACGCGAACAAGTGAAGAAAGTGCAGGACAGTCGTCGAAGCCACGAGGTTGAGCAACGACGTTTTTGGTTCGAGGTCGACGGTGCACGCCACCAGAAGAATGACAGACACCGACACACCCGAGAGGATCTGCGAGGCCAGGAGGACGATGAGGTAGGTCCTGGATATGGCCATCCTTGAGATGCGGGAAGAAGTCATCGTCGTCGCTTTCACGGTGTCGGATCTGGTGGATGGACGGTGATGAGGTCGGCAAGGAGTTGGTCGAGGCCATGGACACGTTGGACCGGCGGTTTAATAACCCCCATTGTGTGGCAGTTGTTATCATGGGTACGGGAAAGGGTCCTTTGACACTTCAAACCCCCAGGGATTCAAACGGACGGTAGACACGTTGAAGTGGGGTGCGGAAATGGACGTTGACGGATGTAAAAACAGGCTTTTAGAGATGGGTGTTTTTAGTTGTGTAACTTTCAATGCGCAATGTTGCCATCCTGCCCCTGGTGCGTAGGGAGAAGCGACCGTACAATCGGCTATTGGTGAGGTTACCACGTTGTGTTCTCCTAAATCTTGCAGGGTCCACCTACCCTTGTTCCCCGAACACCAAATCCACACACAACTCTGGTTCAGGCCACCCTTTCCAAAAGTACCAGCCTTGGCCATGTCTTGAGCAATTGGCTTTCATCGAGAGTTGGAAGGGTCGTGGGCAAGGTGTTTGATTGGACAGCCAGAGAAACCCGGTTAGTGGGTACGCATCAGGATTGCTGATTGGTGAGTCCAAGAGTGGGGCGGCAACGATTGGTTCGGGGGTCCGGCTTTCCCTTCCCAGACCAGTTTTGCCAAGAATGAGTGCGGAATTTGACAGGTCGTACAGCAATTTAACAAGGTGGCACAGCGTGTGTCTCATTCCGACTTCCCAGCCGGGGCAGCTATATTTTCGGGTCTCATTACCATCTTCAGCCGAGCCACCGTCATCTGTGGCTGGTTGAGCAAGGATTCGGTAGCTTGTTTTTCCAATGGTCTCAGCCTCTGCGTAACATGTTCCCCACAATTTGCGGCATCCCCTTCGACACGAAGAGCACTGTGTTCCTACTCTGGGTGCGGGGCCGACGTCAAATCCTGTTCATTTGTTTCAATCTACTCATGACGTGCCCCCATTCGTGCTCCATCACCAAGTCTCCCCCTGCTTCCATATTTCAGCCGCACACATCTCGCACTTCGGTTATGGTCACTGGCTAAGCTCTTGGTATCTTGTAGGTCGGTGTGTCCATCCGTAGGTCTGATCACTCTGTTGTTGCCAAGGTCGGCTTCATCTTCATCCGGTGGTACCTTTGGGATTGGAAAGTAGAAGAGAATGGTCGTTTCAACAATCTGGACAAACTAGCGTGTGTGGGCTCTTTGATACCCCTCCCCCCTCTCTTCCTTCCCAAAGTAGCTCCCCGAAATCGCATTGGAGCGTAGTGATCACTGTATATCGATTACTTGTGTTGAACCTTTCCACTGACACCTTGCCTCACTTCCCCCCAGAGTACATCACAACCAGGAGCTGGAAAATCCTCAAAGGCCAACGAAGGGACGGCCACTTTGAAAGAAAACGGCAAAGCTTTCCCGCTGCTTGCGTTTCCAACACTTTCGAATGAAGTCGTGGTCCAGTCGATCAGATCGAATTCGTAGCCATCCCAGCAGAACATATCCAGCTGGCTTCCCGAGTCCAGGAAAATCTTCTTGCGTACCGAAGTTCCATCGTTTCCCATGTACTCAACGGCCACAACACAAAACCCCTCAGAGCTGTATACCTTGAAGTCTTTTGAGATCTCTCCAAATTCCCTGCCTCGAGACGCAGGTCCTCCCCATTGGTCGACTCTCATTAAAAGTGGTTTGTTGGGAGACTTCTGCCTCTTGATATCGAGGACGGCTTTGAGTGCGTTGGCGTAACCTTGTGCTGAGAGGTCCTTGTTGCGGCTATGGGGCCAGTATCTGGCGTTGTTTTGGTATTTGCTGGAACCTTCCATTTTGGGGGTAAAGAAGGGCACAATAACACCACGTTGATGGCGACTTCAATAACAGTATTTGAAAATGACAACGTTCCACCTGTTGTAAAGGGAAGGCAAAACAGAAACGACAGAACAACAGGAGTTGGACAAATCTCTGTCTACCCAGGAGGGAGGAGGAGAGAAAATCCTCTCTTTTGTAACCCTCTCCCCTGAGACCCTCTCTCCCTTGAGACCCTCTCCCTTGAGGGAGCACGGTCATGTCAAAAAATGTGACACAAATTCCTCGGCGCGTCTACCCACGTCGACATGTCGCCACGGATGGAGTTATGCCTCACCGTAGAGAACTGCCTTGGTGCCAATGCGGATCTTTGATTTTTTAGCGCCGAGAAACGCCAACCCTGTCAGCCAAGATCCTAACCCTGGATGTCGTCCACTATCCTACCCTGATCCCAGGCCATGATGACATGGATGTTCATGCCGTTTTCCAAGACCTTTACCCTGATGGGCGTCGCGGATGTGCTCGACGGGCACGAACTCGATCAGGTCGGTGCGGATGTGCCCGCAGCCGTTCGTGATCATGTACTTGGTGCAGCCCATGATGGTGGTTTTGTCCGTATACACGCGGGTGACCAACGGGCTGTCTTAGCCATGTATACACGCCATCGTGTACGAGATGATCATCGTGAGTATGCGCGGCTACGGAAGCGAGAAGGTGACGGTGCTGTCGGACAAGCCCGGGCGCCCGCGCCTGGAGAGACTCTCGGCAGTGATCGTGTGCATGTGCATGAACTCGATGTTCGTCGTGCGGGCCTCTCCGAGCTTGATGTCCTTGATGACCACGTTCTTGCCGTCGTGCAGGTCGATGTCCCGTCACGAGTCCAACCTCGTGACGTCGAACAGGTCCTTGGTCAGGTTTATGTAGCCGGTGCAGTACGTGTTGTCGTTCGTGCGCATCAGCATGTTACTGGTCATGAGCTTGAGGCTGCCTTTGCATATGAACGCGGTGATGTACATCATGTCCATGACGTGGGTGTGCCTACTTACCATGGTGTTCGGGCACATGAGCGTGATGGGGTCCGTGCTCCCGCAGTTGTACTCGCTCATGAGGTCGGAATTGATCATGTACTCAATCATATTCAGCGACCTAACCGGCTTCTGGTGCACCTTGCGCAGCGCCATATTGTACAACACCACGTCGCTGCAACCGATTATGCTCCTGACCAGGCTCATCCTCGTGTCCGCTATCATCAGTACGAACATGAACATCTTCGGGTTTATCGACTGGATCCAGTACTCGAGCGGGTTCGTGATCCTCGAGATGATGTCGAACGTACGTAGATCATGATCCTGCCGTCGTCCATGAGCATGATCTCGTCCCCGTCAATCACGAGCAACCTGTGCGCGGCCCTGATGCTGTTTCTGAACTGGTTCTTGCAGACTACCCTCTCGCCGTCGGTCATGCTGTACGCGCCGAACACGGCCATCATGACCACGATCGGCTTGTTCTTGCGCTTCTCGTACGTATGCAGGTAATTGTTCCTGAACCAGAACTTGTCCACGTCGACGCCCACCATCTTGATCTTGTGTCCGCTGGTCTTCATGTTGGTGACCCACAACGTGTCGACGAACAGATCCCTGCCCTCACAGGTGCCAGTGGCAGACGTTTGTCCAAGTGTCATGACTGGCGATGACGCCATTCAGAATCAGATTCCCCGGGCTGTCTACCTCATGGCGGGCTTCTTAGGCAGCAAGGGTTATGAGACCAGCATGACAAGAAGAGAGCAGTAAAACCGTCGAGCTGGAGATGACGAGCAATGGCGCAAACTGCCACTGGCGAGGCCTTTGGCCGAAACAGTCGCTCCACCACCCTACCATAGGGTCCGGAGGAGCCGAAGTTTGGCGTGTTCGGTATTTCTTTTGCAATCAGCACAAAGTTTGAGATCCGATATTTGTCGTTGGACACATGATCCTCAAACCCGCACTTCCGCCGTGGCCACCCAGAAATGCTCTAATTGATACAGAAGCCGCACAACATCGGCGCACGATGCGATCATATAGGTCGCCCCGTACCACACGCTGTCGGACTGTTTAGTGAGTAGGATCGCCCAATGTAGAGTCTCATATCTTCTTAGGCTATGACGTCTCTTCCTGACCCGTGCGCCCAGAGCGTCGTCGTGTTCTCAAAGGCCTCGAAGAAAGCATCAGGCCTTTCTTCCCAGCCTAGACCTTATTGTAGATAATGCTTTCATCACCAGGTAGGATTGTGTTGGTGACATTGACATCTTTAGTGTCCCCTCGGAGGACACTCACCAGTCGGAATACATTACACCCGATGGTGTAGTGTAAGGTAATAGGGTAGCAATTACCGTCTCTTCCGTTGTGATAGATGTCCTCCCTGGCAGTCGTCATCCCGCTACCAATTGTTCAAATGAAATTGAGGTCGAGGAGGGATTCTTGGACATCAGGTTGAGAAAGCTAGCGCAGGCGGACCTCAGAGGACTACTCATGCCAGGAGGGCGCTTCCTGATAGGGTGGGTTGGGGCACTTGCGACTGAGCGATGTCTCCCAGAAATGCGCCCGTATGCGTCTAACCTGAGGATCTTGAGAGTCGAAAGAAGTATCGAAAGCGAAGAAGACCCGAGGGTTCTTATAGTAGCACTTGAGCGTCACAGCCAGCGGCCATCAATGGTGTTTGACAGGTGTTCTGTTAAAATGCCTGAGCTGCCGGACTATGATATCGGACTGTTCAGGGTATAACTTTCCTGCTAGAGTTCTGAGTTTTACCATCGATGCTCAGAGGGAGTGATATCCGGGTCGTCGTAGTTGATGCTGGTGCTCAGTTGGCACCTGGGCTGTAATTGTTTCACAAGCGACCGCCGTAACAGACCCCGAAGGTGCCCAGCAACTGAGCTGAGTAGGGATGTGTTCGGCGTGGGCACCCGTGTCACTCTCAGTTGTCTTGCCATTTTGTAATGCCCAGGGGCGTCCACTTTCTTGTCAAATGTCTCCTTGAATAACTTCTCCCGTTGCATTGAGTCTGGAAAGCATCCCAGGCGCTGAAAGTGCCCCCAACCGCCAACAATCTTCTGGTTCATTTTAGAGACACCGCCTTCGATGCCTCCGAGGGCCCCTTTGTCTGGACTGCCAAAACAGACGAAGCCGACGCCCTTGTCAAGCAGCTAAGTTAGTCGCTGAATGTGGCCCTCCCGCCATCAACCATCTTCTGGTTCATTTCTGAAACGCCGCCTTCAATACCTCACCCCCTCGTCTGGATTGCCAAAACAGACTCTGCCGGCGCCCTTGCCAAAGAGCTAAGCTGCTCGCCGTAAGTGCCCCTGGCGCTATATGAGCAAGGGCAACTGTTGATACAATAGCTTACCGTTGACCATCTGCTGGTTCTGGTTTATGTCCGAGGCACCGCCCAGACGCGTCGTCCCATCGTCCGGATTGCCAAGGCAAACGAAGCCGAAGCCGCTGCTCTTGCCAAAAAGCTGGCCTGTTGGAAGGCCCCGCTGCTACGAGAAATGACCTTCCTCGCTGCTGCGGGCCGACTCTCCGTTGACATCGGACTATTAAGCCGCGCAGTGGCCGTCGGTGATATCTTATCGTTCCTTCTGAGGCCCTCCTTGTACCTGACTAAGTGTCGGAGAGCCAGGAGAGTGCACCCTCAGTGTGTGGCACCTATCAGCGATATCGCTGGGAGACAGTTCCGCGTTCGCGGGGGTGACTAGAGCGTCCACAGGAAGTTGTGTCATGTCCGTCCGCACCGCGTAAACCTTTTCGTTTAGTTTCTGCTTTGGGGCTGGCTCCTGGAAGATAAAGTTAGATAACTGGCTTATATCTTCCTTTATCATTTTGGCAGGGTCTGTTCCCTTCATGGACATGGCAGAGCAAAGGGACAAGGGGACAAATCCTGCAGAGAAGTCGGACGATGACGTGCCAGCTCCGCGAAAAGAACCCAGAAGCATGGAAGTGTCGCCATTGTGCCTCCTTACAAAAGACCAGCCACAAGGGCCGAGCTGCTCGCGCAACCGCAACAAGAGGCTCTCTGAGATGATGGTTGTCATCAGAATCCTGCTCTCGTTCGGGATGCAGGCTTGAAGAAGCACAGCCTAGAGAGGAAGAATCAGCATATGGTCATGGCCAGCCAGTGAAGGACGAAAATTGACCAGTGCATATTCAACCACAATTTTGGCACCAAGACATCAGCCATTCACTCGGTGATTTCAGTAACATTCGTCTCGACAGCCACAAACACATTGTGACGCGTCGAGTGCACCCGAAATATGCGATATGCCACTGCTGCTTCATTAGAGTCGCCGTGCGTGGGATGACAACGCCATGACGGCAGCAGTGGTGCGCAACTCTGATACGCTGTCCGGGTATCGTTTTCAAAAGGCAGCAATGCCTGTTGTGTGTTGACGGTGTACACTCCGCGGACCCAAGGCAGCGGCGTCTGAATCTGCCGTGGCGATCGCATTGCATGAACTCTATATCCTTGAACTTCTTGAGAACCTCAGCGACATCGGTGTCTCGCCTTGAATCCCGTTCCTTCTGCCGAGCTGTCGTCTGCGCCACCGCTTTCAAACTCTGACAGATCTGGGCTATTTAGTTCTCCAGAGTCATTTATTTCGTGACTTTCCCTCAGGACTTGCTTCCACTCCTTTCCGTACTCAGCCGATATGCTGGCTATTGTCTCAGTCATTTGCTGTTCCAAAATCGCCGACACTTGGGTTCTCAAGCCCTTGCAGCTTTTAACCCGACCATCGATGTTCTGCAGGGTCGAGGACCCCTCCGCATCTCTCACCAATGCTGCCCTCACGAGAGTTACATTAGACTGTCGAACTTGACGGATCTCCCCATGTAACTTCTCCAACTCTTGGTGTCTTTCTGTCTCCTCTGCCGAGTGCATATTCGCCTTCTTAGCCGCATTATCGGTGTCTTGTTCAGTTCGTTCTTCCTTTGGTTCCGCTTTTTGGACATCTCTTCCTCGAGTTCATTCCCCATCCATGTCCGCTTTGTGGATATCTTCTCAATGAGCTCGTTCTCCACGTGCGTTTTGTCAGCGGAAACTTGTTTGTCGACAAGGACCATCACAAGACATGATGCTTGCCGGTTTTCTCTTTCGATATCTTCCGCCCCATTCCGGAAACGGTAGGTTAAGCGTATGACAGGCTTGTTTGGTCCTTTCGCTTCCGTGTAAGCGGGTACCTCTTCGTCCGGGCCGTTTTCGTGGTCGACTGACGCCTCGGAAGGCGTCATTGGACCTGCATAGGCATCGGCGCCGGTGGAATGTACGTCGGAACTTTCAAGCTCCGGCATTTTATCACGAGCGCCTCGTTTGGATTGCGGCTGCTTCTGCGTATCGGCAGCCTTGCGCTTTCTGTTACCTGATATAGCGGGTTTCTGTTGAGAATCGGGGTGCCGTCATTCCCAGATGAAGCTGGTTTCGCGTCGCAGGCCTCGTCATCTCGTCACCGGATCGCGGGATTGCTGTAATTATTCTGTCCTTGTCGCCAGTTGGTTCCGGACTCTGCTCAACAGCTTCGGCGTGAATTAACTCTCGACATGCTTGCAGACGTCGTAGTGATTTGCCGTCGGAAAGGTTATCTATAACTTAAGGTACTGCTTCTGTTTGTGCACGCTGTGAGGCGATATATGCCCTGCCACACATTTGCGTTCTTCGTCGTCGGCTAACACTGTTGGCACTGTCCGAGTGAAATTTCCAAGAGCGCAGATTGTATATTCGGTCTTTTTACAGTCGGGGTATGCACAGCAGCGAGTTCGTCAAGATCATACATCTTGTCGTCAGTTCTTCTCACATGCAGACAGGTTCCTGTACTTGAGCTTCGTATATTCTCAATATAACTCAGGTATCGCAGATATCGGCGTTCCATCGCTGCCTGATGAATGTTCGTCCATGACCAGGACTTCGCGAAGGTTTTGGTGCCCATGTATGTATGTGTTCATGCCTGGTCCGCAAACCATATCGACCTTGGGGCCGGCCGAAAACGCATCATGAAGTCAGAACGTCTTGTCGTTGAAATTCAGAGGCTGCTACAAGGCTGTGCTAAGAGGAGGACGCCAGAAGACTCGCCCTAAATTAAACGATAAGACCCGGATAATTGGCTTTACTTCAGAGGTAGTTGCGTGAAATTGCGGCCCACTAAGCCTCCCTACTGAGAAGATACGGGGCGATGGTGGGAGGAGAAACTAATGTCGTCCAGGCGTTCGAAACGACACGAACATCCGTAGTACCATAGGCACGTTCGGCAACGTTAGAGTCCAAAGGGTCCGGAGTTGTAAACCAGGTATCTCAAACTGAAACGAGTGATATAGAAGAGAAGCCCGAGACACAATTGGCGATGCAGTAGCCCAGGTATCTCCAGATTCATGATCGCTCACGGAAGAGGTCCCTCCGTAGCTCACTCAGGTCCCCCTTTGATAGACAGGCCGCCGAATGAGAGCACGGATGTGCTGCTGCTGCTGCTGCTTGACCTATAATGTGGAAAACCATGGGTGTCCTCAGTGGCCTGTGGTGCCTGGTATTGTGAAATAGGCCTTCTTTTTCTGTGGGTTGTGCGACGCGTCTGGATCCCTAAGGACAGATTGATTGCAGTTCTCCTGGTGACTGACATCCATCACGTGAGAGAATGCCGTTGACTGGCATTATATCGCATAGTAGATGACTGGACCGCTTTGCGTGGCCGGACTGATGAAAAAGTATCTTCAGAGGTCGTCTTTTTTCGCCTCACCCTGTTAGTGTATCTCTCATGGGTGTCTCCTTGCTCGATACGAGGCGGCCACCCTTGTTGATGTTTCGGATAAACCAATGTATAGTCGTACTGTGGTCAAAATCGAGGGAGACGGATACGGAGCTCAGCTGGTTGAGCATACTCCGAAGCCTGACAAAGGTCCCGTGAACGCTCTAGAAATAGCTGCGCTCAAGCCCTAGCCCATTAGCGACATGGGCGGCGTAATGGTTCAAGACAGGGACCTCAACACGGGGTTGATTCTTATCCGCGATTGGTTCAGTGGGGACGGCGAGTCAAGACACAACCTCGAGCACCTGCAGTTCAAACAGGCTGCCGTAACCACCAGCAGGCGACGAATAGCCCAGCACTGTTACATTGTATTGCTCGTTCTGTACGTCAAGCCGAATGACAGACGAACTTCGAAAGCTGTCGCAGGTTCGGACGCCCAGGGTTGGACGGGGGTCGGCGTCAAGAACTCGGGAAAGATCATGGTGTGCTGCTACTCCCCAGGCCACAACGAGAGGATATCTTATCTCTAGCATCACACTCCGCGGCGAGCCTTATTCGAGCTCGTCCTGGCGCGTGGTACGCGAGAGATTGCACCAACTTGGCTCTGACGGCGATTAGTGTGCAATATGTTTCGACGCAGTGGTTGTGGAGAAGCCTCCGCCTTATGCTTTGCCGTGATTCCGCTGGGATCGACAACGCGTGGATACCTGCATGCCGAGCTGATCGGCGACCTCAACACCAAGACATAAAAGTCCCAGAGGTGAATGACTTCCCGGCCTGTTTAGCCATATGCTCCCGATCCTCTGTTTGCCTACCATTGAAGAGCTTCGGCTGACAATTGACGCCTTTCACCCATGATGCGGGCGATCTCCTGATGACTACAGCTCGACGAGCTCAACGGCAGCCGGCCGCCTCGCGTTTTGTCTGACAATCTAACACAGCGCGGTACGACGCTGCCCCTTCGCCCGCGGTTCTGTGGTTCGTCGGACAACCGCGCTGGGCTTTGACGACAGTAGAGAACGCGTGGCAGGAGAGAATGGGGATCCTGAACTGAGTCGCATGGCTGGTCGTAGCGAAGACATGTGGTCAGGTTTGGGGGATGGGAAGTTGGCTTTGCACGGCCGTGTCCGCGACCGCATGGACGCTTTTTTCGGTCTCCGAGCGTAGGTTCCAGTCAATTCCCGTGATCTCCTATGCAGCTGAGCTGGCCGGCCGATCGTCGATCATGCATGTAGTACGCCATTAAAGTTTCGGCCCGTTGACAATTCCCCCTTCCTGGGGTTGACTGGATCGTACGATCCGAGATCCGAGATCCGAGATCGAGCCTTATGCAGGTACCAGCCGCAAGGTTCAGCCTTGTACAACATTTCCTTTCGTGTTCGACCTTTCTGTGTTCAATGTCCTTGCGTGTAAGAGGAACATGCAGAGCGTCGGGGAGATGTAGAGGCACTCCCGCACAAAGGCGAGTGGCAATGTTGAGATGAAGCTCGTGCTCCCTGTTCCTGCTCCTTCTCATGTGGATCAATCGGGGCGAGGTGTCACGAAAAGCCCCACGATGTTCAGCTGAATCTTGGACGAGCGTGATTCGGTTATTGTGAAGGACAAGGACAAGAGCGGGTACGCCGAAGTGGTCAAGGTTGCGGAGACGACGGCGGGGAAGAAGTGAGAAAGACAAGTCAAAGCTTCATAGATTTGAGCTCCGCGGTCCTTGCCTTAGGAGTCGCGATCTCGGGAGACACGGGAATGGACTCCCAAGGGTGTTTGGCAATCTTGTTTCCCGTAATCCCTGCTCTTGTATCGACCAACCGCCGCATGGAGGAACAGAATCTGCGTTTCAGCACGATTGTTCCAGCTCCACAAGCAGATCTGGGTGGAATAAGACGATGTATTGTCGATCCTGGCGGCAGGAAGGGTCCAGTCGCGTTTCTGCAAGAGAAGCATGTCAGAAGAATGCGAAATCGGAGGGAGGGTGGAAAGGTGGCGGTTGTTGCGGCGTGGGCATCGAGTTCTCCCGTACCCACTGGTATTCCATGTGAATTTTTTCGTATTATTCTCGTGTCTCCCGGCTTTTTCTGAATGCAAGTCATATCCGGTGGATACATGTTGTGCTGGATCTTGCCTGTCTTCATGGAAATGTATGTGTACGCTGTAGTAGGACGCTGCAGAGGCGGAGGGCCAAAGGTGGCGTTTATATCGTTCTGAGGAGAGGGAGTGCCTTGCTATTGGGGTTGAGGCTGACAGTTATGGAAACTGTCGAAAGGTTGCATGATGTCCGTCGAGGGTGCATGGACACAAGGTGAAGGATGAGCTTTTGGTCTGTAGAGAATGCGAGACTGTAGGGGAAGTGTTTGTGGTCGTAGGAAAGTATCGGATTGAGTATGGAAGCGATTGGCTGTCCTTCAGTCCCGGGTCTGCCTGAAGTGTTGTTAGACAAGATTTTCATCGACTTTCTGAAAGAAAATTATAGGGTTAGCCATTTTATTTTCTGTGAGAAAGGCATTTTTAGAACACTGTGAAAGTGAGAGTGGAGCGAGGGAGGAAAGGTAGAGCGTACAGCGGGAATGGGGAATATTGAAGGTGGAACGTGAATCGGTATACTCACGAACAGACTGATGACGTGGGGTGAAGGTTATTGTCAATCACAGTCCTAGCACTGCGGTTTGTTGTGGGCAGAGATCATTCTGAGGCAAGTTCGTGGGGTGAACTTGACCGAGATCAAGGTCGCAACGAAGCGTCGATATGGAAAAGGCGAATACCACGAAGCGACTGTCGCAGCTGCAAGATTTGAGGCGGGTGTGCAAATTCTAGGCCCAGGACTCAGTCAGCCCAGAAGAGAGGAGAGTCACCAACGACCCAGCAGTCAATGATGGCGCCCATGTGAGGGGTTGAACCCAGGAGAAGGCTTAGTTCTGGCGAACCAGCGCCAAGGCTAACGCTAGGACTAACGCCACCTCCTGATTGGCTGAATTTACCTGTACAATGTACAGGCAAAATGCAGCCTCCTGATTGGACGAGACGCGCACGGTGCAAGGGATACAGGATCCTGACAACTGAGACACCGTACGTAAGGGGAGGTAAGGAAGAGAGACAAAGTGTAAGAGGAATGCAGGGCGTGTACGAAAGAGGAAGGACAAGGGAGACAGGGGAAGACAATGGATATCCCTTACCAAGGAGCGTATAGTGAAGGGCCGCTGTAGTGGTAGAGTGACTATCATTACATTACCTTGACAACCCTATGAGTTACACACGGGTGGTGATGCGAGAATAAATAACTTGCAAGCCCTTGGCGTGAGGTAGCGCACTCCTATTTATTCCTCATCATCTCCTCTTCTTCCTCATCATCTTCTCTTCTCCATCAGCATTTCGCAGTCCTGCCCATATCTTCCACGATGGCTTCGTTTACCGGCTTCGATCTCAACCCTCTACAAGCGCCCGCCTTTGTCGAGTTGCAAGATGCTTGGAACTTCATGTTGACTACCTTGAGGGAGGATGTACGTTCACTTGGCTCCCCAACTTTGTGATCGCCGCTGACAACGTATTGTAGAAGCCCATCGTCGTCGCAACCGATTTTTTCGAGGACAATGACCTCATGTCCCTCGTGGTGAAACTACGCGACCTCCATGGCATGAAGATCAATGTCAGCCCCTTTCCGCAGCAGCGAGAGATTGCCAATTTTAGACGGGCCAACTCGACGTCTGCCGTGGCTGATCCTGTGTACAAGTGCACCATTATCCACTGCACCAAGGAGACCATGATGAACGTCCTGCGGATAATCAACGACAACGCCCACACGATCAAGAAGGAGAATTATGACTAGGTCCATAAAGGCGTCGGGAGGAATTGGATGACAAAGAGGTGCACCGTTCCAGCAACGATAGTCATCACGAGCGGTCGTGTCATGTCAAGGTTGATGTCACAGCCTGAGATGCAGCCTAGGATGCGCGTGAGTTGTTACCCTATCTCTATTGGGATAGTTAGCCGAATAATTTCCACCACGGCACGCAACAAAATCCGCAGTCGCGCTAGATAGATTTCCTTACCTGTTCAGTCAATTAATTATTCATCCATTCCACTTACATAGTTTACCCCGCACGAGGCTGGTGACCCCGCACCGGGCTGAGCGCAGAACTGTTCAATCACGTTATCGCTGCCACCACCACTAGTTAGCCTCCTTCGTCTTAGAATTCATATCATAATTGCACCCTTCACAGCGATCTCTTCTATTCAAGGGTGCACCGTGATATCAATAATTAATTAACTACTTATACCTTACGTACTCTTGGCCTAGCTGATATAATAAAAGGTTCTGTAACTGAAGAAGCACGACCCCGTCGAGCCATACAGGAAGTAGCGCTGACACTTTGTTAGTGATGATACGCCTTAATTGTTTCTATCCTGCGCTATTCACCGTACGCATTTGTAGCACCATTTCATCAAAATTGAAAACTCTGAGCCTATCAAAATTTTTGTGGCGGCATGGCGGAGACTTCATGTTTGTCAGAGTTGGCTTCAGGTGCCTCAAATCCTCCACCCATCGTATTCACCCACCCACATCTGAGTGCGACCCAACAAGCCAGTGAATGAACGTGACTTTCGACGCGTTGAACAAGGTCTTTGAGGTCCGGAGGCTGTTATGCGGCGGTGAGCGAGCTGCCGTGCTGTTGTGCGACCTTGGGTGAACTGCCCAGACGGTGAGCGAGCCACCCGAGTGACCTAAACAGCGAGTCACCAAGGCCAAGCAGAGCCTCCATGGCCCCACACCAGGGTCTAAAAACAGGCAACAACGCCCTCAATTTTCCCGTTTCGCCATGGGGGATGCCACCCGGAAGGATCACTTTTAGGCAACCCCCTAAGGAGCACCCGGTGTTGTTTGCCTGTTTCGCTGTTTGGGGCGCACAATTCTTGTGCAACTCCAGGCCACTGCGTTGTCTGATGCGTCCCCCTCAGCCCCATCGGTCGAGTCTTTTGGCGGTGACCATTTATGTTATTAGGGGCACCCCGCTCCCTATCTTCAATGTCGACATTCAGACAGAGCTTTTCCGTGTGCCATTGTGCTCTTTTCTTTTAGAAACGAGAAACAGGTCCGGCCCAAAGCCATGGCGGTCCTGTCGCAGTCGTGGGTGTACGTCCCCCGGTTAGTGTGCGCCATTACGGTTTTCCTCCTCACTTTTGGGGCCCCCTCCCTCCACCGACGTTACCTCCCCTCGGGGCCCAAGCTCGCACCCGCCCGCCGCCTTTTCTTTCTCGTTGCGCTCGCCTGCCAGGTACTGCTGTACACAGTCGACGCTGTGGCACTGGTAGCTGTCTCTGTGAGCAATGAAGAGCTCCCGGACACCCTTCCTGCCTTCTCCGAGGCGTTTCTCCTTCTCGCCACGGTCGCACAGCTTGCTCAGTTTTTCGACGCCGCAGAGAGTCCTCCTTGGTTGCTCCACGTCGGGAACTGGGTCTTGCTATGCGCTGCCGAGGTACTCGCATTTATCGTCCTCGAAGTCGACTCCGGGGGTCGCTGTGCCATTCGATTCCCATGCGGATTGGGTCTACTCCTCATCGCAGCGAAGACCTTCGTGTGGCTGGCTGCTGGTGCCGTCTTCCTTCTCCAGTGGCTCCGGGACGGCTACGAGAAGTTGCCCACCGTCGAACTAGCCACCGAGCAACCTACCGATCCGTCCGACCAAGCCAACGATGAGGAAAAGGACCCCAAAGTTGTATTGGGTATTCGTCGACCGGCGACAGAAGAGATTGAGGAAATAGGATGGATTGCGTTTGTGAAGAAGCACCACATATTCCTACCCTTCGTCTGGCCCAGCGACCAGCCCTGGATGATATTCCGTTTCGTCGCCTGCTTCGTGATTGTCATCGGCGAAAGGATCATCCAATACTATGTGCCGGTCCTATTTTCCAACTTCATGGATAGCCTGGACAGAGGCTCTGGTGTCTGGACTCAATTCTGGCTGCTCCGTCTGCTGTCCTGGCTCATCTCGGCCGCTGGCCTGGCCCTTCCGCGCGAGATCATGAGCATAGATGTCCGTCAGTATCGCCTCCTGAGACTCAGCACCGAGGCCCATAAGAAAATCATGAGTCTCGACTCCTTCTTTCATTCTGTCGTCTCGTCAGCCGACAAGATCCAGGCCGTCGACTCCTCTCGGCCCATGACCCTCATCATCGATGACCTCTGTTTCGAAATGCTCCCGCTGACCGTCAAGTTCTGCTTCGCCAGCACCACGTTGCACCTTGATTACGGACCGCGGATGACGCTTATCATGGTGTGCATGACAATAGTCCTAGCCCTCATGGAAATCAAGTGTTTCCCGCGCCTCACGAAAAATTTCGACGAAAGTCAAGTCATATCCTTCAAGGCGAACCAGCGGCGCCACGACGATATCAAAGGACATAGTACGGTGGCAAGCCATAATCAAATCGAACCGGAGACCAAAGCGTTTGGGATAGAGCAAGAAGAATATGTCGGCCAGTACAACGGGTATGCGAGATCGTTCCACTACCTGCAGGGCACCAACGGATTGATAATCGAGGTCTTCGAGATCATCGCCCAAGGGCTGGTCACGTACCAAATCAGGCAAGGACGAGCCAAGGTGGCCAGTATGAATGCCTTTGTCGGCTTGTGGCCCTTTATCTACGAGCCCTCGCTGTTTTTCGCCCGGGAGATTGAGTCAAAGATGGAGGCTCTTATCGACACCACCCGCCTGCGAAGAATGTGGGAGATATCGTCAACTATCGAAGGAGGGACCGAAGAGCTGAAATGCCCCGATGGCGAGGTGGAGTTCAAGGACTTGAGGTTCTCCTACCCAGGATCCGATGTCAAGGTCTTTGACGGACTCAATCTCAAAATTCCCGCTGGCAAAAGAGTTGGCATTGTTGGTGAAAGCGGCAGCGGAAAAACCAGTCTCGTAAGACTACTCGTGCGACACTACAGGCTCAAATTGGGGTCTGTTCTCATCGACGGCCAGAACATCAACGATGTGACGCGTGATTCGTACGTCCTCATACTGGGCCCCTCACTCGCAAACACGAACCCTTGACTAACACGACACACAGTATCCACAGAAAGATGGCAGTAATGGACCAGAGCCCGTTCTTGTTCAATCGTTCTATCAAGGAGAACGTCAAGTTCGCCCGACCAGACGCAACCGACGAAGAGGTGATGGAAGCCTGTAAGCGAGCCAGGATCCACGACGTCATCATAAAGCGCAAGGACGGATACGACACCTTGATGGGAGAAGAAGGATCGTAGGTACCCCCGTGCTATTCTACTACAGGCAGCGAGCGGGCTCTCCCGGTGGTGCTTCGTGTCGGAAGCTTGACTCTGACCCCTTCTCAGGCACTTCTCCGGGGGCCAACGCCAGCGCGTCTGCATGGCTCGCATTTTCCTCGCAAATCCTAGTATTGTGCTCATCGACGAAGCCACGAGTGCCCTCGATCTGCACATTGAGGCTGAGGTCCAGGCGAACTTCAAGGAGAACTTCCCGAGGCAAACAATGGTCTTCATAACGTTCGTTGTTTTTACCCGTTCCCCCTTTTTTGGCGGACACTTGGCTAAGCGAACCAGTCATCGAGTCGCAACTGTACGATTCCTTGATCTCATCATCGTTCTCGGCCCGGGCGGTGTCAAAGTCGAGCAGGGAACCCATGATGAGCTTCTGGAGAGAAAGGGCAAGTACTGGGAATTGTGCAACCTAAACATGGGTTTGCCAGCCATACACGAGCCGGACTCTGGGAATGGCTCCGCGGGCACAGAATCACCCGTACTGATCGAGGCCCCTGAGACGGAAACGACCGGTGTAAGAGTCGGCTATGGCTCGGGGGAGAGGGCTGCTAAAGGCCGTGCTGGAGGAGTTTTCCAAGACGAAGGACAAGGAGCCCAACGTGCTATGCTGAAGGCATCAGAGTTTTACTAGATCTGGGTTTCTGAGTCCTTCGGTTCCTATCAACACAAGCCGTAGGTCTAAGACATCTCATATACCGCAGAAGTCGTGTCCGATTCCAGAGTGGCGATACCTAGTGCCCGCTCGACGTTCAAATCTGCGTTAGTAGCCAGTAGTTCTCTATCGTTCATTGAAGCCGAAAGAATAGCCTTTGATACACCCATCTCTAATTTCCGCGCCCAGGCTAGCGGCGGTGTCATCAAGATCTTCTATAGAATAGACGCGTATCAATTGGAATTTCCTATTTCGATTACTCGAGGTAAGTAGGTGTACACCACTACACCACCTGAGTTCGAATCATGAAGGTATACTTGATCACAATATCGGCAAGTCTTCAGGATTCGCACGGCTTGTTTGTCGTAACGCAAACCTACTACGAGGTCACTCTCAAGACTTACGCCCCAGGCCATCGTTGGGAGGGGCAATCTGTCCGAGAAATAAACATCACACCGCCAGCGCCGATCCGCCGACCCAATATCGTACCCACGCACAATCGGAGGACATGCAGATTCTGCAGAGTGAATGACAACCTTCTTCAATGTTCTCCAACTCCACGAGGCACGGCCCGTATGACATGGTTGTTACCCGAACCCAATCGGGTAGGTTAGCCGAACGATTTCCACCCGCCGGCACCCAACAAATCCGCAGGTGCGCCAGATAGATTTCCCCTAATCAATCAATCAAGTTATCCCACTTACAACAAATACGCCTCGCTCCTAGAGTTCAAGATATACGTTCGACCTGATTTCCCTCTGCTGTCGAGTTGACTACAAGCCACCCGGCATGAAACCTCGTGATGGCAAGATAACTGTTATGTCGTTGTTAAACGATGAAGCTGAGGCCCCAGTCACGTCAGCACCGCCTCATCAAAATCGATACCACGACCAAGACAACATTGATCAGTCACCCAGATCGCCCCGAATCTACAAGTCAATCGAGACTTCACGGGGGAACTGTGCAACGATGTACCGCAGTCCCAGTAGGGATCCGGCAAAGAAGGAAAAAACAAGCGAGAAGCCAAAACGAAGCAAGCTGAATGGTCTGAATACTCTACCTGAGGAGAAAAAAGAAAAGGGAAAGAGGCGGCCACAAAAGACAAACGCTGCTAAGAAGTATAACCCGGAAGAATGCATGTTCATTTGGTATCACAGAAATGACAGGGCAATGACTTGGGCTGAGGTTAGCGAAGCATTCTCGCAACGATTTGAGAAACAGGCGTGCATCGGAGGCCTCCGGTGCCTCTACTACCGCACCCTCGAGGCACATGGCATCCCAAAAGTGAGAGCTGTGATCAGGTCGGGGGGCTATGATAGAGAGCGAGCTTTACGCGAGTACGGCGTGATCAGGAAAACAACTAGCAGATTCCATTGGATGACTGATGAGGATCGATCTACACCGTCCTATAAACACTGAGCGGAAGACTTGGTCCATCGAAGACGCCATCTGGTTGAGCAATGGTTTTCGATGTTTGTGGAAGGTTGAGATGTCACCCTCAATGTACAGCGTATAACGATCCAGATCAATCGACATTTTCCTTGCGGTCCTGATGAGGGCGAGCGGCGAAGGCGATTCGGACACAAGATGAGTCTCAGTGATGACCGACCGGGCGTGTACAGCGGAGACCCGTTCAGAGTTTTTCCTGACCTTGCGAGGGAGGTACGGTCCGAGTCAGACCTTGAGGGCTACGTCCAAGTGAGAGTCTTTCCCCAACTCAGATCATTGCGGAACTATACATCCGGCGCCATCATAGGCGTATTCATTCCTCCTATCCGCGTCTTGACTACTCCCCCAACGTTGAGTGGCACCCACGAACATCTTACGAGGAAGAATATCGGTTCTGCCACAACGACCTTGCGCAACACAACTTTCTATACGATAAAGCTACTGAAAAGGTGAATGTAGTCATATATTGGGAGTTTGCAGGTTTCTACTCTACTCAGTTCGAAGCGCCTCCTGGGCCTCTGCTGTGCAATCCTGAGCCCGCTGAGCGGCCCCTGGGTAGCGTGAGGACAATTAAAGGGTGCCCACAATTTACAATTTGGCCCCTAAATTAGCCCCTAGGTTCTCCCTTTAGGGTGTTTCACCTTTTGCAACACTGCCCCCGCCTGGTACCAGTTGCCAGTGTTCTTAGGGTGCTGTCGTAACAAAAAGCCGTTCAACATCCAGCATGACATAGCTAGGCTTCCATCAATCGTACCGCGGAGGTCAGTTATACCGGGTGAACCAGGGTGAACCAGTCAAACGAGGGCCTACACGGTCGACGGGGGATCGGTGACCCAAAAACTCCGCTTGACAAGTCCAGGCGCTCGACAAGAATTTAACGTTTTCCAACACTCTACTATCCTCATTGCGGAGAAAATGTAACCTGCGAGCCCAAGCACGTGCGGCAATCTATGTATAAAGAAGGCTGCATTCCCCCGCTCGGGGCGCAACTCCCTAGTTCTTACTCATCCTCGTGTTACACTTTTCGTCGCCCTCCACCCCAGAACCCAGTCAGTTCCAGCGCCCTACCGTGTGCAGTATACGACGCTTTCAGCCAATCTACTAGAGGCCTGGATATCCTCGGTACCTCCGGAGCTCTGCGTCGGAGATTCGCCTGCCTGTACCGTCTGCGCCAATGTCTCCGGACATGTTCTGAGGTCCGATCCCGAATTCCATTCACCCGAAAAGGGCTACTTCACACCATCACAGAGAGCTGAGCGGTCTGCCAGATCAATCACATTCAGTACGCCAAGCTTCGAGAACGGTAGTTTCACCGCTAGTTCAGCGCTATCCTCCGGGATGGCGGAGCAGCCCTGGAATCATGTGGGTGTGGGCCCATCAAAGGCAAAATCTTTGGGCCAAACACCTGGTCGAGAATTTGGCAACCAGAAGCCGCAGGAATGCTCACCCGTTTTACGCACGCAGAAGTGGAAACGCCCCTCCAGTGGGGATCCTCCAGGGGTCGAGCGGGATCGGAAGAAGGCCAGACCCAGAGCAAACTCCGTGGCGTCTGAGAGTTCCTCGTTAATCTATTCCCCTGAACCCGAATTGATCAGGCCTGAGCCACCACAGCCGCGTGTTTACGACCTGACCAAGGACAACGAGTATTGCTCCCTCTGTTCGAATGTCCTCGGCCAAGGCGATCGCTACGTCTCGCGTATTTTCGTTCTCGAAAGATGTACATGTGTATGTTTGTTCACTGTGGCCCCTTCGAGCCATCGCTCACGGTGATCCAGGTCCTGTGCGGTGAATGCGCTCTCAATGCACTTCCCGAAAAGGAACGCGACCGTCGTGGGATCACCCCCCGGCTTTGGTGTCCTAAATCTGACCATCGCACCACCAAGGGACAGAAGGCTTTGGAGCTATACGGCTTGGACTGTACGATCTGTCGAGAACCAATTTCATACGATGACCCAGCCGTCGACATGCACGCACGACTCGATCGAGTTCGGACACCATGTGGTATGTCTCCACGACGTTATAAGCACGGCGGTTTTAACACTAATCAGGCCATCCCTTTTGTCGACAATGCCTCGAAGAGTACATGCGGCAGAATGCGTCGGACTTCTGTAAATGTCCCAACTGCAGGGAGGTGTGGTGGAAGGGCAAGATGACACTCCAGAGCTTCAGGACCGCCCCCTGCGCGGGGGCCGAAGAACATTGATTGGGAGTCAGGAAGTCAGAGTCCGTGATCATTCTCGACCATTAGCCTGTAGTGTGGAGCCAACTTTGGGCAGGAATTTGAGAAAGTCATGACGTTATGAGTTGCATCTGATTGGTCAATTATTTTGAGGAGCAGGTTTTAAAGCGCTGCCAAGGAAACTCTAAGGGTGAGTCAGCATCAGTCAGCATCAGTCAGCGTGCACTCTCACACACACAGAGAGTGAGTGCCCCCTTGCAACCCCTTGAAACCCCTCGAAACCAGTCACCCTCACTCACTCACTTACTCAGTGTGTCCCCTGGGAACCCTCTGGAAAAATAATGTTTGCATACCTCCTGTCACCACCACCATCACCAGGGGGTCAGAATGAACGCGGCCACTTTGTTAGGGAAACTTGGTCGTTGCACTACACACACCCACATGCACACAGTGAGGGAGTGTGTCCCCCTTGACCCCTTGATAGTTGGCCGAAGCCAGAGGAGTTCCTGCAGTGTCCCTTGTAGCAGTTATAGATCGACTTCCAATTATACGACTTCGTAGGAGAATTCAAGCAGTGGCACTTGTTCGGTTCTGACCCGGGCCGATACTTGACCTTAGACCGCGGCCGATGCAGCTCCATCAACGCCTAAGTTGCGAGTTACTGGCGTTGCGAAGTGGTGCTAATTGAATAGAGATGCGTGCTGGGACGAACCGGCGGTTTGAGAATGCTCTGGATCTAGACCCAGGAACCACCTAGTGGCTTACGCCCTCGATTTTTGGTCGTTAATATCGAGTTGGCGCCCTATCAGAGGCCTCTTGAGCACAGGGGTCGGACCAGACTGAGACTCAAACTAAGGTAGCATCTAACACGGCCCGCAGCCTTTTCCAGCTTTCCTGATGCGGCTAGAATTGTTGAACGTCTTCTGTCCTGCTGCGGCACCAAGAGGTCGAGGTGATGGGGCCTGATGAACGCAGGCGAGTATCATCTTTAGTAAAGGGTAACCTTGTATTCCTAGCTAATATAGTTTCCATCAATCCTTGTTCAAATGTAATCTTGCAGCAATTTCCCGCAGCTCCAAGTCCAAATCGCTAATGAAGCACTAGTCGTAAATCCAACAAGAACCCCGCGTACTTTCTCATGACCAAAGTCTAGTCCCAAGTGGGATCTCGACTACGGGTTTGAAATAGCCCACGTCTCTATCAAGACAGCGACTGAAGTCTTATACCGTTCCACTGACAATACAGGTGCACTTTCAACATCAGATCCCTGAACAGAGGATTGTCCGCATCGTCCACAAGATCGTCCTTTTCGACAAGAATCTCCATCGCCGCGCGCAATGTTGTGGCTTCTAGTGTTTCCTCGTCGCACATTTCAGCTCCTTCCGCTGAAAGCTCCGCAATGAGATCCCGGACCATTATTGTGCATAGCTCTCCTTGCATTTCCGGCGGTTGGGACTTGAGATAACTACGGACAATCCCCATGGCTAGCTCCCCGACTAGAGTGTCGAGTAGTGTAGCCAACGGGGCAAAATTGACATCGGCACTGACTCTCTCTCTTAGAGATGCCTCACTACTGGGCTGAGGCCCGTTACTCGGGCCCCCTAGATATATATCTTTGAGTATGCCGTTAGAGGGAGGCGTAAGGGTTGATGATTCGACAACAGGTGGCATTAACGTATGGGTACTGGGTCGGGTCGCGTAGTTGATTCGGGTCTCGATCAGCCGCTGGAATTGGTCACTGGTCATCCGTTTCGTGGTTGCTTCCTCTTTGTTGTCAAGCCTCGCCAACGTCAGAGATAAGTCTCGAGGATCGAGAGACGGTGATAATGGAGGTCCGGCGAAGGGGCCATCGGTATAAGGTTTCCCTGCTGCTGACATGGTGACGCCTGTTATCAGAGAGTAACAGCGCTGTAGGGATTCTTAGGAGGTCCAGGCAATTGAGGACCCGGGATAATGATGAAAGGATGAGTATTAATTAGTGCTGTGGTTTGATCGAGAGTGCAGGGCGTTTGAAATATTCAGGGTGAGGAAGCCAGCCTCTTTTTCTATTGCTGACGAACCCTCGGGTAACCTACCAAAGCTTTGACTACCCCTTTCCTTTCCACCACGCCAACCCCGGAGTGTTGCAGTAGTGACGGAGTTCATGGTGTTCAGATACGATGAGGTTGAGCGAGGAAAGGAGAACGAAAGGGATTTCAAGCGAGATTGCCGCCCTGAAGAGGCTGGTACCACTCTTCTTCTGGAGCCCGGACCGGGGCCACGACAACCCCATGCAAGACTCCGGAAGGGTGTCCCACTCCAGGGCCATGTTCGTAATCTCGTCGGTGGAACGTCGATCATCACCATGTCAGCGAGGACGGAGCTATGGGCGGCTGTTTGGATGCAGTTATCTGTCTCGAGCCTCCTGTCCCGGAGACGCCCTCAGAGTGGGCAGCTGATATACGCACCCTCGAATTTCTTCGAGCTAATCGCGTCAGACGAAGCAATATCTGTGTAGGATGTCATGACGTCCCCTACTCCTGCCAAGGCCCAACGCAAATAACATTGGGCGGACAATGGTAGCACATCAAAAGTCTCCGACAAATGTTGTCGGGAACCTCTAATTGGCTATTTTCAGATTCCCTTCGTTACCTGACCGACGAAAGTGCTCCTGTCAAGGCCCAACGCAAATAACATTTGACGGATAATGGTAGCCAACCGAAAGTTCCCAACAAATCGCTGACAAAAGTCTCTTAGACACCCAACATCGCCCACGCAATTTCATCTTCATCTCACGCTGCATCGACAAGTCATTTGAGCAAAATGGACAACGCACCACGCTCTATCCTTGAACGCCAGCAATCGCGCAACGACTCCTCCCTCCAAGGTTCATGTCCCTGGTGTCTTTTGTCCGGACCTAATCTTGGCATCAGTGAAGAACGTGTTGCCAGGGGAGACTTGCTGGTGCATCGCGCTCTGTGTCTGGGCCGGGATGGCGATGGAAACACCTTGGGCATCGAGGAAAAATGCCTTCTCCCCGATTGCAAGTCCAAAATACGAGATCCAAATCCAACCTCGTTGGAAATGCACTACCGGCGAAACCACCAGATCAGGCTCAGAGATTTCCCCGACGTGAAGTTGCTGTACAGGCGCTGTCGGCGTGGAGATGATCCGGATTTTGACATGAACGCCGACTGGGGCTACTTCCTGACCAAAAAGTCGCCGATTCGAGGATTCCTGATCGACCTCTGGCAGGCAACCATAAATGGACTGGATTTCAGGGCAAAACATCTCCCAGAAGTACTGCGAGGCTACCGTCGCGATTTCGTACGCGTCTTCATTGCAACCCCGGTCTCGTTCCACGCTCATGCTAGTGATGCAATTCCCGTCATACCATCCATGGCTCTTGTTCTCGAGCAGACTCCGCCGGATCGTCTAAAAAGGGGCTTGACAGACGCTCAAAGGAACAACTGTCTGATAGCCACCTTCGAATCACAGATGGTGTCATACCACGGGCCTATGGTAAGTCTTGATTAGGACAAGTCAACAATGTTGATCGGTTCAGTAACCCTGCTTAGGCAAACGGAGGTCGAGGACTTCTGTGGAATCAGAAGAACGTCCGCATCGGCAATCCCCAGATAATCGCTTTAGCCTACGCCACAGACAAGCGCCGCCTTTTGAAAGAATTCAAGAACCTCGTCGCGACTGGCCACGTCGCAATCATACTGGAAATGGTGAGCCAGAATGATGGGAGGGTCGTCACGGCACAGGAATGGAAAATGATATGCGAATGCTGCGAGGAAGCAGGCATATATCTTGTCGTGGACGAGGTCTTGACCGTCTGGCGCTGTGGCGCACCCTTTGCGCATTTGTTACCACAGTATAGTGAGTACAAGCCGTCATTCGTGGTATTTGGGAAGGCTCTCGGGGCATGTGGTCTTGCTGTACACTGGGATGGCGTCCACCTCAATCGTCTCGGCTACGCAAAGCCTTGCTACGCAGACGACGCAGCCAACTTTATCGACCTGTGGGATCACAAGCCGTCCAGGGTGGTCAACCCCAACGACGCCCTTCGATCGTGGGGCTATATCATGCTTTCTGAAGAAGACAGATGGTGCGCACGGGCGTTGCAGATTGGAGAGAATTTACGGAGGGCGGTGGCTGAGCGCCACCCAAACGTCCCCGTCGGGGGCTCTGGTGCTCTTATCTACCTTCCATCCGAAGTTGCTGGAGAGATGGATATCGTGGGGGCGGCGGTCAATGGCGACTTGATCCGCTGGCTCCCTTACCTGGACGAGGGTTTGACCGAATTCGAACATGTCATGGAGCTGTTCCAGGACTCAGGAGCAGCCATGCGACAAGCGCTGGCTAGGTCATATCAAAATGTCACCATGATTAGATGCATCTCTTGCAGTGACTACCTCCATGAGGTCATGTACGCGTGCAAGAAGTGCGGTGGAAATCTTTGCGGTCTTTGTGTGGCTCGAGGCGCCAGCGAAAGACATCAGGAGGAAAGGTGTCTCTCAGGGAACAGGGAAAGCTGAGACCGGAGCGAGATCGGTGGCATATTACATACAGTATTCGCTCCACTCTGTGCTGAAACTTGCCCGGACGTGCCCGGATTAATCGTTCCTCCAAAGGTTTCTGTTGATCATTTCGCGGGTGGTGCGAGCCCATCGAAACGCCCCGACAAATTCTGTCGGGGACTTGTAATTGTGTGCTTTAGGTCCTTCTTCGACGCCCTCATCCTGCTTTCCGGTCTCTCGCGGCGACACCTGCTCATACTCCACCACCAGATTACTCTAATCCCTCGCCCGTGACGGCCAGGCCCCCAAATTCCTCCTGATTTGCAGTGTCGATTGCGCTGCGGATGTCCATTCGAAGCTGGCGGTATCAAAGCAGGTTGCGGTCACGCGCCACAGCGACCTCTTGATTGTGGGAGCGCATCAACTTCTGCTTGCCTGGAAACATCTTGCATGGTTTCATTATGCAATTCCTTCATTACAGGAAGCCATCTTCTTTTGGTCGATCGATAGCTGTCTCGGCTCCTCTGCACCCGCCACTATGACACTGCGCATGTCGTCCGATAAGTCCCATAAGAACCGTCGAATGACGAAGAACCCTCGAACATTAACGGTCGCCCTTACGTCTCCGGAAATACGATGCTGACACGGAGAATCATGCATGCTCTAAAACGTCGCTGCAAGGCGGTTCCTTCAGGCACCATGGCGATCTTGACCCGCAGACGGCCTTGTCGGGATCCTTGCATTACATTGGAAAATCGACAGCATCGCATCTGAATTTGGATCAAGAAGAGTAGGACATTAGACATCATGAATATCGTTACCTTGCGCACCCACCTCGGGGGTAGTGCCTAGCATCACTGCGGTTGGAGGGTCAATGTCTTGCGGCCAAGATGGTGCAAGAAGCCGCGTCGGGACGATGGTCGAGGGCAAATGGTTGATGACCGTGGGGAAGCAGTCGACGAAAGATGGCCAGTTGTTCGTACATCCCGACGATCTTTGACAAACGGTCATAACCGCCGCTTTCATGCAGGTTTGGCGTGTTCACGTCCAGGGACTCTGTAGTCGGTTACTCCGGTCGTAGCGACCTCATGGTCATTCGCTTAGGCTGCGACGATCAAATCTTTGTGACGAGACGGTCTGGGAGCAAGAATACTGGGGAATTCCCTCAGGGTGAGGACGGGATAGATTTCCCAAGAGTTGAGTACAGCACAAGTCACGACCTAGCCATTCTGCGCTGGATCGACTAGCACGACGGTAGAGTCGCTACCAAGTGGATTCTGCGCGAATTTTGCTCGATGCAAGACCATCGGATACCACTGGGCAAAGTCGTCCTCTCTCTCACGTATTTAACTAGGGAGTCAGAGCGTGGTAGTAGTTAGAAACATCAGACACTTGAATATATCAGTGTGGTGCACTTAGTAATATCTCAGCCGGATGGAGGAATACCTAGTTATGGACAGGAAGGCCTCCTTGAGTACTCCAGAAGGACTTATCTATCATACAACGGATACACCGCAGTACTGTTCGCGGTAGTCACGTGCTTGGTAAACCACACGCGGCTTGTATTACCGCATGCGGCTTATCACGTGTCAGTGCTCTTCTTTTATTCAACACAGACTGCATTTCCACATAATCACGACGAACCTTGTCAGGACCTTCCACGTCTGACACGAGGCGCAGATGCAAGAAATTTCAATTCCCAACTCCATCAAATGCCGCTCGTCAAATGCTACCTGTAGTCTAGATGGGATCAATGCAAAAAAATGCAGCCTGTAAATAATGCCTTATACAGAAATAACAGATTCCAGGCTCCCAATTCTAGACCATGGTAGATGTATGCACATGAACAGCAGAGTGGTGAAAGCCTTCATGATGCTCTCTATGTATCCCTTGGATCGACGTGCGAAGAAGCTCCTCCCTAGCGGTAAAGAGCCCCCATTCGTCCCCTCCCCATGTCCACAGGCTTGTAAACATTGTATTTGCGTTTCTTGTTGTTGTTGGGCTGTGTCGTGCCCAAGGGTCTTCGTTTCCTATCTTGAACGGGCGGGGGCGTTTGAGCTAGCGGGATAAGATCTATGGGTTTCAAGTCGTCCGGCGCTTCACGCCGCTCGTTCTCACAATCAATGTCGGTCCGCGAAGTTGCCTGGACTTCTCCAGGGCTGGAGAATGGTGCTTCAGGTTCTCCGCCTTCAAACTCGATCTCGGTCTCTGCTTCAGATTCGTTCCCGCCGTCAGCGTCAGCGTCGGCAGCCGGTTGAGCCGGTCTGTTTTCGTCGTCGACCTCGGTCTCTGCCTCAGTATCCTCATCGTTGTTGGGCGGCTCTATCTGTGCCGCATGAGCCCCTGCGCTCTGAATCGCGCTTACCAGGTTCTTGGACAACTGCTGCGATGGCGAGTACTGTTGAGCCTTGGTTTGACGGCTAGTCTTGGGGATCATATCGAAACCCGAGTTCCAGTGGGTAATTCCGAGCGGTGGCGCCGGCCCTCTTCTCGGAGACGGCTTGGTGAATGCTTTAGTAGCTGCCCGACGCTCCGGAAGTCTACGATAGCAAAGCCTCGGACCCCAGTCCCAGCAGGCGCTGAAATCGTAGAACTCCACCTGGTCTGCCGCTTGCCTGACGTCCAGAGTCGGCATCTTGTGGTGAAAGTCTGGCGTGCAGAACGCGGAAGGCAGTCCGTCTTCCTCCATGGCCCCTAGAGAAGGTGTGACGGGAAGCTGCACCGCGCAAGAGAAATTGGGTGTGGAGGGTGCGTCATCCTTCTGATTTGTAACTTGTGATTCATCCACGTTTGCTCCAGAGTGGTCGGTCAGTGTGCCTAGAGCCGCCGGGGTGACGGTCTTCTCATCATCGGACACATCATCGGACAGCCCATCCTCGGCCTTCACCATGCCGTCGCGCTGGAACATTTCGATCTTGTTCCCGCCACCGTCGTTGTGTCGCTGCTCCAGGAATGGGTGTGTTGTCCAAGGTAAACTCAGAGCGATCGAGGGGCATTCACTGCTGCTTTGGCTTTCGTCCACTTCTAGCACGAAAGCCCAGCACTTATCCAACGACCACCGCGCCTTGGGGTCTCTTAGTAGCATTCCCCTGAGAAGAACCCAGAATATCGGAGGGCAATTTTCCTCGATGACTTGGTCAACTTCTTCTCTCATCCACAATTCTACTTCGGAGGATGAGCACGGGTGCCAGCCGGATCGCTTGCGGTTGGGGTTGTAGTTCGCAAACATACACAAAAGCAAGACGCCGAGAGAAAAGACGTCGGCCTTCGCGTTGTAGATCTTGCCATCCAGAACCTCAGGCGCGCAATACCATGGCGACCCGACCCTGCCCCTCACCTGGTGGTCAGTAGACGCCACCGTGCCCCAATCAGTGAATTTGATGACCCATCGGTACAGGTCACAGTCCTTGGTGCCGAACTCTAGGAGCTGCAGCAGCACGTTCGCAGGTTTGACGTCACGATTCATAAAGGCGTGGTCGTGACAGTGCTTTAAGCCGCAAATGAGTTGCCTGGCCGTGTCCAGCTTGTTGATTGGAAGGGGTAACACCTCGTCGTTGAGACAGTATTTCTGGCGTACTTCGATCAACCACGTTTCACTTCCGTGCTTGTAGGCTATATCGAGAATTTGGTTGATGTGGATCTAGAAAAAGTCCAGCCGCGTCAGCATGGGAGCAGTCCAAAGTGTGCGCGTTTGCTCGGATGCCGCGAGCATGGAAAATATGAAGAAAAAGCGTGATACACTTACGTGCTGGTGATTCTGTACAAACTTGGCTTCATCTTCCAGCATTTCGCTATGTTCCCGCTCTGACTGACTGTCGTCTCCCCCTAGTCTGATCATCTTTGTAACCAGCTCCAGTTCCGGGGGGTTGGCTCGGAGCTCTTCGGGCTCTTTTTCTAGCATCTCGGCCACTCGTTTCTGAATGGCGGTCTGCTCTGCCATTATGAGGGCGCATCGAAGTTGACCGATTATTTTGACAGGATACACATCTCTGAAACCTCCTTGCGTTATCTTTGGGCCGTCCAGCTGATATTCCGTGCCACTCAGACCTATCCGTGTCTCAAAGCCCGCACGCGACGGGGCCCTGGTAGACCCACCAGCGGATTTAATGCTCGGAAAGTCTTCCTCGTCGAAGCGATTTCTGCGAGCATAAAAGTCATTCGCGTGTTCCATGAAAACCTTCTGGTCCGCCTGGTCAAGGGTAGGTGTCCACGCCCAAAAGTTCAGACAGTCGGGATCATTATCTATGAGATATATCTTGGTCGGCTTGTCCAGAGTCACACTCTGGCCGTTCCATCGCCTGAATGTGCTAGACCCCTTCTCGAAGCGCATGGGGACTTCGCGCGTGTATGAGGTGACTCTTGGGGTAGGCATCCTATCGGGGCCAGGCCAGAGGTCGGTGAGAAACATTGAGCTGCTGATGCCACTGACAGCATTGTGGGGATACATGAAGTCGCGCGGCCTGTCACCCTTTTCCATTGAGGTATTTGTCTCTGCGCCGTGGCCCCAGCCCACCGATCGTTTTGGTGGCTTAAGATAGGAATGACACAATATTGGACCATCGAGCGAAATACCTTTAAGCATCTTTCCACGCCATGGTTCCGGCCGCTCATCGTCAAAATCGTAGTCGGTACCTTGCGATTCATTGCGGACAGGCCGATTCCAGAGGTGCTCACGATTGAGTTTGATGAATGCATCTGCCTCCCGGCCCCTGATATGACCAATCAGCAGCACGACGTCGCCGAGACCAGGGCTTCTGCCCTTGGCACAGGCTGCCAGGCCCGCGTCGCCAGCGTCATTCTGGTGTCCGAACAATGCCATGTTTATCTAGGTCCTTGTCCAAGAAAGACATGCGAGAAAGAGTGCGGCGCGGTCGAGGGTAAGGTAGGTCGAGGGTGGATCGCTTATAGGTCGCGGAAAGGTTGCGAACAGTCGCGAATTGGTGTGGATTGGCCAATCTAATATGACTTGACGAGGTGTGTTGAAGGGAAGACAGGAGGAGTGGAACTGGAAAAGAGAAAAAGAATCCCGGGCATAAGGAGGACCGCTGTGCTGCTTAATAGGTTGACTCTGTGCACGGACTCGCTCGCGGCACTCAGAGTACCCAGGGAGTGTGAGGATGTGCTCAGGGCAGAGGCGCGGGCGAAGGAAGAAGGGGTGTGGTGATCACCGTTGCAAGGTGAATGTATGTGTCCAATAACATGGTCAAATGACACGGTCCAGTGACAGGGTACAATGACAGGATCCATGGCGTTTGGTGAAACGGCAACCAACCGCTGCCAAGCCTGTACGTCTTTGAGTGTCTGGACGTGGACGCGCGCGCGACGTCTTGGAAATTCTCAGCCACGCCTCGCCGGCTGGGATCTCTTCGGAAGCGCTCGACTCATCTTGTCACAACGCGATGACGTTTTGAGCGAAGGTCGTATTCTCTGATGGTTGGCTTCTTTTGCTCTTGAATCCGCGTCGATTTTCGTCCCCCCGCAGATCGGCGTGGTTTTTCAGCGGGTTTTTTGGTCTTTGTTCCTACACGCCCACGTGAGGGTTGTGCAGAGGGGACAGTTTTCTCTCTCGAGGTTGTCGTAGTAGGTCTTCTACCTGAAGCAGAGTCCAAGGAGGCGCCTGCACCCGTCTCCTGCTCCCTCGCCTGGGTAGAGGCCTCCAGTCGCCCAGACCTCCTTGTCTTTTGTCCTTTTGCTTCAGAGGAGTTGTGCTTCTCCTGACCTTTCTTCCTTACCCGAGAATCCAAGACTCTCCTCGAAGCTTCCTTGGAAGATGCAATGGAGGATAGAGAGAGGCGGTTGGGGAAACGTTGTGTGAGGGGTAAGGCTGAAGGGTCTCGTGGCGATTGCGGAAACCTGGCATGGAATCGCTGCATCTCTTCTTGCTCGACCTCTTCTTTGCGTCTCTCGTGGAAGGCGCAATGCTCGTCCCAAAACTCCTTCGCCATATCAGAAATTTCCCGATGCGCATTCTCAATGTCGTCGGGTGTTGCACCCATGTCCACTAACAGTCTTTTCAGGCCATCTATCACTCTGAATAGGTCTGGTAGCCCGAATATAGAGATATTTGGGGTATAACGTTCAATCATGCCCAGTAGCATGGTAGCACGCGCTTTGTGGTAAGGCGGTTTCTGAATCTGATTTTGTAGTCTCTGTTCAACTTCCTCCTGGTCCAATTCCCTGAACCATCTCTCTTCCATGAGAATCAGGCAGCTAACTTTGGAAGTATCTTCGGGCGCATCGTAGGTGCGGGAGGGCGTTAGGTCCAGCAATTGTCGATTAACAGCTTCGTGGAAGGCTTGGACGCGCGTAGGAGTTTGAGGACTCCCATTCTCCGACATTGCGAGTCTCTGCGGCGCAGAACAGAGACAAAGCTGGAGAATGAAGAGCAAGATCGCAAATCGGCCAACCACCATTCGGATTTGTCGAGTGACGGGTCTGTCGAGGATAAGATTGGTAGTAGGGCTGAAGTATTTCTCGCAGACGGTTTCGTAGTCGTACTTCGTAGTCGTGATGGCTAAGGGCGTTGTTGTTGAATGACAGAAAGGTGCAACTTTGTTGTAGAATGTGAAGATGCGACCGCAGGGTGAGACTGGGAAAGATTTTGGCACCAGGATGACACGTTCAGCGACTTGGGCGGCAGGCAGGCAGTGTTCGGCCAATCCCGCCCACGTGTTTAATTGAAGCGCCGCCCCACCGGGGATTGTCAAATCAGGTGCGTCATTTTCCACTAGGCTCGGCACCGAGGTGCATGCTCGTCTTGGCAGGCTATGGCTTGGACCTCGGAGTTTCGTTCACACGACGCCGAGATGCAGGGACCGAAGATCTGGTGCGAAACCGGTCCTCCTCAATCAAGCACGGACCACAATTCCCCTTTCCAACAGAGTGCCTACAGAATATATCTACATCCTTCTCAAGCTTGTATGCTTGCCATTCTGGTGGGTTCGTCCCGAGAGCTGTTGGGGACAAGGCTCGAGTTCCCGGACCGACTTATTCCTGGAAGAGAAGGGCTGTGCTGAGTGTTTAAACTTGGTCAGCGCTGTACGGTTCATGAGACTGCAGTAATCACAATGAAAGAGACAACCAGGAACCATCCACTGATACACCTACGAGAAACAATGGGAAGGTCATGGGTGACTACGGGTCGCCATGGGAACTTGAGACATATGAACTATTTGCTCTACAGGAGTTGTTAAGACCTTTCTGATCTCTCGCACCTCCTTGAGGATCAGCTTGTCACGAAGTGCGCAGAACGACACCACCGACTCGACGTTTACCCAAGCGAGGCCGTGGCGAGGCATTTTCTCCCATCATCGCAAGCCGCCGCTTCATGCACAGTGCCACCTGCAATGGAGGCATCTCAAGCGGCTCCCAAGTTACTTTTCCAGCATTGGAGGACTGGCGGGTGTGACCGGCGGATTCACGATGGCCACGGCTGTGGAGGAGCTTTGATCGATTCGTAGACTTCTGTGGTTCCTTTGTCTTGGATTAGACGACTAGTTAGTAGATGTTTCGAACATGCCAGTTTTCAGGCCGTCTCACCATCAACGTGTCTAGCTGGTCTCGCATCTCAGAGGGCCGCTCTGTGTTGGTGTCCTTGTCGTCGGCGAATTCTCGGCGGACCTCACAACAAGGGCACGCCTGCCTCCCCTCCAATCAACTGTCCCCGCAGTGGAGCATTGGTTTCCCCCACAACAACTACGATGGAGCCTTGTTTCCCAGTCAATCAACTATCCCACTTGGCTTCGCCCGACTCGCTGACTGACGTTGACTCTTTCCGGCGCAGCACTTCGTAGGAAGCTCTCAGTAAGGCATTTTTATTTGTATGTTGGTATGCGCCTGCGGTCCAACTTCTCCTAGACTTCACTTTCTTCTTCTCCTCTCGCCATGTCCATGCCCGCCATGCAAGAGAACGAGGCATTAGAACAAGCCCCACTGAGGAAAGACAGGTCTGGGGGCCAATGTTCTGTGAGGCAGGCGCTGACATGGAAGGAAATCATGTCATCTCTGGTGCCAAGAGTGCCATCGTATGCCGTGTAGCCGGAAGTCTCCAATGCCAGTACTCCCGTCCACCAGCGCAACTTGTCAGCATGCGGCTCAAAATATCAATGTAGAGCCTTGGGAGGATGATGATTCACGGCCGGGACGCGAGGGAAGCAGGTTTTGTGGCTAAGACATGGACGGAGAAAAAAGCGCAATAGTTGGCTGATACAGCCAATCTGGATGGGGCTGCAGGTCTTCATTTCGGAAAAAAAAAAAAGAAAAAAAAAACAGGCAGTACGGAGTGGAAATGAAGCATGCATGGGTCACAGACATATCTCTTACTCTCCTCGCCTGGGGTTCTCAAACTTTGTTATCAGTTCTCCATTGCTGCGCGGGACCTTGGAGAAAGTCGGAATTCGGAAGAGAGGGAAAGACAGGACTGTTGCCTGCTTGCTGATATGCCATATCGGGCCACAGAAAACGGAGGAAAGAGGAAAAACAGGGGTTGCATCAACACACCTGTCCATGTTGGCAGGAATTGATTGGGTCGACGCGATTCACTCCCTGCACAGCCCCGAAATAAGCGCCCAGGGAGGATCTCCCCTTCGAATACCCGCTTTTCTGACACGCTGCTGCAACATAGTCACCGTCCTGCATCACCTGTCCACCCAATTCTCGGCTTGCGGCTTTGTCTATATAAAGCCAAGCTGGACCCCCCCGGTTGGTGCGCTCTCATTACCTCAAGTCCACACCGGGACAACCTCCAGTCCTCTTTCCATGAGGACCGCACTTGGGAGCCCTCGCTCAACTAGAGGACGCTGCAACACACATACAGGTATGTGCCAGTATGGACATGGGAACGGTCCTTGGGCCTCAGAGCGTTAGCGTGGCCCGCATCAGCATTTGACATCGCTGACGCTCTTACTCTCTTAGGGATGGGCAAAGACTCCTCTGACGTTGGCAAGGAGATGCCTCAAGACTCCGAGAAGAGCGGCTCCCTTCTCGACAAGTCAGAAGACGCCAAGACGTCCCATCAGCCGCCGTCGGTCGAAGACCAGAAGCCCACCGACGACGAGAAGAAGGCCGTCAAGAAGGACAAGGGCAGGGATCAGAGTGTCGAACCCGACGTGCGTGCACCTGGCAACGGCAGTGGTCCGTCTTCCAGATCCGGCAGTCTCGACGACGCGTCTATGCAGATTCAGCGGACCACGCCAACCCAGAGTGGGGCCTTCGGCCTCAACTTTGGAAGGCCGTTTTTCCTTTGAGTTAAATACCCCCCCGGGTGCTCTGATGGCCATCACGACCAAGAGGATACTGCTGCGAAGATCTTTAACTTTGCCAGAGGAAGTTCACTCCTGAGCAAGGGCCAAACCTGTCGCTCCGTGCGACGCGACAGGTTCGGTCGAGGTCGCAACCCGCAATCCGCCCTTCAGGCCTGGGCAGGCTCGATGATGGATTTCTTCAGAGACTTCGTTGAATTGGTCAGCAGATACACAGGGGACAGGGACCAGCACAGCTCATTGGCTTGGGCAGTTCTGGGCGGGGGCGCCGTGGTGTGCATCACCTCTCCCGTTCTCTATCACTACCTTGGGTTGGTCTTCGTGGGTATGGTGCCTTAGCTGCACCAGAAGGTGACTTAGCTTAAGAGTCAAGTGGATAGGGCCACTAAGGAGGTGGCCAGGCTCGAGGGAGAGGTGGCCATCGCCAAACGATGTGCCTAATACCTCTCCTCTAGCGAGGAAAGGGTTCATGAGTTTGCCTGCCGGCATCTCCAGGTATTATAGGCTTTGGTGGGATGGTTAGATCTATTTATGAGGGTCGCGAGTTTGGATACAAGTAGTGACTTAGGCACAGTATAACCGCCGTATTGCGTGTGTCGCGTGTGGTGTATGGCTATGAACGGTTTGCGCCACAGAAGGTCTGACTGTGTTGTGCATGGATGCATGGGTGCCTCTGACACCGGTTCGAAATGTCCTCCATTTCAATTCCCATAGTAAACAAACATGTCCTACGTTCCGTCGCCCGGCTGTCAGCAACATAACCTCCCACACCACTCAGCCTAGAGCATCGATCAGTATCCTACTCGTCGCTGTGTTCCCACCCAGTCCTCGCTTCCGCTCTCAGTTGGAGACTAGCTGCGCGCCTCTGGATGCCACATCGCATGCCGACGGCAATGACAAGAGACCTCGCAGAAAACTTAGCTGGAAGGCTCGTGAGAACGAAATCATACAACAACTCGAAAATAGAGCCGATCAGTGAACCTTCCGGAATCGAAGCATTGAACGAGCAAAAGACCTCAAAGCGAAGGCGACGCACAGCGCCAAAAAAGATATTCCTAGCCCGTGGCATCGGGTAGATCCCTAGTCTTCTCGCGAACGCGACACACACCTGCGAGGGTTGTTTAACTGTCTGCGGCTGGGGCGAACCATGGCCATGCGAGTGTGAACCATTTTCATTAGTGATAGGGGAGAAGACGCGTTGGTCGCGCCAGGTGGAGTGGTCATCGATGCACATGAGTGCGCAGGACATATTCACATAGTAACCGAGAAGATGAAGGTCGGGGCAGAGCAGGGGCAGGAAGGACATGGTTGCCAGGTGAGCAACAGCCCGACCAACCTACAAGGCGTCGCTCAGGCGCAGCTGAGGGCCGATTGGATGCCAAGACACGCGTTCGGCGACACGCGTTTGTGCATAGACAGCCCTGAAAAGGCGGAAAGTGCACTTACGTATGGGGCGGGCGGGATTTGACGTCCAGCCGGTCGGCGTGCCCGAACACTGCGTGACTTGACAGGCGTAGCGCCCAGGCAGGTGCAGCTTAGGTGCACCCGTGCACCGATGTAGGGATAAGGCGACCGTGTCATGCCACCAACAAAAGGCCTCGCCTGAGACGATTCTGCGTTCTCCCTGAGCCCGCCCCACCCAAAATAACACACGGCGAAAACACGCTTGGGCGCGTACCTGTCGTGGATGCCCAACGTACGCGCCTTACTTATCCCTGCACGACGTGCCACCGCCCACTCGCAGCACGCACACATTCATGCGAGAGCCACTTTGGACGCCTTTTGTCAGGGATCCGATGGGACGCCTTTGTTTTGGCAGGCCAGACTTCCCGCCATAAGAAGCTGGACCTTGCACCTACGCGGTATACAAATCCGATGCTCCCCTTCGCCTGCCTACGACCTCTGCGCTTGACTGGTGTACGACAAGCTTTAAGAAATCAACACCCACTTTGCTTTTACTTTCCGCATTAACATACGCCGCTGCTATTTTTCCATACCAGAGGCGTCCCTCTCTCCGAACGCCTCCACCGCCGTTAAGTCGCACACGGTATCTTCACTCCCGCCGCCGCCCTCCCTCTCACCTTCGCTAGTCCAGCCATGTCGATGAAAGCGTTAAAGCCCGAAGAGATCATTGCGGGTGTCAATAAGAAAGTCGAGTTCCTCACAGACAGCCTTGCAATCGAAAAGAAAGAGAAGGAAGCGCTTCAGGAAAAGCTTGCCGTGCTACAGAGTGAGCTCAATGCCGCCCGACGCGAGCACGAGACGCTTCAGCAGCGCATTGATGAGGGCAAGAGCAGCGCGGCGACCATCGAACAACAGAACGGGACACTCCGACAAGAGGTCGTCGAGGGACGATGGGACACCGATGCCGTCCATCGGCACAACGAAGGCCTCCAGATGGAGATCAGCATGCTGCATGACCAATTGATGGACCTGCAGGCGCAGTCCCATAACGCCTTCCTCCAGACGGAGCACGCGTGGGAGGAGGTCGCCGGCCGCGATCGATACATCCACGGCATGCACGGACACATCGCCTATATCGAAAGCCATTCGGCCGAGGGCAGGGCCGCATCCCACGCCGCATTCCAGAACATGGAGGGCTTCTTCCAAACTCAACTCAACTCAGCGAGCTCAGAGTCACGCGAGCTTCGGGACAATTTGGCCAATCTCCGGCGCTTCGTCGACGAGAAGACGAGGGATGACGAGTCGAGGCAGGACGCGCTCACCAAGCAGCTCGCCACAGCCCAGGCCAATGTGCGCGTCGCCGAACACCGCCAAAAGACCCTGGAGTACAAACTCCTCAAGAGCGGCAAGGAGATCAAAGCCATCCAGCAGACGTCGGCCAGCCTGATCGAGGCCCGCGACTCGCTCAACAAACAGCTGTTGAACGACTTGGACAAGAATAAAAAGGCCCGGGCCAGCGCCAGCGCGAAGCACAAAAAGACTCAGGCCAAGGCCAAGCAGGTGGCCAAGGAGACGGCTCTAGCGACGGCCGCCGCCGAGGAGCTGATGCGCAAGGAGATCGCGCGCCTCGGGAAGAAGATCAAAGAACAGGAGGCGAAGGTCCTGGCAGAGCAAATGCACCATGACAAACTCGAGAGTGACATCAGCGCCGAACAGAAACGCCAGAAGGACTTCCAGGTGGCCCTAGCGGCGGCTGAGCGCGACGCCGCCCACCACAAGGAGCTCACCGAGAGCCTGCAGCGCCGGATCAAGTCGATGAAGACCCGCGGCAGCGGTCTCTCGCAGGCTATTCGCGACCAGGAGGTCACCATCCAACGGCTCCACGACCGCGCGAAGGAGCTGGAGGTCGAAGCGGCCAAGGAGCGCCGCCTCGCTGCCCTGCGTCAGGACGAGCTGGATGCTCAGAGGGCTATCAACGACCTCCAGGCCAAGGACAACGCCATGCTGCGGGGGTACAGTCTCGCCAACACACACGCCATGATCGAGGAGCTCGGGCGCAACAAGTACTTCCTCTTCGTCCGCATCCTCGAGGAAGTCTTCGGTCGCCTAGACAATCTCGAGAGCGCGCCGGCTGCCAACCGCGCGGTTGACGGGATTCGCGCGTTCCTGTATAGCGCTCGCGAGCGGATCCACGACTACAAGACCCTGGTGTGTGACGACATGGATGCCATCAACAACCTAATCAATGATATCTGGAAGATCACGCCCGCTAGAGCCGCCAATAAGGACGACATTGAGCAGGTGATGCGCCTCTTCGACGGGGTACAGACTCTCATGATCGACGTGAGCTCTTTACTCAAAGGTGCGAAGGCCGAGATCACCACCCGAGGACCCGGACTGGAGAGCAAGAACTGCCACATGCTGCACTCCACGAACCCGACGAAACTTCTCACTGGAAGTGCTTCCCAGCAGCCAGTCCCATGAGCTGGCCCTGTACATGGGCAGACAACCTTACGTTGTCATGCTGCCCGTTCTCTTTGTGTTTGTCAATTCGAACTCTTATTTCCGACGAGTCATGTTATTCATCTTCATCTCCTTGTATTTCTTTAGATGGTATACTACTTCTCTCTCGAAGTAGACAGGGCCAAGTAGCTCCAGACCACCGCGTCTAGATACAAAGATTGAGATTCAAAAGTAATGATTTCCCCTGGCACGCTTCATCGGTTCAACTGTCACACCCGTGGCTTGCTATAGCTGCCACGGCTATGAAGCAAGACACTGACCACCTGCCGTTTCATCCTCAAGAGGTGGTTGGGGTAGTAGAACCAGGCGATCGCTTGAAGTTAGCGATGGCGGGTCGGTCAAAAGTGAGGGGCCGAGAAGCCCTCGAAAGGAACAAGACGACCTGTGAGAAACGCACATGAGAGGTGCACATCGGTCAGGATTTGAGTAGTCGAGAAGCTCATAGCAAAGACAAGATGACCTATGGCAGACGCGCATGAGAAACACGCATTGAACGAACCGTACGGGCTGTCCTTGCGGGCTAAGGACGCTGAGCCTTACCCCCCTTAACCATCCCCGATCCAGTTTGACGGATCACCGTCTCCTGAACAACGCGATTATACTCGTCTCATTCGTTTCATGATGGCCAGCCACCTAGAAGCAGGGTCCCCGGAAAAAGGCAGTTCCTCATGGGTGTGCATGGAGAGGTGTGTTGTCGCAATATGGAGGCCGGAGTGAGAATAGCTCTTTAACCTCGATCCATCTTTACTGGAATTGTTCAATCATTCTTGTGTTCGTCTTCCAACTCGTTTTCTGCATCCCCAACGCTAAATCACCGTCTTGCGCTTCAACGCACTGTGTCAAACCAGCAACGATTCCTTCCCTGCCGTCCTCGACTACCAATCTACCAATCCATCACTTGGATATGGAGGGTCCTGTAGGCTATGGCGCGAAGACAAGGTCCTTCACAAGCAAGTCTCTAGGTCCGTCTTGGCTCTTACCCCAGAGGACTTTGAAGCTATGTTGACGATCCATTCAAGACCTGGAGCAGTAGGTCTTGGGACAGAACCGTCAAGGCTTAAGCACCAGGTCTCTTGCCAAAAATGTCTGGCCCCGAGTTGTCAAGCTTCCAAACGCTCCAGATAAAAGGTCCCCAACTTTAAACCGTGCTTGTGAAAGGAATGGGGGGCGGGGGTAATGCGGCGACGGCTGCAGGAGAAGAAAGGTCAGGTGTGATGTGACCAAGACGTGCGGCCATTTCCAGAGGCTCCGCCTAAAATGCACCTATAATACTCCAAAATCCCAAAGGGTGAATATCAAGTTGGGAAGGGATGTCATGTCAGTAGTTTGAACCAGTGGGGGTTGGAAGACGAGACGCCCGTGAGCCTTCCGAGCGTCAGTTACACCGAGACGGTCGAGGCCAAATTTGCTCCATGGGGTGAACAGGGACATTTGAGGAAGAAGCTGCGCACGGTCAGCTGCTTTGGTTCTCGCCTGTAACTGCCAACCAGGGGCTAGTAAGTCGGTGAGTCATAGCCACAGGAGCCAAGCGTCCGCAATCGCTTCCGGGGTAACTCCTCACCCACTGTCTTCTCCTCTCTGTTGCTCTCTGTGATTTTGCTGTCTCTCTCTTGCCCATTGTGTTTTTTTGGGCGACCCAAAGGTACCCATGTGCGATGGCAATGATGATCTACCCGCCAAACCAATATTGGCCCCAAACTCAATGGGCTCCAATGCAGCAATACCAGTGGCCTGGGACGATCCAACCAACGAATCAATTTGCAGGACAGATTCTAGCGTCAACTGCTCCGAGTAAGTCATGATGATCCCGGAACCTTTCTAAAGATCAACGATATTCTAACCTTCTGGCCGCAATAACCAAAAAGATGGAGAAATACAACTGTTCACTCCCTATAGTCGGACGTTCGAGGCAGCACCCATGCCGGAAAAGAAAAGAGTCTTGAAGACGGCCAATGTATGCACGATGTGTAGGCGGTACAAGACCAAGTGTGATGGGACCAAGGGTTGTCTATCTTGTAAGGATAACAACCGGATCTGCGAATACGAGCCCGGGAACCAAAGAAAGAGGACAAGAGTCGCGTGCAAATTGTGTCGGCAGAAGAAATCAAAGTGTGATGGGCGAAAACAATGCCAAACTTGCATGGACGCGGAGGTGATGTGCATCTACCCTAAAAAGACCCTCAGCTTCACTTCGTGGAAGCAAAGGTTCGGGCCCTGGGAGATCCAAGTTGCGGTTGCACCTATGGCGGCGTCCACGGATTCCTCGAACGACGACTCCCCACCTGTGGAGTGGCCTCAGGGCTATCACGACCCCTTTCTCAGCAGCATCTTCGACAAGATCAGCAAATATGACGCTCTTGAACTTGTGCCTCTCATTCAACTCTTGGACACATATGTCTCGGTCGAGGAGGCCGCAGCGGATCATGTCCGGACGCAGGCAGTCAAAGCTCTCAAGGGCAGGATCGAGAAGGCGGTGATGGGTTCAGCAATAGAACCCTCTAAGGGTGACGGCAATGACGGCCACTCCTCCGTATTCATGATCGAAAACATTTCCGAGGACTGCATCTCTGAGAAGCATCAGCAACCTGTCGATGTACCCGACGCTGACGCAAATGACACCGTGGTAACGCACCCAACCACCGCATTCCCAACCATCGCACCAGCACCGCAAACAATCGCATCGCCTGTGCCGGCGTGTCCACACCCGACGGCCGAGTATCGAGGCCCTCCCCCTCAAGACCGTCCTATCGATTTCGCACAGCCGACCGCAGTTCCCGCCTGGCAAGGAAACCGCTTTCAGCAAAATATCACCGTGTTGAACAATAACACTTACAACGGCACAGCACCAACTTCAGCCCCAGCCCCAGCCCCCACCATTGCAACCACATCCCAGGATGCCGTTGTTTTCGGAACGCCTCAGACAGGCGCCCATCAGCACCAATGCACCACTTCGCAGGAAATCGCCCACATCCAGCAACAAATCGCTTTTCAGCAGCAATGGGCACAAGGAGTGAATTTGGTCCCCCACCACCTCGTGTCCCATGTCGGGGCCAGTCCTGAGCAGTTTTGGAATTCCATAATCCTGACTGCATGCCCACCAGTGGATCCTCGAAGTTTTCCCATGTCTCAGATTTCCCGGGATTAGACACGCGGTAAGCGTCAGGTGTTGCCGTCAACACAGGTTGACCCACTCACTCACGGACCACCCGTGGACCACCGTTGTATTTCCGGGCTCTTGTATCAATTTCGTGGCTAGTCCACTCTCGTTGCTGCTCGCTTCTTCTCGCCCTGTACGTGTTTTGCATGTACATCTCTGTACATGGTTGGAAGGAAAGCCAGCTCCTCCTCTTGCCTGGTACATGGTTTGTGTGCACAGCCAGTCTCATAGAGTCTATGAGACCATATATTTTTTTTTTGGCCCTTGTAAACCTCCACTATCGTGCGCGGGCCATTTTCCACACGCACAAGTATAGTATAACTGCAAACGAGCCTGCAGGTTCCGAGCCCCTGTCTGTTCGGGGTTCAGGAAAAGGTAGCACAGGGGAACCCTGGGAGTGCAGGAATTCGATCAGGAGGGAGGTCGAGGGAGGAGTGAGGACGAGGAGGAGGGTGGCTTCTGATTCAATCATGAGAAACCCCGAAGTGTGGCCCGCTTCTGGGCCCCTGCGCGTACAGTAAGCTAGTACCCGAAAGAAACGTGCGGCTCCTTCAGTTCGCGTCGCTGTCGCAGTGTACAGTTGCACTCGTGTAACTGTCGCAGTGTACGGTGGCACTCGGTGGAGCATCTGACAAGAAAACATGAGAAGGATTGTGTCTCATTGGACGGCGCGTCATGCACCCTGATTAGCAGGGTGACTCTCTTGCAGCAACCACCCCTGCCTGACCCCGCTCGGTTACCTACTTCGTGATTGGCTGCTTTGAATGTTATCCACAGTTGCGAGCAAGCCTGTGGAAAATGGACTTGGAACTTTTGTCTCGGGAGACGAACTCAGCGTGAGCGATCTCCGCCTGTATTCCCCCCTTTGGCTCAAAGCTGCCTCCGTCGCGCATGATCTGGCACTGGTTGACAGGACAGCGAACTGAACATTGAGGTTGCCGAGACGAATTGAGTTTGTTGCGGAGGGTTTGCCGTGACGCGCTCCCCGACCACCCTGACTAAACCTGTCTTGTAATGGCAGTCACACGAGGGTGCCAAAGGCCAAACGAGTAGGGAAAGGGTACCTTTCGGGAAAGATAATGTACATCCGTCCCCCAGAGCAGAGATTAGTGTTCTCCCTCATTGGAGATCGTAAGCGGTTCAATTTCGAGTGTCTGTCGTATGTTTTGGTTGAGCTCAGCGTGGCGTCGGGGCGAAGTGCGGTGACTGTCCAAACCGGGTTGAGTCAGTAAGGCAGTCTCATCCTGTCAGCTCTTACTTCGTGTGTCCTCGTGTCTTCTTCCTTTCGCTCTCCATCCAGTGCTCTCGACACCTGTCTTCGGCATTACTTCCTTGCGTTGCTTTTCACCTCGAATTAGTCGGGTCACACCGTACATCACGAGGGCGCCAGTGCAAGTGTTCCTGCTAGGCCATCGTTGAAAAATTTAGCTGAGACCATCGAAAGCGCACTCTTTCACGCTCCGGAGGGACTCCTGACTCCCGATCCGTCTGATGATGGGATGACCTACCAAGACGGCATCCCTTTCGTCCTGCCTCCTGCTGTTGCCGACACATTTTACAACGAGTCACTTGTTTGCTGATCTCCAGCTCGTGGAAGATGTCGAAGGTGGTTTAAGGATGATAAACATTTCCATCGATACGGAGAGGTCCTCCAAGCTGAGATGTGTCCGCGAGATCCAAAACTTGTGCGGCTGGGAGTTGAAGTACAATGAGCTCAATCCCTCGTTCCTGTACCGGACCTTTTGGACCTGGGAACCTAAGTACACGAAAGGGTTCGAGGCCTTGACCGTCGTTCTTGACAGCACGAAACTCCTTCAAGATCGAATTAGTGGCGACGAAGCGACACGAAAAAAGCATTATGAGGGGATTGACGAACACCTCAAGATCGACTCAGCCGCCCGTGTGGCCGTAGAGACTTGTTCCAGCGAGACTATACAGGTCAATCGACGTAACGCTGCTTGCCGCAAGTTCGTTAAGTACGTCAATGAGACCATCGAAATGACCACGGACGACATGCTGGTGCTCCATCCGTACATAATCACTCATGTTTCCGCCAGTAAGTCGTCCTTCCAGGTCTTTGCGTCTCCGCTCACGCCGGGAGTTGCGGCTGGCGATAGTTATTCATCGGACGGGCTTGGGCTACGCCCCTTACGCATCGGCGCTTTCCTTTATCCAGAGACATCGTAACTGAGATCGGACGAGGACGACCTAGCGCTACACGAGGCCGGGCTCGCCGCTTTGCTAATCACTACCGTCAGCGCTATCGTCGGCCCTAAAGCTCAACTGTTCTGGTTTCCCAGTTCGCAATCCCTCGTGGACATGCCTCCGGCTAAGCGATACATCGATCACTCCTGGACGCACCTATCCAGCTAGAGCAGGTGAAGGTTTTTCCCGCCAATGGGGAGATCTACAGACTCAACCTCAAGGTTTTTGACTCTCTACTCGCGGACTCTTATCAACCCCAAAATGATGGCCAAAATGAATTCGTATCGTGGGGCCTCGAAAACCTCTTGACTAAAGAATAGGGCACGTTTTCGAAAAGCTATATCGAGAAGCCCAGTGCAACCGCGGAAAAAGATAGCAGTAGTAACAACAATCCGGACCCTGATGACCTGAGACCTGTGAGAAGCGAAGAAAGATTTCACCCCCACAATCACGACCGTGGTTCGGACTGAGGAGATCGTTGTCAATAACCGCCTTCCGCCTACTCCGGCTTCTATTGAATGCGGATCTAATGATGCAGACTCTCAATCCCGGCTTACGGGCGAGCGCTTCCGGACAGAAGACCTCGAGGAAAGCTGTCGTAAACTCTACCAAGACCCGATGGAAAAGATCAAAGACATCGGTTTCTGCCTCAGATGTCTCTTCGACTCCACCACAACCCTAGCCAATGACCCCAGTTGGGCTCGGGAGAAGGAGGATGCGGAGAATGTCGAAGTATTTGACTTTGCATTCATAAGTAAGGCTGAGAGACCTTTAGCAATAACAGACTCGTCGGAACCGTCGGACTCTTCGGACTCTGCATCATCTAGAGAACTTGGAGCATCTTCGGAGACACCTTTGTAAACTCTTTTATATCTTTTGAGTTCATTTCGTTTGGAGCTTCTTTCGTCTGGGCTGTTTTCGTTTGAGTGTCGTCTCCAGCGATTTAGGACCATCCCTCCCTGTTGCAGTGTTTGTGTTTGAGGGGTTCTAATTTCCGTTGGCGGGCAATCCCTAATGTCAGCGTCGACGATCTGATGCGACAATGGCGCAGTGGGTGAAGCGCTGTCCAACCCGGGAGCAGTGTTGATACGTTTTCCGAAGAACCCTAGCAATGGCAGGACTGCCTCGGATTGTGCAATCGAAGGCTGATTAACAGCAGCGGAGCCAGGGCCGATCTAGGACCTCAAAGAATTGCCCACAATCTGCCAGGTGCTCGGTAGAAGGGCCTTTCCGAAGAATGCCAGCTACCCTACAGCGCAGGCAGACTGGAAGTCCGTTCTACAGAAGTTATACGATGACAGGGACGACTACAAATGATACGATTTTCTTTTATTAGCACTGGCGGTGTTTTCATGGATCTCATGCTTTTGGATGCTTTTGTGGTGCAGTGTGCTCATACAATCATCACTCTTTCTTTTGTTGGCTGTTTGAGTTTCTATTGCGACGCATGTACTCAGCGTGAACTTGCTGCATTTCCACGATAGACTACTATCTATGGCTTTTGACCCCCTGAATATGTTTCCTTCTCACCCGCTCTGTGCTCTCTCCCATGTCCATCGAGCCGCTCTGTCTGCTCAGCCCCTAACCCGTCTTGGCAATCAGAGTCGGAGGCGGGCCGTGCTTCCGGCTCAGTAACCAATCAGAAGTCCCCGACAGAATTTGTCGGGGCCATTTGATTTGCTGCCACCACCCGCCTAAAGCAACCAATTGGTTGTAAGCGCCACGGTGTCCTGTTCACCCCCTATGCCAGGCAGCAGTAGGAACGCGAGGAACAGCTAATGAACGTGCGCCTAAATGCCTTTCCACGTGTGGCAATCATGAGCATAGTGGTAGCCACGCGTGCGGCGTAAGCGTGTCTGGGAGTTTTGGGTGCGTCAACGGGTCGTCCCGTTTCCACGCTGAGGCTCCCGACTGTGGGTGAGAATTCAAAAAGTCCTCACGCGGCACGTTAGCCCGAACTGGCCTAACTCTCGCACATTGTCATGGCTCGGAGTTCACGCAGGCCCTCGAGGCAAATCGCTGAATCAATGCTCCGCTCCGTGCACAGCTAGCCATCAATATTATGTGAGTGCACGGTAACAAAGCCAGGCTCTCATCACGGACATGCCATGATTCGGGAGGCACTGCATTCCCAAGTGACTACACAATTAAGAGGACGATGAACATGCGCCTAAATTCAAGTCTGGGGAGCCCAAGCATCCCGGCCTGTCGCGCATGGTATGTTACTTGGGGTTTAAACTCCCTCTGAATTATAGTATTCGTGGCGAAAGCATTTCAGGGCCACTGAGCGACAAATCAGCCAGATATCTCTAGACAGGTGGGATCAAGGCCGAACACGTACTGTCAATTATTTCCTCCTCCCATATACCTCTCTGGTAATCAACAAGTCCCATATTCTCCAGCGGGTCGATGGATTTTGCCAGGTCGTTGATCAATTTCTCCAGATCTTTCAAGGAGAGGATTTGTGGGTTTCCTGCCCCGGGATCGACACCCTTCGGGCACTTCCCCATTTTGGCATCCATCAGGTCTCTTTGGCGCTGCAGAAGAACCAGCCAGGAGAGGTTGAGATTCCCCCACAGATCCATCATGATATTCATGTTGTGGTCATCTAGGCCGTTGCCGGCTTTGGAGAACTGGAATCCTGTAGGAGTGGAGTTAGTCTCGGCCACGGAAAAACGGGTGCTCACGTACTGCTATCGGACTTGGCGTGCTCAAAGACCAGTTTCGTGACATGAGACAGGGACTTGCTTGCATCATCTAGCGCATTTTTGACGATGTGTCCATTGACTGTCTTGATCTGGGTCAAGACTGGTTGAACATCCACAGATAACGATGGTTCGGCGAATATCTGCCGAACCTCTTCTCGCGTGGGAGGCTGCGGGCTCGTAGGCGGTGGGATTTTGGGGGTCAACTGGGTCGTCGAGTATGGTGTCTCAACTGGGCGAGGCTGGGAGGCGCTGTGGGCGCTCTGAATGACTGTTGATGTTGGATATTGCTGAAAAGCATTGACCCGCAGGACTGACGGGTAAGAACTTCCCACTGGATGCTGCTTAACGGTCTGTGGATGCTCGAGATATACTATCTGGTAGGGTGCTGGAAGCATAAAAGGCGGGTAGGTGCCGAGATAGTGGACTTGTGCCATAGTGGTATGGACGGAATGGATGGTATGGAGGACCTTCCTGAAGATGAAAGCACCTGTGCCTGATTTATTTACTAAATCGTGGCAAGAAAATAATTGCGGTTCAAACACACGGAGCACAACTTGGGCCGAACGGAGCCAGCTGCAAGGGTCCAAAAGATCATCATTCGGAGGCTCGTATCATCCATGAACCTCTGCGCTGCATCTAAACCCATTCTGGAACACGTCAGTGCTCTGAAACACGTCGCTTGCGGCTTCATGGGTGCCTGGAGTTGGTGATTGGCTGGTAACTGTTTGACACGCGGGCTCCTAATAGCAGCTAGACACCAAGGATGTGCATGCTCATCAACCCCTGGACTGGCATGCCACAAAAGGAGCGCTGGTGTTTCTTTACCGAGTGTAACACAACTTCACCAGTTACAGTGGGTCCAGCCTTGTAAATACATGCGGACTCTCCTGTGGGACCCCCTTTGTGCGAGGCGGAAATGAACAAGTGTTGCACGCTATGTGACGCTAGAGTGTGCCCGCGCTCCTGAGAGAGCCTAGTTTGTGAGTCACTCAGATGTTGACTGCGGATTTGAAGGTCGGGCAGGATTCCCCTAGCGGGACTGGAAGCGATAATCCCATGTACTCTGCTGATACGCTGGAGCGCAACCATTTTTCTGAAAAATGCCGAGCGTGACATGACACGGGGTCCGTGGGTTTGCAAATGTTATATTCCATTGGGGCTGATTGGATCAGAAATCCTTGGCTGTGCAGCCCCCATCATTGCTGGTGAGATTACATGCCGGTGAGCGGGTCTGGGAGCTTGACCCTGGCTCCATAATCCGTCGTTCGTCCAGCGAAAAGGGGTAAAGCGGGGCGAAGTAGGATGAAACTGGACGAATGGGAGCCAAGGTAGGTGAGGGGCACCGAAGTGCAGCGAGACTGGCGGAAGGCAGGCATTGGACCATAATCACTGACCCTATATTTAGCGCGGGCTGGGCCTCAACAACACCGAAAGGCGACCAAAGGCAGCAAAAAGGCAGCAATAGATCGGGTCTCGCTATGGGTCACCGTGGTCGCCGACCTTGCGTTAGTTGCCGTCCGTCCGTCTCCCTGAACTCAGGTCTCCTGGAATCGAGAACCGAAACGTTTATGCCCCTTGAACTAATCCACAGCCGCGACTTGTTAGATACGCGCTGTTCGCCCTTCCTTCGAACCACAACAGCTACAACCTGCTACTAACATTAGTTACTGGAATCTGTGGGTACCAGTAGGCTTGAGGGTTTCACAGCTGTAGTGAGAAATCATATTTCGGATCGGAATAGCGAAACGTATCGGTATTGATTTTTAAGCTTGGTAAGAACCCTGGAGGATCTGAGGATTTGGGATTTCAGTGAGGCGCTCGACTGCTGGGATCCTATAGGCAATAGGGCCCGCGTAGTACGATATCAAATCTGGTGTAGTAAGGCAGGATTCCCGGTTGACTTCACGACGCGCAGAGAGGGGCTGGGGATGACAGCCGCATACCCAAGCTAATGATGGCTGAAAGGACAAGGGACGCGTCTTCGCGTGAAAGAAACCGCTCGCCAACCAATCAGGCTGCCTCGGTCCAGCGTCGCGGTGAAGTGTGTGTGAGTCAACGCGCGCGCGGTGTATGGAGTAATTTCCTCGTGCAAGGTCAGGGCTTGTCGAAGATGCAGCAAGGCGCGAATGGTTTCACCCACCCGCCCCCTTCCCTGCGGAGACGTGGCGTACACAGGAGATTGGCCCAGGGCTGGATGTGGAGATTGCGCATCGAGAGACAAGAGTAATTCGAGAAATCGAGCAACCTCTACTTCGTAATGTTATGCTGGAATTCGCTTTAATCTATTCAGCGCGCTCAAGGATTCGCAAACGCTCTAGAGTAGCGTACCACTAAAGACTTTACATGCTCGAGACGTTGCTAGGAAGAGCTTGAATCAATTCCACCATGGCGTTGGCAACGACTATCGTTCGGTATGAAATGACCTTTGCTGCTTCTTTCGAGGTTAAAGTCGCTTGCCCATAATTGTTGCCTATATATTTACACCAGCTGAGGATGATATCTCACATGAATCGCTGTACTAGCTAAGGATTTACAACCGGAATGTTCTTGATGATGTTCGTGTTGACAGGAAGATTGTTCCCTGCATTCCGCGCCCCTCGGGTATTGACAAGGAACTCCTTTGCGACCTGGATAGCACGCTCATTGTTGGTTAGGAGAGCTCTCTTTGGAACTGGCGTTACCGGAGTTACTGGCGTACGTATCTAAATTGGAGTCGATCGAGGTCTCTTCTTCCTATTCACATACTAACTGATGTAAGTGTGCCGCTGTTATAATGCTTCTTCCAACCTTTCGATCTGCGGTCTCTTCTTCTTCATTTCCGCTTCGATATTCTCACGCAATCTTTCTCTCATCTCCGTGGTCCATTCATCAGGTTTAGTAGGTTGTAATAACGGTCGAGGCTCAGGAGTCTTGGGACTCTTGGTTTGTGTTGACTTCGAACCCTTTGCGCCGGCACGTAACTGTACAGCATCTTTTCCGGAATATTTTACTTTTCCTCGGTTGGCAGAGTTATTAGTACTTAAGGACTGCGGCCTGGCATCCTGCGGCCTAGGTTTCTTGCCTTCGATCACTTTCTATCCAGCCCAGCCAATCTTTGCAACCGGTCGATTAGGCCAGCCCTCACTCGTAATCAAGTTGTATACATTAGGAGGCTGTGCACCATTCAGCTAGTATATCTTGCTCCTCTGAACGAGATGATGAGTATTAGCTGCCATTGAAATCATCGGGTCATTAGGCAAACCAATCTTGTCGGCCCGAGGTCGCACACCTTGAGGTAATGGTGCAGATGGGCATGATATGTGCCGGCTTTCTGTGACAGTGTACGAGCAGCGGCAGGCTCTAGGTAACAAAAGGACTAACGGGTAGTAAATAGGCTGTAGTAAATAGGTAGTAATAAACTAGCAGTAGCATACTCGTATAGTACAAGGAGCATACTCATATAGTACAAGGGTATATATATATATAGTATAAGGAGCATACTTGTATAGTACGAGAAGTATACTCGTATGGTACATGGAGCATGGTCACATAGTATGAGGAGTATACTCGTGTGGTACAAGGAGCATACTAATATAGTACGAGGAATAGTCTAGAGCAAGGCCTACTACTAGTCATATATAAGAACTATATAGATTCTAGCCCTACAATATTACTATAATAAATAGTAGTATTACTATCCGTAGCTACGACTTATAGTAGGTAATACCTCTTATAAACGTAAGTTAGTTCGTAAATGTAGATTATAGATTTATATAGATAGCTAAGGTCGTCCGAGTCTGGAGGATGCTCGTACTCCTGGAGGTTTAATTGGCCGGGGAGAACGAGCTATTAAACGAGAAAAGATGGCAGGGCTACATGCCGCGTCCTATCGTTACTCGACGTGGCTGATGCCGAGGTCTATAGAGTTTCCGAAAGGTTTGACACTGACGCCCGGATGCCTGGAAGCCCTTTTGGTCGGGGATATCCTGCGGCCTACCGAGAAGGACACAATAGGGAAGGGGCACTTGCATGGACTTTCTCCAGAGACTAGGAAGATCAGTCAGGAGGTGGCTCCGCCGCGGGTAATCAGAACCGTCCCTCACGAAGCCTGGCAGGCAAAACCTTGTCACATTCCGCGAGCCTTAAGAGCAAAAGGTGATCGAACTGGTTGAAGACCGCGTCAGAAAAGGTGTTTTCGAAGCGTGCCATAGGCTGTATCAGAACCTATTCTTCCCGGTTAGGAAGAAGAAGGCTGGAGAATTTCGCATCGTCAATGCTGCCATGAACATCAATCGGGTGACCATTCGCGATGCAAACTTACAGCCGTCCTCGGACGAAAATCTCTGAGGAATTTGCCGGCATGTACATTCTGAGCCTGATTGATTGATTCTCGGGATACGATCAAGTTGAGCTTACTGTCGAGTGTCGAGACATGACGGCCTTTCAGACACCATTGGGGGTCATGAGGTAGACAACATTACCTCAAGGTGCGACGAATTTGGTGGCACAGTTTACAAGGATTTCGAATAAAGTACTGGCAGCGCAAATTCCTCATGCCGCACGAAGATTTGTGGACGATATCGCAGTTAAAGGGCCGAAGATAGACTTCTTCAAGGAGGAAATCATACCTAGCGTTCGTCGCTTTGTGCTCAAACCTTGACCAAGTGGTCTGTGATATCGAGAGAGCGGGAGCAACGGTGATAGGAGAAAAGTCTCAGTTCTGCATGGGAGGAATCAAGATTGTTGGAGGTGTCTGCGACAGGGAAGGCCGGCATCCTGATGCGTCGAAAGTTGAAAAGATCTTGACGTGGCCGCCGGGCTGATCATTCTTGCTTTCGACGCGAGCTTGAGAGGTTGGGGTGCTGTTTTGATGAAGTTAGCAAGAGATTCGAAACATCGACATCCCGTGCAGTATGAGAGTGGGCTCTGGTCGAAGGCTGAGGCGGGATACGATGCGGGCATGCGAGAATGCCGCGCCCTGCTGAAAGCGCTCAAGTAGTTCAAGATATGGCTACATGGTGTGACATTTGTGGTGGAAACTGATGCGTTGAATCTTTCGGCACAATTTAATCGATCGGCAACGGATTTGTAAATACCTGGAGCGTTGGTCACGCAATGGTTGGCATGGATCAGGTTGTTTGACTTCGAAGTCAGGCACGTTCCAGGTGTGAAGAATGTTGCTGCGGATGCGTTGTCGCGTAGGCCAGGGACGATCGACGACGTCCGTGGAATCGCGCATAACAGCAGTGTAATGGTGTCGAAATTCCTGTGGGAGGATGTGATCTGTCGACATGGCATCTTCAGGAGTTTGCTTGTTGATGGTGACCCTGAAAACAAGGACATGACTATCAAGTTGACAGAGGAGTAATGCATCAAGAGAGTGGTAATCTCACCATACCATCCTCAGGCTAATGGCTTGGTTGAGGTGGGACACCGAGCAGCTGCTGATGCCCGGGTAAAGACCTATAAGCATCCCGCTCGGAAAGAATAGATGGATCACCTTCATGCTGGGCTGTGGGCAGACCGGACGACAGTCGAGGCCAGCACTGGTTTCACCCCATATGAATTGGAGTATTAAGATCGCCCTGTTTTGCCTATTGAGTTGGAAGTGTCGACCTGGCATGTTCTTTCATGGGAACAGACACATACATCCGCTGAGTTGGTGGCAATGCGGGCGCGAGCGATCGAACGAAGAGAGGATTATCCACAATATTATTACATTCTGGGAACCGTTTCTATTTCTCTATTTCTATTTCTGTAGTTCAATTTTTTATTTTTTATTTTTTCGTTTCTGGTGCGGGTGATTGTGAGTAAGAAAGGAAAATGTAAGTCTTTCGGGTGAATAGTAATAGAGACATCAGATATACTAATGTAAGACGATCTAAGACAAAGAAAACCGTACACGCCCATCTTCCTCCTAAACTCGCATCCTTACCCTCTGGAGCTGACCCAAAGGTCATGATATCTGATCCAGCCTTCGCTCCCCTTACCCCGGCTGCCCTAGGCCTTGCCCGTGTGGGGGACCTGCTGCTGCTGCTGCTGCTGCTGCACCGCCGCCTGACTCGTGCCGCTCACGTTGATCCGTAGATTTGCGCCTGGTCGTAAGATCTTCCGCACCTCCTCAAGAGACGGAAGTTCGACGCTCTCACCATTGGTGCACAGGGGGAACTCGCCGTACTTGTCGTCCTCGCTCATCTTCATCTCATCAATGTTTTTGAGGTGGGGATTGAGGATCTTCTTGAACAAGATCTCGCTCGGGCCGAATTCGGCGAGACGATCTTCGTCGACCGAGACCATGTCGTTGATGTCCCTGACGCCCTCGAACTTGTTGTCGATCTTCTTGAAATGGCGCACCTTGTCGGCCTCCATGTACCCGGTAAAGGCCACCGTCTCGACACAAAAGAGGTCGGTTTTGCCCGCTTTGGAGCTCATGTCCGACCCGATGTCATTGAACTCCTGACACTGGATGATGGCTTCCCTCTCCGATTCCGTGATGGTAGACCCCACCAGGAGTATGACCGTGGTCGGCCTGGCGTGATCTTTCCGCTCGAGTTCACGTTTGAAGGCTTCGATTTCCCTCTTGTACGTGAAGCTGACGTTGCTGAGGTTTTTCGGCTGTTCGGCCGACGCCTCCTTGGCCATGTCGTAAAAGCCCGAGAGCTGTTCCATCTGGAAATCACGCAGCTCGTGTCCGGCCCAGTACGGCGACTGTCGGTCTCGGACTTCGGCCAGCAGCCTGATGTGCTTGTCGGAAGAGGTCTGCTGGCTGATGTAATTGCCACTCGTCCCAGACGTAGAAGTGCGCTGCGTTTGTGGCTGCCTGTTGCTGGCCTTCCTGCTGGAACCTTTGAACCGTCCATCGTCAATGTCATTACAATCGCTGCTCGTCTGCGTCGGCTCAGGCTGTAGCTGATCAAGCTTGTTCACCCATTCGTCCAGCTTCATCTCAACCAATGCCGGATGGGTTCTCGCGATATCGCAGGCGGCTTCCCAGTTTCTTGTCTTCCACACGTCGCGCAGAGCTTCAGCCTTTTCGCAGTCGGACTTCCCAAGATTCGGGCTTTCTATGTTGTTGCGGCTCATGAAACAGATTTCCATGTCGCACTTCATGGCTTTCCCAACGAGGGCGAGCTGGTGGAGCATGAGCTCTATGGCTCGCTGGGTCACCGGTTGCAGGGTGTCGTTGTCGTCGGCCCAGACTATATAGCGCCGGTGTGCAAGGTTCTGGAAAGCATTGGTGGTGCCGTTGCCCCCGAGTTCGCGACCTCGTCTAAAGGTTTCGAGAATGAGCTGGGCCGAGGGTGCTAGATTGGAGACACCATAGCTGGGTGGCATGTCTGAGGCGTTGGTGGCCCTTTTTTCCGCTGGCATAACAATGCGATAGTCGACGACGTGCGGGCTGGGCCTCCCCGAAATTTGCCTCCTTCTCGTAGCGGCCTCTTCCTCGGGATGATTGGAGAAATCGGGATGCTGAGAACGAATAATGTCATCGCCGTTCTTGGCCTTGGGCTTGGACCCAGAGCTGCCGATGTTGAAACAGAGAAAACGCATGCTGACGAGGATTGACAGTGTATGATGTGGGAAGAGGAGCAAGTGCTAACAAAGTGGAACAAGAACGGACAGTGATGAGGAGTCTTGGGATCCGGTTCTCGGGATTTTGGAGGTGGACTTGCCTTGGGTATTTATGTGTACGCATGTTCCCCCTATGAGGAGTCCAAGAGGCGAATGTGGAGACCAAGAAGCTCATAGCGTACGGAGACGCCTGGTGGAAACCACGCACGTACGGAGTACGATGCTGCATCCTGCATACCCTTGATCCCAAGCATACCCAACAGGGCGGAGTGGCTCGTGTTGAGATGTGATTGGTCAATTTCAAACGCGACTTGGGCCGCGGGAGAACGCGACCGTGGCACGAGTGACTCATTCCACGGGGGTTGGGCCAATCACCCAGCCTTTTCAGGGATATTCGCGCCCTGTTTCACACCGACAGCCTTGGCAACTGTCCGGCAACTGAATGTGAGTGGCTGTGAGGGGCCCGGGGAGAAAGACGCCTTGCGGTTGCCTTTGTTTACCTTATACTGTGTCGTCGGCTTACTTTTGCAACGGGGATGACGTGTCATGATCGTAGCCTAGAATTCTGTTGCCATTGCAATACACAGTCCCTCGTTGTGGAGCTGTTTCAAGGCCACACCTCTGTTCGGCCTGCCAGGGTCAACCAAATCCAAGGCCCGAGGCGGTGTAGAATCACTGAGCCGCCGTGGAACCCAGCCTTGTTGCTGACACGGTGCTTGTCATGCCCGATGTTCCGGGCCTCCCGCCCTGGCTCGCTCGCCTTTCAGTGAACGACGATCGGGTCGTGGGGCGTGTTAGGTCCGGGGTCCCTGACGAGGAAAGAGCTTCGGTATTGCCTCTTTCTACAGCCACTCTGGGTTGGTCTGGCGGCTGGCGGTTGGCAGACAGGCACTAGGGCGCTCTGGGACGTAGAACTAGGCAAACTTCCCGTGGAGGCCGACGGGGCCATCTATGATGATGGCGCGCCAGGCGGAGCTCCGCAGCTTCCGTTCCGATGTCCCGATCTTTGGCCGCAAGGAGGCCATTGTGCACCCTGATTGTCGAGACAGCAGAGGCCTTAAAGGCTAAGTCATGTTCTAGTATAGATTGCGCTTTGCGGGGGCTCTGGTAGTACACTCGTATCATCGACTCATCGTCGGCGACTCGACGTCGCTAGCATTGCGAGTTGTTTTGGAACATGGAAACGACATTGTCCACATGGACGTTAGAATGTAAAGAAAGCTATTGCAATTGTCCAAGGTAAGTGTCCAGGGTAGGTAATTATCTCTTTTCCCTCAAGATGCACGGACACCTGGAATGCCTGCCATATCTACGTTTTCGCAGACCGACGCATCAATACCCCCTCAGGTAATATATGTCATTAAGGTCATAGATTACACGGGGGTACGGGGTCGACCTTTACTCTATGACAATGCTTACATTACCCTATACGCAGTTGGGTAGTGCATATGCGACCAGATTGCACCACTACTTGTTGCTCATCGCTTGAAGATAGTCAGTTCTTCGAGAGCTAGGCGGCAGAACAATAGCTCGAGAAATGGAACCCAAGTCCCTGTGGCCGACACCTGCCAGGCACCAGGGTCAGGGACTTCATCGCGTGCGGACCCTTCTACACGGCGACAGGCAATAAACCGCCGTGGGCGATATGGGTAGCCTAGCCAATTAGAGGAGTCTGGTTCGGGATCCAAAGCAGCGAGTATGTCGAAGGCTCCGCGATTGCGCGTCCGTTCCTGGGTGGCTCTGCGTGGCATGCCGGCTTCCAGTAGCTGTATCGTGGTCATGATGAGCGCCGCCCAAACGGGTTTGCCTTGCTTCTCCAACCTGGGGGTTAATGCCAGAATGTTGCTTTCGGTCCGAAGGGATAATGAGGAACTGCTGGAGAGCCATTGCCAATTCAATTCCCGCGAGCCAGAGACCAGGGTTACGGGAAGCGACGGAGCGGAGAGCTCGGAGCAGCGCCCGCAGTAGTGCAATGCTGAGAGCTGGTAACTCGAGATTTCTTGGGACACGCGGTTCCGAGGCCCCGAACTTTCGTTTTGGTGACGAGGACGAGAGCAGGGTCGACACGAGGCTCCTTTACGATCTCGTTCGTATGCGGCGATGGCTCTTGTGACTTTCTTGGAGTACGGATATGTGATTCGCCGCCGTCCACTCTCAACAACTCGTGTCTATTCAGTAACTCCTGCTGTCCATGAGCCATGATGTCCCTCTGAGCCCTCGTGAGGACGTTACAAGGCTTGTCGCTCTCCTTCACGGCGGCTGAAGCGTACGCCTCCTTGCACGCGACATTAGCGGCGACTGCGCGGAGTCCGACCGTTTTGGTTGGACAGACGAAGCCGGAGAGCCGTGTGTAATAGCGTAATCTTCAGTTGATCTCGGATAAGGCGTGATGGTTCCGGAGTCTGAGTATGTGATTGGCGAGGCGTGATGGGTCTGGAATCTCTCTTTGGTAAGAATTCCTAATACGGATGCTGAGGTCCCTAGAAGGGAAGTCGGTGTCTTTTCGTATCCCAGCAAAAGGGAAAGGTTGCCTTTTTTCTTGGCATACGGTACATCCTCATGTGTTGGCCTTGAATCATGACCCACCTGGGCTTTGCCGTACTCCCGTTCGAGGCTGCGACGTCTAACAGTCCCGCGACGACTGATGCACCCTCGATCGCTGGTGATTATATCGTATTGGCCCAAAAATGGCCGACTGCAGGTAGGCTCCGCCCGACTTAAACACATCCACACAGGTAGGATGGCGATACGACCGGTGCTGCCAATCCTGCTCCTTTATTACAGATGTTGCCGTAGCGTTAGAGGATACGTAACGGGACTCCAGCCCGCGTCTTGGATGATCCCGAGAATTATCCTCGTTCGTCAACTTCCTACGAGAATGCATCTGTACCTGAAGTATAGGTCGGGTCCAGTTCAGACGCCTTTGATCTGGAGCGTAGGATTCTCGACATAGCCGCACCAAATCTGGGCACGGCTTTCTTCAATACTATGTCGCCCCATCTCGATGACACAGCTATGCTTGTGCGACATGGGCCAACCACATCTCCCGTTAAGACCACGCATCACGACGCGGAGTCATAATCGCTGCAGCTTGATGATTGGCTTGGGACAACGACTAGCCTAGGACGATGATTAGCTTCGAACGATGACAGCCATAACGAGATGATTAGCTCAGGACCCCTACAGTTTCCGTACCTTGCCAATTACTACTGCCCAGAATTGCAAGGGTGTGAGTGGGACCACTCGCAGCCTACCTGACATCCCCTTCGGCGTTCTCACATCGGGTCATCAACATGGCCGAAGTGGCTTGGGAGATTGCGGGCGCCATCAAAAACGGCACTAGGGATGATATTACTCCGACAGCCTTGTTGATACTCCGATAGCTACAATAAGGTTAAGGTTTTCAGATCCCCGACTCATCGCTTTGAATCCTTTCCCGTTTTTCTTGTCTTACTAAGCTTCTTTTGGCACGAATAAGCGCGCATCCATTGACGCCGGAGCGACGAAAGTCCGATTACCAGAGTGCCAACTACGTACGGAGTGCTCCTTAGAGGCGTGATGCCATTTCGTAAGAATATGAGAAGGGAAATCAAGGCTGGCTGAATTCCATTATTCTCCCCAGGACACTAGGACACGATCGGTAGCTGTGCTTCTGGTAGCAGAGATTACTAGTAGATGGTGGGTGCTATGTACGCAATATAGCCGCTGTGGCCCAGAGGAGGAAGGAGCACTGCCAAATTCAGCGAACTAGACCCAGAGGATCGATCTTCGGTCCGGAGAAGGACCTTGGGCATTGGTTCCATGATCCAGATTCTAGAAAACCCGGAGCGGGAAGAGACGCACACCGCGCACCAACATGAGGCCGGCACCAGGGTGGCCTACGGCAAGACCCGTATCTTTGTCTGCCTTCTCTCAGTTTCACTGCCTTCTCTTACCCTAGCTGCTTTTCAGCGTCCTTAATGCACTTTCGTCTTCTTTCGTCACTCTTCACGGCACTTTACCACCCTTCGCGGCATTTATCGAGTCGTACGTTATGGTTAGGGCTACGATTCGGTAATCGGTTTTGGTTCTGGATGGAGTCAGCGTATGATCACTGAGCACACTTACCGTGTTTACAAGCACCAGAAGGGTGCACACCCAGTTGCTAGTTTCCATCTTATCAAGGGAATTTCGAAAGGATTCAGCCCCAACGAGAGTCGACGCGTGAAAATCAAGTCGGTGACTACACAGCTTGGTGCACGGCGTCTAAACGACTTGGTGCACACGGATCGTCTTCCCTTACTATATCACCTGGGATGTGATCTCTCTACCCTCACACCTTCAACCCCAATACCTCCTTCACGTGCTACAGCTCCCCCTCCGACCATAGATGTTCAATCCTCAGAGTCCCTGCGAGGATAATTACCGGGGGTCTGGCGACCGCAGCCACGCCCATCCCGGTGTCCGCAGTGCAGATACAGTACGACATGGTGCACAATGGCGCGGTGTATCCAGGTAATTTTGGGCCACTCCTGAAGCTCAATAACTACCCACCACTAGAACAACTGTTACTCACGCCGGACGATCATCACAGGGGCGTTACCTCGTCGTACGTGGTCGATCCGGGACCCGTCCCGAAAGTGATCGAGCAGGCACCGGTCCAGTAAGAAGTGGTCAAGCAGGAGGTTATGCAGGTTGGTGGTGATCCAACAAGCCAACAAACAGTATCGCTGACGTCGGCTGGTCAGATGTCTGAGGAGGATGAGACATCCCAAAAGTGCGAAGAATACACTGGGAGTGTCAATCAGGACACTCTCGACCATGCGCTGGTAGGTGCAGGCTCCGCGGAAGCTGTCGACAGTCTCGAACTAGTCAGTTCAGTTACCTGATCTTAGTACCTTAGCAGCGCTTCCTTCCTCATCCCGCTCTGCGTAGCTGGCACTAACAATGTTCCTCTCACAGGAGAAACGAACCCGGCTACAAACAACTTTGATATACAAGGCAGCGGAATTATTGGAAGCTGTCGAGTATTTATGGGAGTAAATCAACTTACTCCTGGCTCTTCCTTTTCCAGCATCAATATGATTTGATGACTGACGCCCTGGCACACGTACTCGCCTTCTCTGGATAGGTAGAGATATACCCTCGCAAAATCTGGCTGCCGCGACGGAGGCATCGGCGACGTTGGGAAAGACGCTTATCAGCCTTTGCCTACCGACAGGGGGTGAGGCACCCTCACTCATACGTGAGGTTCTTGTCCAGGCGGGGAACTATAGTCAGTTGGTACAGGACCGGTGCCAACATTTTAGCTAGACCTGGTCGAGATCTCTCCCCATCCGAGGTCAAGAATATTCACCGAGAGCCGAGCTGAAGGAGATGAGGACTCTACTAATAAGTATCTCCAGGACTGCGACGGTGCAAATCAATAAGGGAAGTAAACGAAACCCGGACCAGATATTTGGAGAGTGGGAGCTGAAGGAGCCAGAGAAGCTATACATCTGGACCGTAGGTGCTCTGCCCACGTTCGAACGCACCTGCTAATTGCTATGCTGAGATTCTGCGATCATCCATACTTTGCCATGGTGGGCCAGGAGTACAAGTCAAAGACCAACGCAGGCTCTGCACAGTAGACTGCGCTCGGGCTAACGGTTGACCCTCGATATTTTCGGAACCCGATATGCGGGCGTTGTGATCGTTTTCTTCTCCTGACACACTCAAAACAGAAAACATCCTGTTTGTATCGGACATCCGCATTGTAGCAGCAGCCTCTGCTGTAGGTGGTAATAGATTAGTCGACCAGCAGTACCTTCTCCGAAGTATTCTACAAGCAAGCTTTGCGAAAATTCGATTGGCTTGCGGCCCGGTGCAGCGGCTCAAGCCGGTAGGAGATTCAGGATCGGTGCTGAAGAGCGCACGCACGACCCCTGCGCCGCGGAAATTGTGCACTAAACGAACGTGACCTCACGTCAGTGGTGGACGCCAGGGATGCAAGCACGGGAAAGCTCATGTCCAATCAGTGGCCCACCGCACGTAAGCACGTGACACATGGCTCAGGAGGAAGGTCCATGCAACGAGTGGACGGCCGTATTTACATCCCGCTAAGCTTATACGTGACTACGATGATTCTCCTGACTGGGCCCCCACACAGAAACGCGTTTTATGGCGCATACTCATTAGCCCAATCGGGGGAAAATACGGTTCGATGCGCTGATTGGGTCTTCTCCGCGGTGCACTAGCCCTCTCGGGAAGGTTAGCCGAATAATTTCCACCGCGGCACACAACAAAGTCTCAGGCGCGCTCGATAGATTTCCTTGCCTAATCAATCAAGTTGTTCCACACACACTCGGCGTGGTGTGCCTGCGGGTGTAACCACTGGCGCCTGCTAGGCAGAGATCGTCCAAAACTTTCTGGCCCCATCGCGGCCCGTCTCCAGTGGTCCCTGCGCAATAAAGGGGCGGGCACACGGCACTTGAGGGATGGAGGCGGAGGGCAACTCGACGTCAGAGAGCACGTAGGGACGAGAAGGCGCAGGGTGGTCAAGAACAGAGGAAGTGCCATTCGTAGTGGTGTAGGCATACGGCCAAACATGGGGAACAAATCCAGCGTATCTCTATACCTTTTGCACCAGAAGCAATCCGTGACAACGCCACCCTCATGACCAGCTCGACCAAAGAAAAAAAACCCGCATCATCACTCCTTCCACGACTCATTTGTGTTCACCGCGTATCTTGTTCGACCATTCCCTGCGTTTCGGGCCCACATCTGATGATCTGCCATCTGTTGGTTCCTCGGCCAAGAATGTTGTTGTCTCTGATCAGCTCCGACCCCGGTGAAGTTGGACATGGGTCCGAACCACTGGGTCATCGGAGGCGTGTGCTGCGAGGTCAATGTAAATTGGTGGCTGTGAGTTTGGTAAAACGAATTGAGGTCGTCGGCCCCTTTCGTCCCCAAGTCATCCCCAGCAATGCTGCCAGGCTGAGTGGTGCTGGACGGATTGTTTTGAGCCGTCGGGAGGGGGCCATTGTCGAACACCGACAAGGCTGTAAGTGTGGCTGCGGTGGAAGTCGGGTCTGGTGCACCGTCGAGGAGGGAGTCGACGGTAGTAGGCGCTGGCGTGTGCTCCTGGTGCCCCTGTTTCTCCATCTGTTCCATGAGCTCGGCCAACTTGGTCTGCTGGTCTTCCTGCTGCGACTGCAACTTCTGATCCACCTGGGTCGTCCAGGTTGTCTGCTTTGACTCCATCTGGTTCATCTTTTTAGCCATGTGCATCACCAGCTTGCCCATCTGGGCATTTTGGCTCCTCTGCGTCATGTCGGAGACGATGAGGCCTCTCATGGCCTCCACCTGTGCCTTCAGTTCGGTCTGCGCATAACTCTCCATCGAAATCCTCCACTGCTCGAAACGGGTCCGCTCCTGCGCCTCGATCTGGATCTTCCAGCTGTTGAGACATTGCTCGAATTGCTGTATCTTCTGGGGAATTTCTGCATCCCTGGCCCTGGTTGACACGATGGCCTGGCGGAGCTCGTCCAGCAACCTACTGAACAGGGTGGACCTTTCCGACTCGACCTTGTCATGCATTTCCGTCATCTGTCGATGTCTTTCTGCCTCGAGCGCCGATTCCATCCTCGCCCGCTTGGCATCTATTTCGGCTCCCATCTTTCTCTCCGTGAGGGACATGAGTTCCTCGAGGTCGGCTTCCTTCTTCATCCGCCAGGCAAGGAGTTCTTTGTGGTCATCGGCCTTCGCGGCGTTCAGTTTTGCGGCCCTGGTCTTCGAGACCTCGTCGTTCAAGTATTGCAGATTCTCGCGCAATCGCACCGAGTGCTCAAGCTGTAGCTTGTGATGAAGATCGGATAACATCTTGGCCCACGTGGTGGATCTTTGTTCTTCGAGATCGTCGTCAATCTTCTGGATCTGCTCGGCCCGGTACTTCTGGACTTCTTCATTCGCTTCGTTCATGGCGGTCGTTTTGGGTTTTCTCGTCGTGTCGCAAAACGCCCTGCGACTGACCACATCCTCCGCTTGTTTCGACCACCTGGTCTCCATGTCCTCCAGCTGTTGCTCGAGTGCCAGCTCCCACTTGGCTCGCACTTTCGCCTTTTCGAGCTGTTTCTCAGTGTACCTTTGTCCCTCACCCGCCTGGGCGTATTCGACGAGACTGCATGGGAGGCCTCTTTCTTCGCAGGCCTGGCACTCCTCGCCGGATGCCGTCCCCTTGTTGGTGCTCTCTATTTTCAGTCCCATTTCTCTCGCCGTTTCCACCCGCACTTCACAGTGCAGGCACGCGCAGTTTTCTTTTGACCCTTGTGTCTCTCTGCCGGCATTCACGGTGATCCGAAGCGTGCATGATCGTTTGTTTCGCGGCGTCTTGTCGTTGTCGTCATCAACGGGAGCTGCGGAGCGCTTTTTCGGTGCCAAAGTTTTCTGAGGAGCCGCAGTTTTTCTTGCCGGAGCCTTTCTTTGCTTCTGCTGCTGCTGCGATGTTTGCGCAGGCGTTGTTGAGGCAGGCTCCATGGTTGTCGTCGCACTCAATCCCACAAATGTATTCGCCGACTCCGTATCCTCCTCTGACGAGGGGTCCTGGGGTATAGGATCAACTGCTCAGAATCTGCTATCAGAACAATCCACGTAGTGCCTTCGAAGAGAAATAGAGTCACCAAAAACTAGAATAACATACCTGTGGTGCCGGCATTCGTGACACCGGCAGCAACGACGGCGCTCTGATTTGTCTCATCACTCGACGGGCGATCGGTTGGTGTCAGAGAGTCGACTCGTATCGTTAGAACTGTCCGGGACACTCTGGGAGTAGAATCACATACTTGGACGTGGTAGAATGGTCAAGGCGGGAACCACTGCAAGCACTTTCATTTGGCGGATAATGGGAGATGGGGGCTGACTTGCCTCCCAATGCCGGTGGCGGCGAGGTTGATTCTGAGGGAGGTAAATGGAAGAGTGGTAATGGAAGCGTTTCAGTCGTAGAAGCGGGTAGAAGGATAGAGCGGGGGGGACATCGGTAGTCGGGAGATTAGATGTTAAATACCTCTCTTCCATCACCGACTTTCCATGGTATGAGTCATCGCCAAGTAACACATGGTCCAATCGACTGCCCCTACCCACCGCTCAGTCTCGGCTCCAAACACCCCCCCTTGCCGTACTTGATTCGGGACCACCGGGGAACAACAACATCGCGCATTAGCCCAAGCCATCCCCCACCCAAGCCCAACCACCAATTTCTGCCAACAGATCGCGCGAGCCCCGCCGGCAATCGATGCACACCGCTTCCTAGGCGGTGAGGGTGGTGACATGGTCTTCCTGGCCAAAAGTGGTCACACTAGCTGCCCTGGCGAGGGTGGTCACTCAAGACGCAGTCTTGTCCAACGCTGCGCTGGTCGAGGCCGGCACGGACGGGTTGTCCTTGAGACCATAGCAACAGAAACCAATGACCGCATCATACCAGTGTGTAAATGTGCGGGTTTGTTTGCTGTGTGCGACGCTGCAAGGATATCGGGGATGATGAAGACGGTGAGGAGAGACTGAAAGACGGATTGGGGAGCTGGGAAATTACGAGACCCCAGGAGAAACTGCACGTTTGCGGGGTAGTCGAGGGCAAGCACTCGGACCAGACTAAGAGTAACCACGGAGCGCCAAGGGTTTTGGATTAATGCAAGGGAGACTGCAGTTGCCTTGATGCCCAATCAGCGCGCGACACGGCGAGGTGCGTGCCCGAAGACGTTCGAAAGTAAGCACTAGTCTCGCCCCTAGACTGCTACACCGAACTTACGTTACAAGACCATCGCCTCATTGGTCGGTCACCTTCTCAGCTGCCCCTTTTACAGTTGGCTATTTTTAGAAATTCACGGGAGGCTCGCAGATGGCCTGTGGGCATCTGCGGGACGTTTGCAGGACATCCCTTCTTCCCCCCTGTCACCGACTTTCCCTCGCCATAGATGGGCAAATGAGCATGTAGCTCTGCTCTCACGCCCTTCGTCGTCGCGTTGTGTCACTGGAACGTTGCGCCCGATGGGGCATTGCCTTTGAGGCAAAGCTACCCTTTGGCTGCCTGTCTCAGGTCACTCATTCGTGCAAATGGACCCAAGGCTAGTTTCTATGCAATTCGCGGGAGGACCTGGGACTTTCTGACAGACAGAATGAGGGTGGAATTCCGCCAAAGGGCACCCGAAGGCAATTCCCGCCTCTGGAGGAAGACGCTAGTGGCCTCTGCAAATCTAGAACCGCGTGGTGTCTCCTGCAAGTCATTAGCCCCCATGCAAGATCGCGGCCTCGATGGTTCTCTTGTTGTCCCCTCATTCTTAACGGGTCGCTGATTGGTCCATGGCCATGGCTGCCTGGAACGTCCCAACCTCCGACCCCTCTTTCACGCTTCAGCCAGTGTCAGCCCCAAAACCCAAGAGTGGGGCTAAGCTAGCTAAGCTAAGCCAAGCCCCCTCAAGCGGCCCCCCCTTTCAACAATCATGGTGTAGAAGGAGGCCACCGAGTTTCAGGTGTACAGGTCAGGATTTGCAGCTGGAGATAGATGAAAGACCTGGCCTCCTATGCATCAGTGCCTGGTGAAGGTCATGCTTTTGTCGTCCCCCTTGATTCTGAACCTTCCTCCTTGCTTCCCGCTTGCCCTCCCCTTACCTCCCCATTTTTTTTCCCAACCCCCTTTCACGCCCGGTTTCCCGCCCCCTGCTCCAATCACTCTGACTTGAATACTCCACCAAGCCCACTCTCAGGCATTGCACGCAGTTCCATGCATTGCGAGATACACATCTGCCGTATTCTGGTTCATGTGCTTATTTACGGTTTTGCTTCTTTGTGGGTCGCGTATCGCGGTGATTGGGAGTCGCTCGTCGTTTCGGACAAGGCCGACGAATCGGTGATCAAATAAATGCCTCACTTTGGTGTTTTCAGGCGTTTTTGGTAATAGTTGAAGCCACGGACCACACGTTTACTACATGCTTCGGGGTTTGTGGCCATCATGGTGGTCGACAATTTCGGCCCCCGGCACTACGGGTGTGTACAACATTGACACCATGCAACCCTCCCTACATTCTGCGCTGCAAGCTCGAGGATACGTCGAAGGCCAACAAATGAAATAAACGGAAACAATGAAACCGGTGACAGAGAGAAAGCGAGGATGATGATTCTCGGTCGACGAGAACATGCGGGCAGAAACGGGGCTTGGGGCACGGTCCCCGAAATCCTGCTCCACTTGAGAGGACCGTGCAGCAAGGGGGTTGAGTACTATTGACACGTGTCAATTGCTCTCACGTGCCATTTGTGAGTTTGTGGATCGTCCTGGGATCGCCATCGGTCCCTCGTTCTCAACGTCTCCAGTTGGCTCAACCCTTCCCTTTACCTTTTAGGTTTGTGGCACACCTGATGGTGTTGGCAGTCCACAAGGCTCCACCATCACCGTTCAGAGTCGCCGAAGGAGGGTCTGGGCCTTGTGATGTCGCCGACTGTCCCCACCCACGAACAGCTACCGGGGTTCACTTGCTGCGCACCAACTAAGCCGATGCGAGACTTTGTGGTTATCCGGACCAAGACGGCGCTCGAGACACATCATGTGCGCTCGCAAGAAACTGCCCTCCCGACAACACGTCAGGCAAAACGCGGGCGGACGTTTTCAGAAGCACAGAGCGAAAGCTGGCGGTAACGCGCAGACAGAGGTTACGTATCCAAGGGCCAAAGTGGAGGATCTGAACACTATGGGGCGCTCTGGAGCAGGCTCCCTTCCCCGAGCTAGATGGTGTTCCGGCAGGCTCCGCGCCGAAAGGTCGAGCGCGAGGACGGGAACAAAGGACAGCGATGGCACCAAACAGTGACTGAAATTCCGATGGACGTCCGATCCGAGTGGAGGAAGCTAGAAACTGCAGACGGGCGCCCACCAGACAGAAAGGACTCTGTACGTAGACAGCCGTGAGGTACGAGTAGGCGTGGTCTTCGATGGATGCAAGAAAATGGAAGTGGCAGTTGACAATGGCAGTGGGTGAAGGTGTAGGCCTAATATGCCAGCCGATATGATGCTGGTTGCCTCAGGGATGTGATTGATAAGCCACATATGGCGCAGTGCAGTGACACGACCAAATTCGAAAGGTATTACCCTGCTAACAACAAGCGTAATGCCAATCTTTCGTATAACAAATTGATCGTCTACCTAAAACAAAACACACCTGTCGCCCCCACACGCTTAGTTGCACTTTAGTGTCCCCCTCGGGGCTTCTTTGCACCTTGTTGTCGGCATCTGTCCCCCCCGCGCCTGGGTCACGTTTTGGGGCCTCCCTTTGATTGGCCCAGCTTGGCTGGCCTTGAATGTACGTACGCAATATGGACAATATTACCTGTCGTTTTTTGCCCTGGATCGAGAACCACCGTTTCATTATTGCGGAGTCAAGCAGCACAACCGACCAGCGCAGATTTCCCGTCGCGCAGTCAGGAATCCTAGGACATGCATACACATTTTCCATTCGTGTCATGTTTGCCGCCAGCGGTAAGAGTTGCGAAGTCAGTCCTCACGGTACCGTGTATGCTTTCGCGCCGCGCCCTCCGTCTCTTTATCATCGTAGTCCTTCTCTCCTTATTACCTCCCTCATACTCTTCCGGCCCAGGCGCTATCCGATATCCGGCGCGCTGCGAGAGATATTTGGCAATGGATCTGAGATGTGTCGTAGGAGAAGTGCCTGCATGGAGCGGTAGCGCTTGATATCGGCTCGGAGAGTGGTTAGCCGACGGCGGCGAGTCTATCTATTTATCGGTGTTAGTGCTGTCGCGTGTTTATGGAGAGTCAACAATAACAAGCTCATCTTTATCGGGTCGGGTTAAGGCTGCCTTCGGGGTCCGAGTTCAGGTTCTTCACCCGTGGTGTATCTAATGACCAATCCTCCACCCTCGAAGAGCGGTTCTTCCTCGGAGACGTCGGTCCTCTGGGGCCTGTAATGACCGGGTGAGCGTATGGTGATACGACTGCACCTGCGCGGTCCATACCCGTTGCTTTCCGTCGTGGTGGCGGTGTTGATTTAGGGACTTGCGTGAATCTCCATTTGATGGGCGAGCATGGGACGGAATCGTCACCGGGTCTGGTAATCACAACTCCAGATGAAGTTCTTCGTGCGGGCATGATGCCGGCCGCACCTTGTGGCCGCGTGGATCGCCCCCGACGGCCGTAACGATGCCTTGGCTTGGCGGTCGGTTGAGATGTGGTGTTCGTGTTCCGCATCAGTGCGTCGCATGAAGGCTGGACCGCATCGAACGACCTCTCATCACTGAACATGAGAGGTGGTGGGGTCCTTGGAGTTGACGGCTGGGTGTATGGCCTCCGCTCTTGACGGGGTGGCATCACCAAACAGGGCGATCATGCTGAGTCTCGGCCGTGACGACGTGCTAGTTCTCCCATATCTACGCCCGGTTGAGATATTTCAAGCGCTCTGGATTGTTCGGTGCCCCTTTTTGGTGTGGGCTCAGCCCATGTGACCTCATATTCATTGGCCGATTTGGCAGATCACCCCTGACCCACGTCGTGGATGACTGGGCGCTACGGCCCATCTCTCACGGCCTGCACCCGCCACTGAGGCACTTCATGACCTTCTCGGTCGTGTCACGGTGACTTGAACCGCTGTTGGGCAGATTCCTCGACGTTGTTGTTCACTTGTCCGACGTCATCGCTAGTGTGCTCCGTCTTGCTATCTATGCCCCCGGAATGTGCTGGGCTCTTCGGCCATGATGGTAGAGGACTTTTCCCGATGCTGGACTCGATTCGCCGATTTCACGCCCGATCCGGGCCTTCTCTGCGCCTTCGGGGAGCGCTTCGATCGATTCATCGTCGCGGACGTGACGAGTACGCAGGCCTTTCTCGTCACGGGCTGGGGAAGGTCGAATCGAAGGGGGTCGGGGTTGGTCATCGGGAGCGCCTCGTCGGGGTCCGCTGCGTCCACATCCGTATCCGAGTTGTTCACTCCTTCGACGGCTTCTCTCTCCACCCTCGTTGGGGATGGTCGAGAACGGACCCCGTCCGACGAGGTGAGGTCATGATTCTCATCTTCGGACACCGTGACGGCCTTCTTGGAGATGGTGTCATGGTGGTTGTTGGGTGCTCGTTTCGAAGTGTAGGGTGGGCGGATGTATGGGATGCGCCGCATCGATGGGTCGGACCTGTTATGATGAGATTACCCGTCTGCGCGCCCACCACTTACCGTGCCACCACGGGCATCGCGTCGCTCGTGCCCCTTACCGCTTCGAAGAATTCTGCGAGCTTCATACAACTGCGCCGCCGATTCGATCTAGCGCGCCTGCGGATTTGTTGTGTGCCGTGGTGGGAATTATTCGGCTGACCTTCCTGATATGGTTAGGGCAACACCGTCGTGGTGGTGACCGTGAACGTGATATTGATCGCGATGTGAATCCGGAAGAAGGATTCTCCGAGATACGGTACTCTCCGGAATAATTCCCACGACTATGGTCATATCGTGTCACATGACTGTACGAGGACCGGACGAGAAACGGACACGGACGTCCGATCGCTTTCGGTGGACGAAAGCTTCGAGGAGCCGAAGAAATCCGACGAATCTATCCTACTCAAGAGAAGTCGTCACCGATCACGAGAGCCTCAAGCACTTTGAAGAGTACTGGCACACATTCGAAAAAGTACCGGTGATTTTTCAAGGATTGGTCCTCAGAGCTAAGAAATACAGGTTCCCCTTTGATGAGCGAGAGTAACGGCTACCCTCAGCTGGGAGCCTGGCCATGTCTTGGAGTTGCGCGCAGAAGACATTCGATCCCTCATTCCTGCTTTCCGCTGTCCTGCTTTCCGCTGTCCGGCATCCACTCGTCTTTCCAAGTAGCCTTCAACTTGGATACAGCACCGCATTCTCTACCATTCTTTGGATTTTGAAAACAGACATGATCATTCTGCCCATGAAAAGTAACACTCGCCTCCGAATCGTGGTGAACTTCGTTCTTGTACCAATAGCAGTAATCCACATCCAGAACCACCCCCAACGCTGAGTTCGCAGCCCGCGTTTTGACGCGGGTAGTCTTACCCGGCACCGTGTCAACCCATTTGCTAACATTTTGGCTATTGTCTTGGAACACCCGCCTGCCAATCCCTGAGAGCTCCCCGCGTCCAAATCCCTGAAGTACATTCAGGAAATATCTCGTCGATATCATTTCGTGAGGTGGGTCCTTGAGATCGTGCAGTCGCTTCAATTCCATATCGGCAAGTCTGTCGACCAGCTCTTTCAGGCCCGGATATTTGACGCCCGTTGGGGGCTGATTTTGCAGAAGCGACACCATACATGCCAGTTCCAAACTGTTCAACGGCTCTGAGGGTTCCTCCAACGAGACTCCACCCTCTAATGGCGGCTCAAAGAGGTGTTTTGACAAGATACTGGTCAGATCTTTGTCCCAAATCCGCGTACGCAATTTTTTGTCGCTCATTGAAATGTAGAAGTCCACCATCCGCGTCCGCTCAGGGCCTGACCTGTAGGTGGCAACCGTGACAGCTTTACCCCAAAATGGAATGTCGACGACTGGTTCATCGTTTGATGAGAGATCAGTAGCTGGCGAGATGGAGGATGCCATATCTAAGAGCGAAGTTAGGCTAGGAAGAGGGACGTAGGAGTGATATGAGGTTTGAAGTACCGAGTATAGAAACGAGAGAGAGAGGGAGAGATATAGAGAGAGAGAGAGAAGGGGGAAGGGCAGCAAAGAGAAAGAGTTGTTAAAGAGCAACGAATGTGCTGGTTACCATGCACCCTGCCGAAAGAGACGGTGAGTTCTGTCCTGAGGGAAAGAGGCGGTGAGCTCTGTCTTGAGGCTCTGCTTGTCTTTGCCCGGTTGACGCAGCCAATACTATTTCACCAAAAATAGGTCCCCCTCGTCTGAAATCCGCGCCTGCGCGGCGACCGGGATGTTGTCAATCTGGGCGTTACTTAGTTTCTCTGAGACAAACCCAGACAAAAGGCTGAGAAATGAGCAAGCCATCACAATTCTATTGTGTCATGAGACCTTTGACCTGCATGGTCCTTTTCTGTTACTCGCCGGCGCTATGAGTCACAAGGACTCTCTCTACACCGTCTGTCATCAATCCTTCCCTTTTTCTGGGCCAAATCATGTAGGTCTGCAACTATGTTACCATTCTTTGCCACTGGCCGGGGGGATGGGTTACACGATAGACATGCCAAGTCCCTACCTAGGTCCTTCCGATGACTCACAACCTCAGCTTGCATGTTCGTCCAGACCCTTGCATTCCCAAGTACTACGTGCGGACTCGGCTCGGGTCTCGATTGTTTTGGCCTCAGTCACCCCAGCCACCCTCTTCCTTCGTGCTCATCATACCCTGCAAAGCATGGTTGTTTGGCGGACATGGCTGCATAAACTGGTCCACTCTATGGCCATCAACCCAGCCATCTCGGTGTTCAAATGTATCACATTTGTTCGGGACCCCTCTTTGTGCCTCGTTCGGGCGCTCCTTGGTGCTGTCCCCCCTGTAGACCCTGCTTTATGCTGACCCTCCCATGTAGTGTTCCCTTTGCAATACGCCCTGCAAAGCACACTGCGGGCCATCTCTGTGTTGTTCCTCCTTGGTGCTCATGTACACTTGCAGAGAACGGTCTTTTGGTCTACCTCGACGCCCCGTCCTGACCGGTCAGCTCAAACGGGCTCATTTCCCCTCAGCTCCCATGCAGATCGACCAGGGCCAAGAGTGGAACCCCTGTAAATCACTCACAATGTCTCAAAATTGTTGAGTTTTGACACTTCATCGTATTGTCATCACTGTCAAACGCTGGCAATTTCCCAACGTTTTCAGTCTAACGTATGCCGAGCGTGTGTAACCCCTGCAAACTTGCCTCAATCTCCCTCAATCTCTCGGGTCATGACCTATACCAAGGATGCCACCCCTGTAAAATGAAGCCCAGTCCCCTACCCCCGCCCCCCGACAATCAAACCGCGCCTACTCCACTGCCTTCCAGTCCTTTTTTTTAGTTTCTTTGGCTGAGCCAGTGCCAAGACTGTGACCCCTGTAAAACGGTCTCGATTGCTGTCAATTTCCTCAGTTTCTCTGCGTTTCACGTACATTGACTAGAGCCAAGAACGTCAACCCTGCCGTGAGGCTCCATCTACATGCAGTCTGGCGTTTCCTGCCACGTTACCCTCCAATCCCAATATTGCTGACCGCGCATGCCCCCTGCGTGAGACATACCGACATTGCTCACTCTGAGGCACACCAATTTAATTTCAGGTTGTAGAGCCTCAACTGCTACCTTCTGGGCCAATCGAGACGCGCCTAGAACCCCTTCTGACAATATCTACGTGCGATTGGCGCTAATTTCTCGATCCATGTTGCCAAGCTACTCAGGCAGCTCATTTCCCTTTTGGCTTGACTCGTCATTTCCTTCTGCAGTCAGCATGCTCGGTACTTTTCCTTTAGCGATTAGTCCCAGTAGGCTCCCGCAGTAGTGACGTCAGTCCCGCTTGGCGCTTTTCCTTTAGTAGTTAGACCCCGCCGTAATGCGGACGAGTTTGCCAATCATGCTCGGTCCTTTTCCTTTAGTGATTAGTCCCCGCTGATTCCCGCTGGTTACCATAGTGTTGCCGTCTGGTCTGCCAGTCCCACCACTTCCGCTTTTGTTCATACTGAACCTATCCGACTCATACCGAGCCCATGGGTTTACCGACTGGGACTTGAGCTCTTCGTCTTGTGATGACCTTTAGTCAAGAGTAGATCTTTTCAAACCGAATGCTCAAAAGCCCGGTCCCGGGCTCAATGTCCTCTAACCTCATTAATCGGCGACATTGATAATTGGCCGAGCTCGGTGTCCGAGCTAGGTGGAGCTTGAAGCTGTTCCTACAGGAGATGCCGCCGAAGATAAGGCTGCCAAGCAAAACGAAAGTGCCGTACAAAAGTGCCGTACAATAGTGCCGTGGAGTAAAAAGGTAACACGTGGGGGCCGGTCCACGAGGGGAGAACAAAGCTACAAGATACTAGTGGCGTCGAGCGACAGGAGGATCGGCGATACAGAGCGGCTAGGTCTGGTCACGGCGTTTCAATCGACTGGCGTGGGGTGATTTGGCCTCAGCAGGCAGTAGGTTTCCAGATCACGACGTCGAAGGCTCTGAAGGGTTTCATTAGAAGGCCTATACGCTTCCTAATATCCTAGGCATCCTACCATCCTATAAGGCTTCCTCAGTGTAAATTTAGATTTTAGGGTCGTAGGTATTATAGATTAAAAGGTAAGAAGAGAAGGCTATTTATCTTATAATATACTTAAAGCCTGTCTTTATTTAAATCTATAAAGAGTCGATACTACGACTAATAGTATACGTTCATCTTCTGCGTTGTTCTCTTCCCTTCTCTAAAGTTCTCGACTCTACTATTGTATCTTAACTTAATCCTTCTATACTATTTATAAGTCTAATTTTTCTATTTCTATAATATCTTTCCACTTCTTACTATTACCTCTAAAATCCGAAATGATAATATTATGGCCTTCGTTGTCGAAACTAATAGTAAGAGTATACTATTTAATAGTAAAGATATATTAGAAACGGCCATTTCTACGATCCTAGGGCGGGCCGTATAGAGGAAGGTCTACCGGCCGCGGTAGACTAATGAAGATAAGAGTTATAAGTAGGACTAAGAGTATATATAACATATAGCTACTAAATAGGAAAGATATAATATATTAATATACCATAATGGGGAGGTTTACAGGCTGAAATAATTAGTCGAATTTACCTGTATATTATATAGGATAGTGCTCCTAATCATTAATTAGTTAGATCTCTAGTATTAGGCCTAAGATCCCCTTTTTCTTTAAGATCCACTAAGAGAATTAATTAGTCTAGGTAAGTAACTTAATTAAGGAGTTAAGTATAGTTCTCTATTAAGTTATAGAATCTATCTAATTAGGACCTTCTACACTGTTTTATTATTACTCTATAATAGCTAGGACCTCTACTACTATACCTACCGCTATACGAGTTAATACCTCTAGCTAAGAGCCTCGCCCTAGTTAGTAGTTATATATTAAAATGTATAGGTAGCTTTATAAACCCTTAAATGATCTAGAGTTTAAAACTAGCTATTTATTATAGTCGAAAGAGGTATATTTAGTAGTGTACGTTTGTTACCGAAGTCGTCTCCGAGAGATCTGTAAAGGATCTCCGCGGGGCTACTACTACTTATATATATATGTATACTACTCAATATTCTAGCTCTTAGTAAACCTAGTATCAGACCAGTTACCTAACTGGAGGGTGAATGTGTATACCATGGGATCGATGATGATAGAATAACTAGTCTATAGATAGAGATGTCAACGCTTGAAGAAGGCTTCAAGGTTGACAGGCGTGATCCCTCTTGTTATATACATGCGACAAGCCAGCGCTTGGCCGGTGGCCTAACCGGTGGCCTGATCTGAGTGTGCACTGTCACATGGTATTCGTGACACCTAGTAGGTAGAAGCTCAACTTGATTTCGTAGAAAAGGCGCTAATATTTATGTACACATGTAAATTCTCGTAGAAGTCCTACAACCTATCTATATAACTAGCCTTTACGACTTCTTATATATACGTTAGATTAATATCGATAAGAGCTATAGCTTTTATAACCTATTATATATTTATAAGGGTATATTTTACCTTAGTAAGTGATTTCGTTGATAAGAGGTTATATTTAAGTCTAGAAACTCTCCTACTTATCTATAAAGCTATAACTACGCTCCTTGTAAAAGTAGACTTTATAACCTCTTGTATTTATATAAGACTAATTTTATATCTATAAGATGGTGGACTAGCTTATTAAGGTCGTACGCTATACTCCTCGTACCCTACGACTACCGTCCTCGTACCCTATATTACCCTCTAGACTCTAGAAAATCTATATGATTTTGGGAATTAGAGTTTCATGACTTTATGAGTCTAGATTTTATATACATAAAAGAGGGGTGTACCGGTATGCTAAGGCTGGAAAACCTCGTACCCTACTAGCATCCTCTCGGAAACATCTTCTCGGAAATGTTACTTATTTACGTGAATTTGGAATTACATTAACGAGAGGGGCGGGCCGGTCTACTAGGGCTGGAGTCTCTACTACTCGTAGGATACGAGCATCCCCTAGACTTAGATAATATTAACTATCTACGTATATAAGCCTTAGGTAACGTAGCCCTTTAGTCGCCCTTTTTACTCCCTAGTGTACCCTTTTACTTCCTTACTACCTATTTACTACCCGTTAGTCCTTTTATTACCTAGAGACTCCCGTTGTTCGCACACTACTACTCGTATATCGACTACCTTTAGCTATACATACCTAGTTAGAGGGGGCTAGGAGACTTTATCTCTCACTCGCTCTTGTCTATATTACACTAGCGATGAACAGCGGCCGTTGATTTACGGGTGACGACTGTTAAGTTACGGGCGCTGTCTCTTTTTAGCGTCGGTGGTGACCGGCAAGCTAGGGGCGCTTAGTGATTCAACAGGCAGCCGCTAGAAACCGGTAAGTCGAAATTAGCTAGCGTGGAGATCGGGCGCATTTCGTCGCTCGTACCCTCTGGTTATGGCTAGTTAGGTGGGCAT